AGAGTAACGTCTAAGGCATAATCTGTAAGTTAAGAGAATGTGTAGTGGACACATAACATAGGTGTGGGGTATCTGTTAGCATTAACTCTGAATTTTGAAGTAAGGCCTACCCTGAACCTCTCTAAGTCTTTGTAAGTGTTAGGCCCTAGGCTACTAAATATAGGAACGTCTGCAGTCTTTTTTAATTTTGTAAGTATATACTAGAGTTATTAATTCTGTTGCAGGACTATAGTTATTACTAACAAGATCTAAGCTATTAGGCCTTAAGTTAAATCTTAGGCTAGGTGCTTAGAGGGCTAGGGAGTATAAATTAGAGCCGGACTATATATAGGGATAGGTATGTAAGAGGGCTCTTATAGGTTGACTATGTCATTGTCAAGACGTATCTAGGCGTTAGTCATAGCTTCCGCAGATAAAAAGGACTCAAGAGAGATCTCAGACTCTTCTAAGGAGGAAGGGATGCGGAACAGAATGAAAGAAGGAGAGGCAGTGGTTCTTCTACTGCCCAGACTGAGCAATAAGGAACAATAACAAAGGGAAAATAGGTTAAGGCGGATCTAAGGACCAGAAGATAAAAATAAGTGAGACGCTTCGTAATGTCAGGAGAGCTATAGTTGGGCCTAATATACAAGACGAAGCGTGAAGAAAAGGAAACGAAAGTGGGAACACAACGCTCTATATACATGTCCGTGCCCCTTATCTCGCTGAGGCCAGGTACAGACAACTGTGGGTACCTGTCGTCAGTGATGGCTAGAATAGCGGCGGGGAGCTGGTTGGCGTAGGTCGCGGGAGGATTCGTAACACATAGTGACTGCGCCCTCCTACTAGATAGGAGTCAAGTCCTAACGTCAAACACGGTTCCGTGCCAAATCTCTTCCAAGCAGGTCCATGTTTCATAATGGCTGATAAATATGCCACTCTGTCAAGTTCTGAGCGTGTTGATGCAGCTGTTTAATTGCTCCACAATAATCCTTCCTTGAGCCTGTCCAAAGTAGTAACTATGACTTAACCCGTTCCCTTTCTATTTGAAATAGCTTCATAACTGTTCATAGTGAGCTGAATTCGATGCAACAGCGCTGGCGAGGATTGTGCTAAGCAGTTTTGCTGCACGGGACCGTATATTCGTATTCGACGTTAGGCGCCTCAAATGATCGTCTGAAATTTGTCAACCGGGACGTCATATCTTACTGCTCTCTCACCCGGGACGCCACATCTTACTTCTCTCTCCTCCGGCCCCTGAGACGCCCATAGAGCATTGCACAAAAGAAACTATTATTGCCACCTATATATACTAACTCATTGCTTTGCGAACCTGATATAAAGCATCTCCATTTCCCATTTCCTTCTTTGAGTGATCAACTGAGTGATCTGCTATCCGCTCCAGGTCCAGGCATCAAACCCTCTACTCTTATTTCGAGCTTCCGTCCAGTCTTGCTAAGGCCTTTATCCTCGCACCCCTTGTTTATCCCTACTCAATCTGTCTCTCTATCTCCCAACTCGTCGCCCCTATTCAGTCAGCAATCCCAAGATGGATCCCGTAAGCGCCACTCTTCTCATCGGAGGGGCTACCGTTACCACCATGGCGGCAGTTGGTATCGGCACAATCACCGCAGCGGCTGTTGGGGCAGGTGCAGCGGTCAAAACCTTGAGGAATGAGAAAAAGCGCATGAAGCTCCAGCAAGAGCAAGCGAAGCAAGCGACGCAGCGAGCAGAACTCGAGATGCGCGAAAACAAGATGTATGGGCCCCCTTCTGCAAGCGCCGCTTCTGCAGAGATCTGGTTCTAAATTTTCACCTAGTGCGATGGGCCAGCATCCGAACCAGTCGAGCCTCACGACTCATTCACCCCACTACCACCAGCCTCAGATGTGCCAGCAAGCGGCACCGCCAGCCCTTCCGTATGGTGGGTATCAACCATATGCAGCGCCGCCAATGGTACCATACTACGTTAGTTATGTCCCTGTACAACATGGCCCTGTGCAACATGTACCACCACAACTGGCTCCGTCCTACAGTGGTCACGGCCTTCCGCAACATACGCCTCAGTCACTAGGAGGCTTGGGCCAGCAATACCTGATGACTCGACCGACCCAGCAATTAGCTCTGGAGTACGATAACGACCGCCCGCATCAGATACTGGCGTTAGAGTACCATGGCGCTAAGCCTGAGACATCGAGCTCCAAGGATTGGACTTAAAGTCGCTAGGAACTGAATACAGGGAATGTAAAAGTCAGAAGTGATTTACAATCAATTTGTCGAGTGCTTTCAGTCACAAAGGCTAGGAAAGAAGTTTCTTTAGGAGTATCTTTGGTACCTTAGCCAGTAAAGCCTTTCTAGCTACAGCTCAAAATTGCTTATTCATCGCTCAGGTCTCAAAGTGGAATAGAATTTGGAGAGAGGTCAAGATTCCGGTATGGATATTCTGGGAAATGTTAGGACCTTCGCGCCGCTCAGTAGTGTACACTCATTTAGGGGATTGTTGGTTTTTGTGCCACTCAATATGCTCAGGGATAAAATCAGGCATAATCGGGGCGAAATCAAAAGGCTCAAGCTCTGCTCAGGAATGATCACGCTAACTCGAGTTCGCTCAGTGTAAGCCCAGTGCTGCTCAGAGGGGACCTGATTTCAGCCTCGTTGGATGATCAGGTTTTGTCATTAGGGTGTAACATTGATAGAACAAGTAATTAAGAATTACGTCTTAGTGGGTTTGGTATTTACAGCCGGGTGTCGACTCCTGTCGTTTTCGGCGGCAGATACCGCCGTTTTCGTGGGGCATCGTCACCAGTGGTGGGACTATCCACCTTTCTGACGTAAATTTTGATCTTTTTTCAATTCGTCGAAATAGCCGCTAGCGTCTACTCATACTGATATTAGGTTCTATTAGATACCTCTTATTCGATGGCGTCTGTTTAAGGTGCGCTGGCGGCTACAGCAACCAATTAGGAAAAGATCAAAATTTACGTCAGAAAGGTGGATAATGTAAAATCGCTTCCTCTCAGTGATAATATAGGAACGATTAGCGCTCTTACTTAACCTGTAATGTTTTCTTTCTCTAGAATTCATTTTTGTATATTTCATCCCCTTAAGATTTTGAACTCCTTATCGTGTTATCAACATAACTCACCTTATGCATACACTCGGCTCATAGGCAAGAGAATACATGAAACAGGAGTTTGATTACTAATACAGCGGGGAAGCTGTTTCTGCAGAATGTCTTGATTTCTGTAGAGGGCGCCAGGGCCGTGGGGCCGTAAACTGTTACGCCGCGCCAAGGCAGCCAAGCGTGCCAAGCACGCTACGCACGCCTAGCGCGCGCGCACACACAAATGGAGAATTCTGCACTCTAGGAGTCAGAGTTTCTCCATCGTTCGACTTATAGAAGTCAGGAGCTCATCCTTCGTCGCCACTGCTGATAGTGCTTTACAACTGCGAAGCGCACGCTATTCGTACGCTAGATTGTCACGTCGCTCAAGACCCTGAGCGTCTCTGACATAAATACACGTAGAGTAGCAAGATACTCCATACCTCTAGGCAATCTCTTTTCCTAGGTTTCTAATAGCAGTAATTTCAATGTAAACGCTAGGAATATTGTGTGGGTCCAGAAGGAGATTAGCAGTGGCCTTGTTAGGTTTAGCTTAGGGTGCAGAGATTGCTGTGTCTACCTCCTTACTACGTAGTATGGTCCTGTACGAGTCTGCTATGAAAATACATCTACTAGTTGGGTTCGAAACCTAAAACCGCTGTCCTTTTGGTGGAGTGGTAGATGTAATATTCCTTTATACATAGTTTTCTTCTTCTTTGCCACACACCCACTGCAAGGACTGAATCTACGCGTTTGGCCATATTGCTGTTAGAATCCCTGCGTTTATGATACGTATCTGTTACGTACTAGCATGATGGTACAAGGTCCCCGCATGCAAAACGCACGAAACGCTCTTGTAACTGTTACGCCCTGTTATTTATGGCAGTGAGCATTGCTATACAAATTGAACGCCAAACGCTGTTTCTGAGCTGTTGCAGTAATGCGCTTCTATAGCTATTAGTGTGAGCAAATGCTCCTCTTGATAGGAGTAACTCAATCAATTCAATTGGTATCTCCGTACGCTATTTGCTACATCCTCTAACACGCAGAACCACTAAATTTCATATTAAAAGAGGCCTATATCTCAACCAGCTAAGATAGGGAGTAGAAGAATAGCCTAAAGGGGAATAGCCTCGTTAGGTGCCTCGATGAAAGGCCGCGGAGTTAACGGAGGCAGAGGCGTCAACATTCTCGGTTGTAGAGCCACAACGCCAGTACGGTTTCTTTGTGGCGCAAAGTCCGCGTGTTGTCGCTTCTCAGCTGCGGCTGAATTGCAGACACTCGCATGCTTTTGGGCTAGATTGAGCTTTAGATATCACCTCTGGGACATTCGGCCCCAATAGTTGGCCCTATCCCCAACGAGTCCAGGAACATGTTCTCGATTGCAGTTCGCCTTTGGGACGACTTGCGGACTGAGCACAGGCGAAATGCTGGCTAGAGCTTCATAATGTGTGGATTAATGCTGCGCAACAGTAAAGAACCTTCATGGATGGTCGATGCACATCGCCCACTCCTGCGCCTGAAGCCGCGAGCTGAGGCTTCCACCTCAATTGATAGGTATTCGGCTCGAGATCAGCTGAGGATACCTCACGCCTCAAGCATGGTTGCATGAATTGTGCGCTAGATGGTGCCCGCATAGAACGGGGTGATTAGCCAAGGATCTGATTATAAAGGAGAGAGCTGGATTAGCATTCCATGTTGTCGACCGCATCTTGAAGGGCGCTGCAGCACCCTGTTATTGGGCAGAAGCTACTCTTACACAGTTGCCATAAGCATTATCTTGCTTTGCCCATCATGGTTGTTGACAAGAATGACATCCAAGGCGATGTATGGAGCAAGGGTTTTTTGAAGCACAATGAAACGTACTACTTCTTCTCTATCGCGGACCAAAAGCAGAAAATCTTTTCCCAGTGCTTGAAGAAACTGGCGGCTCAAGTGGGCGATGCATCTCTCATCACCAGTCTGACACAGGTACAGAAGGACCGGGATACAGCAGGCGAAGCGCGTGCTCTCAACAAAATTGCAATTATATCCAATGCTTTGATCGCATTCACCAGAACAGGATTGGACGTTGTGAGTAGTATTACCGAGACGAATTTACCAGGACTCACGCAGTCAGATACAAAGTGCTCTTCCAAACACAGCCCTAAGATTGAAAAGAGTCGAAAATACCGATCCAGCGTTTTACGCTGGAATGAAGGAAACTAATGAACTAAAAGATCGACCCGCTAATGATTGGGATCCGTTGTTCAACGCCACGAGCACCCCAATCCACGGACTGCTCAAGGTCGCTGGAAGCGATGCAAACGAGGTTGAAAGGAAGCTGCAGGCTATCTTGAAAGTGCTTCAGCATGGCACTGTTACCCTAGATGTAAAGGGTATATCGCCGCCTACTACCGTAGAATCGAGAATCGACGGCGCAGTGAGACCCAAAGATTTCATACTCGACGGCAAGCTTGTCAATCTCAATGGCAAAGAGCAGTAAGATGGGCGCCTGGGACTGCAATGACCAAAACACTGACAAATCCGCGCAGTTTTGGGTTTGAGGACGGCATCTCTCAGCCATTGATACAAGGGATTGACACACTCGAGCCGGAAGTTGCTGGTGTGGCAAATATGAATACCGATGAAGAAGTCATCATCCTATCCAAGTTTAGCCCCAAAACCGATAACAATGTAGCCCGTCCCGACTGGATGTACAACGGGACATTCCTTGTCTTTCGCAAGCTTGAGCAGGACGTGGATGCCTTCAACAAGCTCATCAAAACTTGGAATCAACATGGCTGCTCTAGCGAGAAGCACATGGGCGCAAAGCTGATGGGACGTTGGGAGAGTGGTGGGTAGAGGAACATCTTGCTATCCATTTTTCACTAGATAATTAGTTTATCATCGCTCACAGCTTTCTGACAGGTGCCCCCATCGTTAAATTCCCGGACAACGACTCGCCCGACCCAGACAATGCAAGGACTTTTAATGAGTTCAACTACGACGGCGACGCTACAGGCAAGACTTGTCCTTTTGCTGCGCATATCCGAAAGGCCAATCCCAGGAGACCAAGGAACCCTAACGAGCAGTCAACTTTTCTGACCAGAATGATCCGGAGTGGAATCACCTATGGGTCTGAGTTCTCCGAGAAACCTCTGGAAAAGCGTGGTCTCTTGTTTGCATGCTATCAGAGTCATATTGAGTCAGGATTCAAGTTCATGCAGGCCTCTTGGCTCAACAATGAGAACTTTTCGACCGCAGGAGCTGGTCATGATCCAATCATGGGCCAGACGGCTAACAGGAAGTTGTTGACGAATATCGGCGGTACCTCAGTCAGCTTTGATGAGATGGTAACACTGAGAGGTGGTGACTATTTTTTTGTGCCATCGATTTCGGCTTTGCAAAAGACACTGGGCCAGGACTGAATCAAATCCCACTTACCTGGCGTTGAATCGGTGCATAAACCCACTTTTGTAAAGTGGTCTTTGTACGGTACATGAGTCATGATATGATCTCCCTGTTTACCAATGATTGTTATGATGGAGAAATGTGCGACACTTTGTGGACGAGCTTGTGTCTCATAGATACGATGAATAAGTGTGATTTATTTTATGTATCAACGGTTCCAAATCACGATCCTGATATCAGAACCACTCAGTCGTGCACCAAACAATGATCTCACTAATCAGACCTAGGCAGTATTGCTCATTCCAATTTCCTGCTTTTAGTCGCAGATAACAATAGTTAAGCGAGTATCTGCACGCTCTGCGACTCGCTTGGCACGCCATTGGTAAAGACGAACAACATCCAGTAGCCTGGCAGGGCAACACCTCTGTCGGCAGGAATTTTCGCCGTATAGGTGAAGTCAGCCATACTGGTCTTCTTGGGCTGAAGCTCGATACGTCTCTGATCGTTGTTCAACGAATGGGTGACCCCACTGTATCGAACCAAGGACGCACTGTTACCATCGTCTATGGCGGTGGTCGTTGTGAAGGTAAGAGTTTCTCCGACTTTGACCGTGTTCTTGGTGACTGACTTGATGCGTGGTCGTGGCGCGAATTTCCCGTCCTGAAGCAGGTAGGGGGGGTAATAGATTTGAGCATCGAAGTGATTCGTTTCAGCTCTTCCCAAACCACTACCGCCGACAAGAACAGTGGCATCCGGAAGGAGTAGCGCGAAGGAGTGATATACTCGAGGAGTCGAGTGAGGGGCCGCATTCCTCCACTTCTGTCCATTGGGCGCTTTGGGCGAAAAGATTTCCGGCACCGTATGCCAGTCATCCTCCCAGAAGGGCTCGCCCCTCTCTTGACCGCCGATCACAAGGGTTTCACCGTTAGGCAGGGTCACGGCGTTGGCGAAGACGCGCTTCAAGTTCATCTGGTCCGTCTTTGTGACTGTTGCATTCACGCCAGGGTCTTTTAACTCGAGGATGAAAGCGTTGTTCGTCGCAGGTTTGCGCCTGGGATCTGATATTCCTCTCCATCGATCTGCCCAAAAGTGATATTGTGGAGCACCACCAGCCGTGAGGATGAGGCCCTTCTCTGCATCGTACATTGATGTAACGCCGCATACAGCATCGCCATCAGAAAAGCTACCGTCTTCACGGGTTCCTGCGGCGGAGATTTTGCGGGGGTTATTTGTGGTGATCCAGTGCATCGTCGCAGCAGGTCCTGCATGGAAGATGGAGTCTTGTTTCCACCCAAACAGCCACACATGAAAGTCCCAGCGGTTCGGGTCTGGATCGGATTTCATCTCGATGTCTGTGGATTTCCAGTCTTCGCTCTTTTCCCATTTGTTGTTAACATGATCATATATCTCACCAATCTTGTTGTGCAGGCCATCCCCCGCCCAGCTTCCACCTATGAGGAAGGTCTTGCCATTGGGCACCAATGTTTGGCCCTGATAGCCGCGTCCAATTTTCAAGTCATCTCCTGATGACCATTCATTCTTCACCGGGTCATAGATACTTGTCTTGGAGTTAGTAGAACCGCCTGTGATGATCATGTGACCGCTTTCGTTGAATGACATTCCAGGACAGAACATGTCGTGATTGGTACTTTCGATCCGTGTATCGGTCATGCCTTTGTTGCCGTGTTCCCACGTGGCTGTAAGAGTGGTAGCAGGGAGATGATCTTTTTGGAAGCCATCGTGTCGGTACGACGAAAATGTAACTACGTTGCCGGTGATTGGATTTACAAATGCCCCAACGGGGACCAGAGGGAAGTTTAAGGTGATGCCCCAAGTTCCTCCATTGGTCACAGGGGCTGGAATGGAATCCACAACGAATACACTGAGATCGCTAATGGCAACAAACTTGGCATTGTTTGTCGACTCCAATGCCACAAGCCGCACGTGTCGGGCGACTCGAGGCTCAAAGGTCGCATATTTCACTACAGAGCGGTTAGTACACCCTACCTCTGGGGAATTCGTCGGATAGTTGAAGAATCAATACCTGCTGTGTCAGAAAACCAGGTTCCATAAGCGACATCTTGCCAATTATTGCCGTCGGTGCTGATTTGCACCACATGCTTGGAGACTGCACCTCCCTCTTTGGCATCCTCCCGGGGGGTCATGGCAAGGCTGTGCACCTTGAGATCTTGACCAAGGTCGATCGCAACCCAATGGCCATGCAGATTCCCTCCAAGGTCTGGTAGCGGAGCACCATCTGCAGTCTGCCAGTAGGTCGTGACGTCGGCGTCAGTTGTGAGCTCGCATTGGTGACCACTTTTTGAGCTGCTGCATGTCGGCTTCGTTTTATCGGTAAGAAGCTTACCCATGGGTGGTTTTGCGACGAATTCGGGCGCCTCCGGTGCGGCAAACTGGTTGCAGTCTCCTTGATGGACCTTGTAGTCTGGCAAAAGAGCATGATATGCCGAAGTAGCGTAGCCGATGATGCTTTGGCCATGGAATAGAGTGACGACGCATGCAGAACTCAGGATGAGAAACTTAAGAATAAACCAGAGCTTCCCGGACTTAAACCATGCCTTCTCAGTTGGCACCGGACCATCCGCAAAAGGTAATCCAGTCTTATCGGAGCCCTCAACCAGCGGAAGTTGCTGATCGTTGGGAACGGGGCCGACAATCCTCTTGAAGAGGTAGTGGTGGCGACTTAACATTGTGTCTCAGTGACGCAGAGAAAAGGCTTAGAATGAAACTGTTGAAAGTAAGGCGGGCTGCAGTCCACAGCGCAACAGTTCTGGACTTTACCAAATCCGAGAACACAAGTGAGATGGGCAGCTGGCCTTTCATTCATCTCTCAGGGCTCCTCGTAAAGTATGCAGAGAGCTTCCCAGCTCTTCGAACAGGCCACAATGTATCTCGAATTCATCGTGCGTTCAGCTCGGCGCTCTTGTTTATTCCAGCTCCACTAGTTGCTGCGCGTGAAGCCTTCTTTCCAGTAGCAGCTCTGCATGGACAGGCATTTTCGGACTCCAATTAGCCAGTGTTGTAAAACGTGGTTATGGACTAAGCTGGTCGCAGATCATGGCGCACTAAAACGAAATGTGCAAATTCACAGACAAAATGAGCCAAGCGTGATTGAGATGCAGTCAAGTCCAGCCTATGAGGCGCAGACCGTCTCTTTTTGAGCTGAATGCGGACGCCTCCACACTAAGCTAAACTTCGTCCTAACTTCATATGCAACCTGCTTTCGTATTCACAAAGGAGTCAGTGTTCAGCCTTGACCACGAATGCAAGAGCTCAGATGGCCTGAGGTAGCTTGCTTGGGAATGGGGATAAACCAAGGCGACTCAGTGGGGAATTGTTGGTACTTTTATGCCACTCAGTAGCGTACGCTCTCCTAGGAATCCATTTATCTCAGGAAATGTTGGTACCTTGGTACCAGTCACGGACGGACGCCTGATTTCAGCCTTATTGGATGATCAGGCTGTGTCTTCAGGGTGTAACATTGACAATACAATACAAGTATGCTTAGACGGAAAAGTGACTGGGCTGGGAATTAAAAGTAGGTTGTCTAAGGGCCGCAAATAAAACTGGGTGACGCCTCCCGTTGTTTTCGGCGGAGACACCGCCCTTTTGGTGGGGCATTGTCACAGTGATGGGACTGTATAATGCAAAATCGGTCAATACTGCCCACAGCATGGAAGCGAATAGAGCTTTCACACAGCCGGTAACTTTCACTTTTAATATGTATTGTGGATGTGGCTTGGCCTTCGTATCGTTGGGAAAGAGTGCTGATACGACCACGTCATGGATACGCCAATTGGATGCTTTCACAAAGATGCTAATGAATATTCTCGTACTTCCGCGGAGCGGGGCGACTATGGCGTATTTCCGTAGGCCTGAACGGGTCAATATCAGAAGATCTGGAGCGCCATCACCTGAGTCTTTTGGGAATGAACACTCGAAGAGTGACTCTGGGAAGAAGCAAGTGAATGTCGTCCAGCGCGCGGGTGCAAAATGCGGGGAGGCTGATTCGGGCAGTGTCTAGGTTGATTAGAGGCAAACCGACCAATGTACAATCAATTTGACTGAAAGGCTGCCTGTGTCTGTTTCTTTCTGCTAGTCTGCTCCTTATCTTGTTGTTTTCCTGAACACCCAATCTTGGTTGTAGCATCTCTGTGCCAATTTCATAAGGAAATCCCAAGACTCCTCTGCTGTTCGGCTCATAGTCAATTAACTTTTGTCCTTATCGATGAGCTTGGAGGCTCTTTTGCTTTCGTCCCTGTCACGTTGAATGAAAATAAAACGTGTAGAGGGACCAAATATAAGACTTTGAACATGCTTATAAAATGTTATTTGCGCTGGGTTACAATTGACGAAGCACTCCGATCGTTTTTCTCACTTCAAAGTAGCCTTAGACTCCATCGAGGGATTTCATGTGAGCTTCCAGGGTTATGGCACAACGGAAGGAGTGGCAAGCTACACAGAGTACTTAACATCCCCCCTGGGTCGCGGGACGCACCCCGAGACGGGACAAACCATGGCAAGCCAAGCCTAATTAGGCTCAGCCTCTTGAATTGAAGCCTCAAGCCTCAGGCAATTGGGCCTGACAGCGGGAAGGACTATTCCAAATACTTAAGTGTAGCTCAATACTGCTTGAGGCAGCGGATCGCGTTCATGTACTGTTCTTCCTTCCACCGTTCTAACTTATAATTACATATACATCTGGTCAACTGTTTCTCGATATTTCAGAGATATTCCATCTAGGAACAATGACTTCACACCCTCAAGCGGAAAGCACAGCCGCGATCGCGAGGGACGATGAAGCTGGAGCGAATATACAACCCTTAACAATGGGAGGTGCCCTCTTCAGAGACCACGAGGAAGAACGCTCTCACATTCCCACAGGCGGCAAAAGTCCTGTCAACTACATTGAAAATGATGCGGATGATGAATTCGCCCCAGAAGCTAGTGGCCCCGTCAGGGTAGAGCAAATGGTACGGGGCGGACCGGTCAAGCTTGCTGGTAGAATCGGGGCAACTCAAGGGAAAGTCACCTTTATCTCGAAGCAAGGCGACATTGATCTTACGGAGTCCCAGCCCGTATACAGTCAACAGGAAGAAGGGTACTTAGTCACAACATTGCATCTTGCATATTCAAATCGATTTGAGATTGCGACAAGAGCCCGAACAGCCCGCCGTCGAGAACTAGAAGTTCTCGCGCCATTTCTAGCGGACGAGCTGCTTTCAGAGCTGCAGATTTTACGCGAAGACGTTTCGTCGGTCTCCACTGCATCCGTCTCTGGAACCAAGCCAGATCCCGGCCCACGAAATCCGCAAGGCTCTTGTGGTGAGGAATGTTGGTTGAGAACAGACGTTCCCGAAAGCGAGCCTATTGTCGGTGGTAGTTACAGGATACCCATCTCTGCGGATCCGTTCTTCAGATATTCCGCTATCGTACCGGGTCAAACGCGCATTCTCTGCCTTCAACCTGGATCAGCAGACCACCCAGTCACTATCAACATCATTCCAATGAATTCGAACGATGTCGGACCGTATGCTGCTTTGTCGTACACCTGGGGCTCACCAACACAATCAAAGCGCATCATTGTGATAAACAAAAAGCTCCATACAGTGTCCGAAAATCTGTACAATGCATTGCTATATCTACGTCTCAGTGACAGGCCCAGGTGGCTCTGGGTCGACGCCATATGCATCAATCAAGAGGACATGGCAGAAAAATCCTTCCAAATTCCTATGATGACGAGCATCTACCGCAACGCTCAGAAGGTGGTCATCTGGCTTGGAGAGCACAAGGACAATAGTGCTCTCGCCATAGCAGGAATGAAGCTGCTTGACCGGGAAGAGACTCGCAAGAAAATAATGGAACCAGCGCACGACGAGGAGTGTCTAAGGCAACTCAATAAGCTGTACGAAGCCTTGCTCGCCATCTACCAGCGTCCGTTCTTTGGCCGCGCATGGATCCGTCAAGAAATTGCCGTAGCCAAACGAGTGGAAGTCCAGTGCGGGCAGGATACCGTATCGTGGCTCGGGCTGAAGAGGACGGCCCGAAGATTGCATTCCCTGAGAAACATAATCAAAAGCGAGAGCGCGATCGATCCACTTGATTTCAAATCTGATGACTTGGGCAACCTCAAGTTCCTGTCCCGAGGATGGCGCTATGGACAATCAGCCTTGGGATTTATGGCCGAAGCCCAGAGTGTCTATTACTATCATGGTGGCGGATTGCTCGAATTGCTCATGATTTCTAGGCACTTTGAGGCCACCGATCCGCGCGACAAAGTTTATAGCGTTCTGGGTCTTGGGAGAGAACCTTTGCAAGCACAAAATGCATCTTTAGAGCCAGTCCGACCACTAGCTGCCAAAGATTCCTCAGGATTATACGCAGCGTTATATCACCATATGGTGAGGTGCTTCACTTACATGCGGGATAAAGTACATAGCACCCTGGGTCTTACGAGCGAACCAGTCTCGGAGGACACAGCTGCCCTGACGGAAATCTTGGCTCCACCACCCAAATTTATCGTGGACTACTCCCAATCTGTCTCTCAGGTATATCAGCATGTGGCAAAATACTTCATCAATCGTGATCGCAATCTCGACATCCTCTGCATACTAAGCACACATCGAGGACCCGAATCCTCCGACCTTCCATCATGGACACCAGATTGGCGAGTCACAACTTCTCATATCGGACTCACCGAGTGTTGGGACTACATCGGGATGAAGCACTCTTCTGCCAATTCTGCTCTAGCGGAGCTCCAAGATCAAGACGGCGCTGGACGATTGATCGTGCGCGCATATCTTGTCGAACAGATTAAAATCCTTCTAGAGGTGACAGGCGACGTGTGCAATACCATAAATATGGCCATGTTCGGACCAGACGAGACGGCCAAACATGAAGCGGAGACAGAGCCCTTCAATTCAGGAAAACACGTTCGAAGGTTCTGCAAAACGCAATCCCGGTTGCAGTTCTTAGTCCCTGCAGGCGCTGAGGAAGGCGATGTCATTGTCCTCCTTTACGGTTCTCGTTTACCCTTCGTGATTCGGCCTCTAGTATGGGACTCGTATTTGACTGTAGAAGACGTCACGTTCTGCAAGCCAGGCGCCGAATTCGAGTTGATAGGGCCTTGTTTCCACCCGATCCTTATGAACGGGCATGCTTTTATGAGGTTTCAAAAGAACTATTCGTTGCCTGAAAAGATATTTCTTATCTAATATTTGTTGTAGTAATGTGTGATTAAAAATGAATGCTTTGGAATTCGTCAAAGCATGTTGATGCATTTGCAAGTAAGGTACGGAGTACGGAGTATGTGTATTCGCCGATGGGATGGTTTGTGGCGGGGTGAGAGTGTGTAAAGGCACAAGAGGGATGCAAGAATGGATTGCTAACCTACGACGCTCCGCTCTTATAAATGACTGTTTCCAGTGTTTAATTGCTTGGCCGGCTTGATCCGGACGGGAGGGATTCCTTCAGTTCAGCGCTAGTATCTTTACTCGAAACGTTCTTTACGTAGTGTACAAAACAGCTAAGCTCATATTAGACTAAGAGTAAATTTTCAACTCATTTGAATGGTCATTTCTAATACAAGCTTTGCAATAACAAATCACGGCACTATGAGGGAGTAGCAAGAACTAGCCGCTACTAGCAGCAGCATAACAATACTTCAGGCCCCCCGGGTAGTACATGAGAAGTAAAATACCTGGTCCACGAGTTTGTACGGTAAATGAGTTTATACAGAGAATCAGCGAATATTTTTTATATCTGTATTTGGCGTTCCGCGTTCAGACTCTTCTGTAAAGTTCAGAATTTACGCATTTAGACTAGCCTGTTGCACATCAGCCTATTGTGCATCAGCCGATGGCGAAGCAGGAAGTGTCTAAATATCTTGAGACAACATGCCTAATTTCAAAGCTCCTCGAAAGCCGTCCAAACTGTCACGGAAAAAGCACCCGAAATGAATAACGGCGCGAAGACGACTGGGTACGAACAGCCCGCTGTGGCTACTAATAGGAACTCACGCCAAAACAAAGCTGTCGATTGTGAGGCCAACGAACCTCCAGCAGAGCCTCAAGCTTCGCTAGAAAGCCTACTGAAAGCTCACGACTATGAACAGCCCACCGCAGCTACCAACATGAACCTACACAAAGATAAGGCTGTCGACGGTGATACCAAGCAACCTCCAGCAGAGCCTCAGCGTTGGCCAGAAATCCTACGCGAAGCCTTGAACTTCGCAACAAAGCTCAGTGTGGGACTTATTCGCATGCTGCGCACCTTTGTCGTCACTCTGGCACCGTTTCTTTCAACGCTTCTGGTCCTCTTCTTTCTGGTCAACATCCTCCGTGCAGCCTTTGAGTCCTCATGCAAGATCCCTTTCGTCCCTTACATCTCTTACCCTTACTGCCAGAGCTTTGACGACAGAACTCAGAGGGTTGATTCGCTGGAGAACCTTCAATCACAGCTTGTACACGTTCAACAGATTGTGCGAGTGGCCTCACACTCCCCATGCAACTCGAATATAGCAAGAACGTAGTGCGCGAAGTGGCAGGCATAGTCGACCACAGTAAAGTCCCCTCTCGGTAAGTTGAGTTACGAGAGAGTCCATCGAATGGGAGCTAACGCAAAGACCCTTGTAGAGACAAGATAGTCGACCATCTGACTGACTTCTGGCAGCTCACAGATAACACAATAGACGGTCTCGGTGATTTCTTGCAGGGCATCGACCGAATGGTAGACAGCACAATCACCCGTAACGAGATTACGCTCCGCAATTTGAGGAATATCGCATCTAAGCGTGCCGAACCAGCTAGTATTGTACTGCAGGTTATCGCTGTTCTTTTCCACACGCCTCTCACCGCCGAGAACGCAATTCGCAGACAGTACCTCGAACACCTGGACAGGTTGATGGCCGAAACCGATAGGTTACTCCTCGATTCACACCTTCAAGACAACAATCTAAAGAGATTGGCCAATATCCAGTGGGACATTCACAACATTATTGTGGGGGATAATGATCATGTAACGGAACAGGAACAGGAGGTCCAGGGCAATTTTTGGGCTCAGTTTGGTGGATATAAGAAGTTGCTGGACGATTATAAGCAGCAGGCTGCGGTTCTGCAGCAACTCGATGTGCAGCGCAAGTGAGCTGTGGATCTAATAAGTGATATTACTGGGAGGCTGAAGGAATTGAAGTCCAAACTGGGTGATCTTCGGTATAGGATTCAAGAACCCAGGTTGGATTTGTCTGGCGATCTGGATTTTCAGATTGTGATCATCCGAAGGAGTCTTGATAATTTGTATGCAGGAAAGGCGAAGTCACTGAGCGAAAAACAGAAGACTATAGCAGACATAAGGAAAGAGATTGAAGGAAACGAGGTTATATGTCGATGGGTGGCTATACCGATGACTCTTCCCGATCGCTCTGGGTCATTCTTTGAGTCATTTATGTTGCCATCTGGGTGTGTTTAGTTCCCTTGATAGTCAGCCTCGACCACAGACAGAGAGAAGTAGAGAAAATGATCAATGCACTCATTGGAAACGCTTCCGTTCCCAATTAAATCCGGAAATATATGACATAGTGCTATCAAGTAGTCGTGCTTCAAAAGTTTTCAATATCCGCTAAATTTAGAGCGTCAATAGCACAATCGATCTAAGCTTTAGCGGCACGTAGAAACTACATTATAAGGGTGGATCCCTAGAACTACTGCTATCACCCTCTTATCTTAGAGACACCTAGGGACCCATTTAGCTCTGTATCAGTTAAGCTTTAACCATCCGCCCTCTGACAATCTTTACGCTTCTACTGTCTAGTGACAGTACGCTAGTACAAGAAAAGCTAGCTCTTCTTTGTCCAAGTTAGCGAAGCATGACTTCGTAAGCTTAGAAGTGCGGCCCACAGGAATCATCACTTAAATTGGATCAAGTGCACACTGCATGCCTCACTGTAAATGCCAAGTACACATACACAAGCGTAGGGTTACTTTACTAATGTAGGTCTTGCTGCACACCGTATTCGGAGGTGCTGCTTCAAGTAGGACTTTGTTGACGGTAGACAAACGGGCCTACAGAAATGCAATCCAGGAAGGCCCGGGAGCGTAGCATGTGAAATGCCCAATTTGAAAACCAGAGAAACGGTTTCAAACAAGGCATGATGTCCTTCTCGATCAGGTCAAACAGCGAGATACAAGGCTTATCATTTTGATATAAATCTTGGGAATGGACCCTCACACACTGCTACTTCACCAATATCTCTGTTCGGTCATGTGCGTTCGTAAAGTATTGGGATATGTTAGAAAGCTGGCTGTTCTATATATATGAAGTCTGGCTATCTCCATGACCTTAGAGCCACTAACCGATGGCCTTGATACGGTCGTCCACAAGACACTTCCAATCACTACTTCCATAGTAAATTGTATGTCCGTCATTGTGTGTTTGTTGACCGGTCGATTTGATCGTTTCTCCAAGTTGCCAGAACAAATCCGCACCCATCCCATTGTCCTTCGCACCCAAGGAGGTCTTCTGCCAATCGCTCTCCACTGAACAGTGCTGCGCCGCCTGTGAAACCCCATACTCTTCAAACAAGCAGGGCTTGTTCAATTGCTTGCAAATGTTCGCGTGAGCCGTGACCCAGCCGTTGCCGAAGGAGTTGGAGACGCCCCACGATTCTGGGTAGAGATGGAATGTGCCGAATGAGATGTTTGGGAGAGCGAGGTTGGCGGCCCAGTCGACACCCTCGCCGAACTGGTAGGGGTAACTGCCATCACCAGCCAGACCGAATCCTTCGTCACCAGCAGCAATCATATGATCGGAGTCCAGTGAGCGGATGTAGTCAGATGTCTTCTTCATCCAGTCTGTAAGAACGCTCGTGTGGCAGCCTCTGCAGCGAGGCTCATTTGCCAACTCCCAGGCAAAGACAGCTGTAGAAGTCCTATAACGGCCCACAACGGTTTTAATGTAGTTGTGGTACATGGACTGACACTTTGACGCGGCGTACCATTGCTCATTGCTGCTAACCCCACAAGCTGAGAAGTACGCTGCCATGCCGCCGTAAGCCGTCCAGTAATTGACGAAGTTGATGATCAGCTTGATTCTATATTTCTCTGCGGTCTTGACGACTGCGTCAAGGCGCTGTAGGCCATTAGCTCCAGTGTTGATGGTCGCTGTAGACCCGGAGAAGGATTGGAAGTAGACTGTCCCCGAGCCAGGGATCGTTGTAACGTCATTGAAACCCCAGATACGTAGAATTCTCTGGCCAGATGTTTGGAGATGGGACATTATACTGTCAACATCGTCGTTGTTCGTTAGGAAAGGAATCCAGTAACTGTTCGTTCCGGCGTAATCTATGCAATGCGTAAACTTGGAAAACGGGGAGGAGTAGAGAGTGGATATCTTAACCTACATTTAGTGATACCATCAATCTTGAATTTAGTGCCATCAGCCCTTGATATCGCGGCGTACTGCGTACTGCTGTTCGATACCGGTAGTGCTGCTGCCACAGCAACGAAGGGAAGTAGAGAAGCGATCTTCATGGTGGACTGTGGGCTGCTTCAATACAGAATAGGATGCCATTGAAGAGGGGAGACACTCTTTTATAGGGAAACAGTCACTTGACCATTGCTACTCAGACCCCAAGCTAGACGGGCAAGGAAATTGCGTTCCAAATCCGGGTTAGGCCGAGGCACTGTGTAATAAGGCTCTGAGCTATTGCTATGCGGTGCAGGGTATAGACCCTGTACAAGGTAGAAGAGATCTAGCAAGAGATGAAGTATAAATATAATATTGCAGGCCAGGCGCCGAGGCCTCACAACCTTATCTCCGCTCAAGTAGCTTGTTGATGGTCTCAGACCCCATGATGAGCGTCCATCGCCCCCGATATCTTCTGCTTCTCCTTTTCTTCTCAATCGATTATAGGTGTCGGTCGGATGTTGTAAAAATACAGGAAGACTGATTGGATTATATCAGCCGCTCTGCGGGCGGAAAAGCCATTTCCGTGCAAAACCCCTGTGCCACTGCATGATGGATTTTTTTCCTTATTAAGAATAGCGTTGACGTGATTAAGATTTCTAATCTTGCCGCAGCCTTGGCATCAAAATCGCGGCAACGCTTCTTGATAAGGAAGGAAGCCCATTCAGTGACCCGGGTGTACGTCGGTCGAAACTCCGATGTGCATCAGACTTGGATCATGTTTTGTTGGTCAAAATGTGACAAACTCCAGATAGATATGGAGTACACATGCAACTTTTCAGTAACACAAGGAATGCAATAAGTATGCAGGCTAAGGCGCCCAGGCCTTACAGTGTAACTGTAAAGTTCGTTCTGGCAGAAGTGTAAGGACGGAGGAGAAACGGCAGCACTACTGCGCAGTAAGGTAATAGTATTATGCAAACTAATCCTTAGAGAACCTCTCCACCGAGGTAGGAATCCTCTACTGTTAAGGACACTGTTCTACGCTAATTAATGTGAGCCCCTGCGATCTTTCAAGGATTAATGTGGTTAGTGTACGGACAAAATCACAATACATGAGAGACTTAGGGTGAGCCGCTGATGGATAGCGCCTGAGCAAGGCGGCGATGCTGAGAAACCAGATGGAGGCCTCGCCAGAAAAATCTTATGGGATAATATCTTATGAATGTGCCGTAAACCATCTGCTAGCCCATGGAACTGTGTTAGAAGCCAGCGTTCCCGAGCTGCATCCAGCCTGGGAAGAGGGCCCAGAAGAAGCGAGCGCAGATTAGTCTGGGCGAGGGGTAGAAGTAAATGATAACCTTGATCGTCGGACCAAGAGTCCAATAGGGTCGGTTGGAGGCGGGAAGCTGGTCCACGCCCGGCGCTGCAGGGCCCGGGAACAGCGGTGTAGCCAGCCGAAAGGGCGAAGGGAAGGCCAGCTGGGAGGGAAGCGCGAGAGAGGGGGAAGGGAGGGAGGAACAGAATATAGAAAAATATGTACGTCGAAGGGGATCGAGGAGCAGCGAGCGCTTTATACCAGGCTAAGCGGCGAGGGAACGTTAACTCCTATCGGGCAAGGCTAAACCCGAAGAGGCATTACACCGCCTTTGCAGACCATCCCTATTCCTCCGCACTGGCCATTAGATAGACAAATCAACACACTTTCTACGCAACCCCATAACATACAGCTATTTGCCAACATTAACATCATACAAAGGCGTCCCTCGTAACACTCAGTGAGGAAAAGCAACATCTTGTGGCGACTCAGAATCTCCCAAAGACATTCCTGTTTCCAACTCCTCCAGCACTGGTAGGACCATGTCCAACCCCTGAGTATACTTCAAACGCATCTCCTGAAATAATCGGTGGTTACTGCATTGGTCCGGGCCTCTTGCTGAAGTTGTTGATTGGCAGCCCCGAGCTGATTGACTTCTTCTTCGGCGCGATGCCTGAGCTCCGTTTCTGTAGTTGCCAGATCTCTCCACTCATTTAGCTCTCCATTCAGTCTGCCATTCTCTTCCTCGAGTTCTTCGATCTTCTTACTGTAACTGACCGCTGGATTTTTTAGCGTCTAGGAGAAACGTTAGAAAACTTATGATCGTGTAAGATCCGACTCTTATTATTTGGCGTACACTAAGCCATATCATAGGTTCCTGCGCATTTGCAGCAACTGTATTTATTGCCATAGGCTCAGCCTTAAACGTTACGCCGACTCCTTCACATAGTTCTTTATAAGCCTTAATTGAATGATCGCTTATATTCTTTGAGAATATTTTGGAGAAGAGCTCCCTCTTCTCGGGCAGAATTTTCCAGACATACAGGTCGCCCGCGCCAGGGACAAGACGAACCTGTGACGGCTCTACTGCGATTCCTATCCTGTGGTCTTTAGATGTATTAGTCTAAATTTTGGTGAAGAGCTTGTTTGGTCTTATATATATGCTTCGATAACTTTTCTTCAGCACTCGCTTATCCATCGTCAACGTTCAATATTGCTCGATCATACTAGAGCTATTTCATGTACGGTATAATCCAGGACGATAGTAAAGAGACAAGTCAATAATTACTAAATATAGACTCTCCGGCCGACTTGATTTACTTAAGAGTGAAATCATCTTTGATAAGGTACTGTTTTCAGCCCCGGGGACATTTGAGGAGAGTTCCCCTTTCTGGGCCCTTTCTATGTATAGAACGTCCCAACTGACAAAATAGAAATACAACTGCGCAACCTTTCTTATCGTTTAGTACATAATTCATTTGCCTGTTCATCAAGGTAGAAGATTCGATAATGTCAAAACCTAATCTCGGGCCAGGAGGAGTTCGGCCTCGAAGGCCGCGACGGTGTCAGGATCAATATCCTTCTTTCTTTCCCAGCTTTTTTCGCTTTCTGGATATCCCAGCCACTTTACAAGGTATTTGACTGCTCTTCTAATCCCCCGCTTTTCGACTAATTTCTCGACCCTCCACTGGTTATCCTCCGGATCTAAGGCAGTTGGTTAATCATATTTCAATTGCTTGTTAGAGCAGCCTGGTCCAGCCTCTTCAACCTGGTAGCCTGAGATCTTAAGTACTGGATTTTCTTCTCGCTGCAGGTCAGCCAGAATGGCCGAGGAAAAAACTAAAGCGTCTCGTTCACAGGTAGAATCATCTATGTTCCTGGTCAGATGGGTACACATGACCGTTAGTGTCTGTACGCACCCTGAATCAAACCAGCTTCCGAACAACTCGGCTCAGCTGTATCATATGCGTTAGGATCCGCGCTCAATCCTTCCCGAAAGAGTACTGGATCAATGAGTTCTTCGCTGCAAATGGATGACGGTGGCGTTTGGCATGTCTGGAGCATCTCGTCCCCTGTTGAGGAGCAGGGTGATGACTTGATTCTGCGTGGTTCACGAAAGCCTATAGTCTCGATGGTGGTGTTAACGAAGGCGTATTCTATTTCAATGGACACTGCGTCGTCCTCTTCTCCCTTGTAATTGCGACGCTGCCTCTTCTTTGCATAGGGTGAGTTTCGTGCCTTCATCTTGGGATCTTTTTAATGGGATAGCCATTTTGATGAGGTTAACACCATGAGCATCTTGAAGATGAAACTCTAGCTGCTGTACGGGCTTGAATAACTCAGCGCAGTTGGGTATGGACATTCCGCAGGTTTACTTCCGTCAAGGTCCTGGATATGTTTGTGGATATGGTCTAGCCAACTCCCGCAATTCAAAAACTGTTGCATTCGCTTGCTGGATGGCAATTTTGAGTACGTGAGATAAAAATGACAGTACCCAGCGGTGGCAAGAACGTCACCATATATGAGAGGATCGCAATAGACTAGAAACGCGTCTATATTCCGCAGATGATTCTTACAGTGTTGGTCCCAGGCTTTAGATCCTGAAAACCACTTGTTGCAGAGAAAACACAGCTCTATAAAGCCGCTGCGGTTCTTGTAACATCTATATATATATTTCCAGCTGTAGGGAGCCTGTGGGTCGAGGCTGCGCTTGAAGCCATCCTTTCGGCAGTCGCACTTGTCTGGTTCTAAGGGCGGCCGGTAATCTACCTCCGGACCCTTTTGATAAAGTGCCATCATGTCACAGAGGACGGCAAGAGCCATAGAACTTCATCAGGGGGCGACTTCAAATAGATTAGATGCGAGGCGGCCCCGTTCAGGCATCATAAACCTGACCCGATCAAAGATGGCTCTGTGGTACCCGGCTCAATCACTGTCCTGTTAGGGCCGCTTTTGCCATTCGCGGAATTTTTCGTCGAGCAGCTAGCGCTTCCTTCGATACAACATGTTTCGTCGGCTGATTGATTCCTTGTCAGTCACTCCCTTCAGGGTGTGGATCGCTTTATTTAAATCGAGGGATTCCTTGCTGTTTTAGACCTCGTGTTGCTTCTCCGCAGGGAGACACTGCCAGACGTTCGGATTGCAGGGCACGGATAATCCACAGAACAGTTCAAGGACGTGTGATAGTCCCTGACTACCAAGATAGGCACCTTGCTCGTCTGCGGCTTTCCTGGGCATGTAGTGCTGGCCCAGTGTGTTGGCATCGCTGTGCCCGGCATGGACCTTGCGGGTGGACTCCTCTTTATAGATTTCCGCTTCACGAGCGACCAATTAGTGAGAAGAAGAGGAGGGGAGCATTGTGAACGTACCAACTAAGTATAGGCCCTTTGCTCTCTAGTCGTGGCATGTAGGGGGACAGGCGTACCCCGTACGATGGCCTAGAGCTCGAAACCGATTGCTAAATACACCCGTAGTCTCAATCTTCTTCACCGGACCTTGCTGAAATTTAAAGAAGGGTTTATTGAGCAAGTTGTCTTACTAATGTAATTGCTCCATCTCTCCCTCTGGCGGCTCCACTTGATGAATGTCTTTGATAGAATGGTAGTCTCTCAACGCCCTGTAAATCAGAAGCCGAGCGAGGAGTAGAAGAATATGATTTAAACAAAGACGCATTAGATCTTTACCTTCATACAAGGCATGTTGCGGCCTGCGCTTCAATCGTTAGACATCTCATAAAGGGCAGAAACAAAAGGCTCACCTCTTTTCAGCCCTCTTCGTCATGTTCTTGGCATCCTTAGTAAGCTGAATAGCAAACTCTACATGTTGAAATTCGATCCAAAAGACCGAGAGGACGATATCCTAATGATCACCCGATTAAGCCCGAAATACACCTAATCTGAAACGCGTCATTACTTACCCTGTAGTATAGACCTCAACCGGTGCCTATTCGGCATGTTGACTCGATGTACTCTCTAATACGAGATGAAGAGAAGGTATTGCATAAATGTAATGTCCAATCGTCTAGTCTTGTTACGGGCACTTTATACTCGAACCAATCTGCCGTCCAGAGCTGCCTTGCATAGTGGAGCAAGTGCTGTTGAGTTACGAATCTCTGTGGCCGTTTTGGACCGGCCAGATTCATCTCCTTTGATAGAACGGTGAGGATCCACTTCAGAGCAGATTAGCTAGATCACCTAAGTCTTAAGGAGACGTACTATGGTCAAGGAGCTCGTTAGCGAGTATGGTATTTCATCGTGATTTTTCTAGGCCCAGGCGGCTGTGAAGTCGTTCAACCGCTTTCGTATAGTCAGTTCGCCAGGTGTAGTTCTCCCTTGTGCATCTTGCCCTCGTCCTTTAGTAGCATGTGCCACCGTCCAGGCGAAGTTTTGCAGAAATTCTAAATCATGCACTGATGCATGAGGATTCTGTGATGCGACATACTCATCCTATAACGCCAGAATATCTAGGGGATACTGAATGACTTCAGGTTGGAGATCTCTCGCGGCTCTTTCACCATTCACGATGCTCTTATCCTTCTCGGAAGCCCTTTCGTTAGCTTGACGGAGTACCTCAGCTGGACTCCTTTTTCTAGGCATTGTAGGAGATACAAAGACGCAGGGGAATAAGCGTTAAGCAGTAGCAATATAGAATTAGACGTTGTCACAGGAACAACAGTACAAAAAGGGAGATATAAGCAGAACGCGCCTCAAACCTAAAAGACTCTACAAGCCAGGTGTAGCATGAGACGGAATAAACCCATAAACGAAAAGATAGATGTACTATTGAGAGGCTAAATGCCCCATTTCTCAAAGAGTGCATATTTCTGGGCCTGGGGTCCCCAAATAGGGCCCTTGTTAAGCCTCGCGTAAAGTTGATTAAATTCATGAGACGGCAGACATGAACAAGGGGCAGATATCCAACAATAGTAAGGGCCCAAAACTAGGACTGAGCACGGGTGAGGTGAGGGTGAGCAGCCTGAGCAGCACTTGGATGGAGACTGAGCACGAGGGTGAGCAGGGGATGTCAAGACTGAGCTGTGGCGGTGCAGGGTGAGCGGAGGTTGAGCCGAAGTTGAGCCAGTCAGTGGCATAAGACTGGGTGAAGATTGGTGTGCTAACGCCACCTAATTACAGCTAAAAATGCAACGTCCATTTGCAATCCTCATTCAAAATGTCTAACAAGACTGAGAAACAAACAAGCAAAGATGTAAAGACTCATTGTATTAGCTTCTACTCGCCCTCTTAGCTGTCCTTTATCCTTTTGTCTTATGACAGGCTATTCTAATTATGACATCTCACCAATACCACCGGTTGAGCGCCGACGAAATTGAGCTTCGAAGGCTTCCGTCCTCGCAGGAAATAGACACACATTCACATAATGTTAAAACAAGACAAAGGCATTCGCGTCGACTTCTGTTCCACAGTCAAATGTCCGGATTATAGGTAATGGGAAGCCTGGCTTTTTTGCCCTAGGGAGAACGCCATCCCATCAAAACGTACGGAACGAAAGCACCCTTGTTGGCAATGTTTAGAGTCCCGGAGTGTGGGCTCAATTCCCATGGGCAGGGTTCGGCGCCTTGATGCTTGTGGTTGCGTGTACGTCAAAAAAAACCCCAGCTACCGAGCTGGCGGAGCTCCCACGCTGCTATTGCACGTTTCTGTGTTCCATGGACACTATCGGCCATCACTAATGATGTTGAGTAAAGTCACTGGAGCAGCAGCGGCAGTCCTGGCCGTTAGCAACGGCAGTGCAGTTCGGGGTTGGCAAATACGCGGTGTGGCAATCCAACCTCAAGTTTGGCTTTCAGTCTTGGCAACAATCATGGACTCATTGGTCCTCTACGCGCTTTTCAAGGGTTCAACGATCACCTTCTGGAAAAGATCGATGTATGGTACAAAGGTGAGTCGATTCCATCTCTTAACAGAAGTGTTCGAGGCCGGGTGGACTACTTCGGAGCACTTCATTTCCATGGATAGTACGATAAAGGAAGTTTGCTGATTTGTGCTGGTAAGCTTCGTAACCTGTACGATTATTTCGAATCAACGGGCTTTGTCGGAGCACTAAATGGCGTTGTACGGGGAAGATTCAGTACCGTTGCTTTGGGTAATGCTCCTTGTCAAATCATTCCTATAACGATGGAACCCTTATTCATATCGCACTAGCATGTATACTGGCGTCGCTCTCTGGTCTGCGCGGTCCTTTGTTGCAGCGAGCAACGCTCATCAACGAACATGCCCAGCTTGAAAACAACGGCACAATGGAGTTGCGCATGGCTCAGATCCTACCCCCGGGCTACCTCTATGGATCAGGATTTGTGTTCTCTGGCAGCTTTTCCCAACTGTACACCGCATTCGGGAGGGGCGCTCCCATACCATTCTCATATACAGGGTGTGGAGACAGCTGCACAACGACACTCCAAGGATTCGGCTTCAGTGTCAACTGTTCAACTGTCCCAGTGTCCAATGACGACGCGAGGGCAGGCTTTAGATCTGAGAATGTGACGACGATTGGGAGTGCCGTACCGGTTTTCAACGTCTCATCCAGCCTTTATGGTGAAATCGAGTGCGACCTTGGCGATTCCTGCTTCGCCAAAAATAAGGCTGCAGCAGAACTTGGAAGGATCGAGATTGCAAACTTGTTCAAAGCAGCGCCCGATTGTGAGAGTGATGTGTCTGTTACCAGCTGCAGTCTGCAGCAAGCTATAGTGGAGTACGATGTTGTGCTCCAAGACGGCATCGTTTCTTTGCAACATGCGCATTGGCAGAACGACACCGTCCTATACAATACGTAAGTGTCCACGAATCCGTCCTGCTCTAAATTGGAGCATGCACAACCAGTATGCTTTGCCTCCCGTCCGGGTCTGCAAAGTGCCCTACTACTCCACCTTGACATTTCAACGTCGATGCCCATGTGAAAATAGACAGCTGATCAATAATCTCTCGCTATATAAGAGGCGGCTAACAGGTCATATCTATTTAGACCACCTTGGGACGAGCCTGAGTCCCTCAACTACTACGGTATTACGCCATGGTGGAGCAGCTCTATGAACTGGGTCAACTTTTTCATGTTGCAATTCAACGAAGAGCTTGATAGGTACGGCGATGGCGAGCTAGGACCTGCGAGTATGAATCCTATCTTCCGGCTCGCGCAGCAATTCATTAACGACGATGCCGTAAACTCCCTGAACTCAATTAACTGCAATACCACGTTTGACGACCCGAGTCAGGTATGATCCCTTTGAATGCTGCAAGATAGTCAACAGCGTCTCTGTCTCCCCTCCGTGCGCCTCCATCACCTTAAGCTCTCCAACTGATCAACAACAGTATGTCGTCGACCGAATCCGCGAAATAGCATTTCGCACCTCTGTCGCTGCTGCAACCGTCACGAACAACACCATTCTCTTTGGAAACGACTCTCTTATCACGTCTGGCCTTCCTCTCATTCGAAATTGGACGCAAACAGTTTCATATACCGGCCGGTCAACCCAGACCGTCTACTCGGTCAGTACGGCGTACCTGATAAGCGCAGTCGTCGTCAGCTTGCTTGGTGTGGTGGCTATTGCACCGCTGTATTGGGGTTGGTGGGAGCTTGGCAGGGATGTCAGTTTCAATCCGTTGGAAGTGGCCAAGGCGTTTCATGCCGAGATTTTGATAGATGCCGATTGGAACATGAGTAAGGAGGGTTTGGTGAAGATGGTTGGGGAAAGAGAGGTGAGTTATCGGGTTGTGGATGAAGGGGTGAAGGAGGAATTCAAAGATGTTGCGCGTAAAGGAGGAGAGGAGACTTGAGGACGAAGAAGGATCTGTGTCTAGGGAAAGGACATTGCAGCATGGCTTGATGGGGTGCACAAACCCCTATATATAAAGGTGAGAGTAAAGGATCGTTCCTTGTCAAGAGATGTACAAACACCTGGGTACTCTATATGTCTCTTTCTCCTTCGGCCGTTGCCGTTGCCTTTCCTATCCTAATACCTTATATCTAACCTCAATTCGCAGGATATCATCGAATACTTCAAGCTCCCTCTTCGCTTTTCTTTGTTAATCTCTTTTTTCCCTTCTGTCGCCGTCTTTCCAACATTTTCCCCAAAGCTCAGCCCACAATCTCTTCGAGCGACCTTCGTCAGAAAGGGCTCTGAGAAAGCACAAAGATATCATCAGTGGAGAAAGAGATCAAAAAAAGAAATTCTGAACCATCAACGAAAAGACAACTTACCACCACACCTTAGTACTTCTTGCCACAGTAGGTCAATGACTCAATCAGAACACAAAAAAGCAGCCCGTCTTTCAATGCAGCTCTTCTGTGATGGAGAATATGAAATCTGTCATCCCGGCGCCCATCCAAGCAATATCAAAAAATTTGAAAAGCTTCGTGAGAAATGGTATCTACTATGGAATTGAGGGTATGTCAATCCTAAGATATAACTAAGCACTATCGTGTAAACGTATGAGGATTCCACTGGCCACTGACAATAGTCCGGGTATATGATGACAAACGACAGGGTTATGCCATCTACCTGAAACACTAGTCTTAGTTATGATGGCCCAGCTTTATACCGATAATAATGGATATACATTCCTCTATAGGACGTCCAGCTGTTAATCCATACCCATTATTACCCAGGCAAGACCCGGTTCATAACCAGTCAGGTTAACAGCCGGGGCGGACCAGCGTGCTCACTATTCAACACCCTTCCCTACTGCTCGCCAACCTGGTGGAGTCTGATCAAGAGGGTGGTCCGGCTTAGGACACTTAGCTTCTACTTTGTGAACGACTCACAAGTTGGCTCCGAAACGCTCAACAAGCTCCACCACCAGCTCCAGCAACAGCGCCGAGTGCTCCAGCTGTCTTGGCCATCTTCATATCTCCATATCCTCGCATGCTCTCAGGCGGTGTCCACCTTTCCAGAGCTAAGCGACAGTCAGTCAAAGATGCAAAGTCGCGAATCAACGCGGTCTGTCCCCTAGCAGAAGCCCCAACCTACCTTCTGTGCGAGCCTGTCGGCTCTCGGCCGTATCGTGCCAGAGTCTCAAACACCAGGTGGCGACCAGCGCATCCCTGATCCTCCTCTCCATCGGCGCCGTGACGACGAGTCTGTGCGGCTCACCCTTTCCGTCCTCGTACGCTACCTGTCGACCCCTGCGGTCGGTCCATATATAGCGCCTGCCCATCCGTTTCGGCTTGACGGCGAATAAAAGCTGAGCCCTTTCATCGAACAACGGGAATGCCGCCATGGTCTTCTTCGGGCAAACGCGCCTTCAACTCCGGCTTCTGGAGTCGCGACTTGACCGCCTCGAGGCTGATATTTCCCAGCATCTCGGGCAGCACGGATGTGATGTAGTAGGCAGGTTTTTCATTGCTGAGTTGCGCGCCTGGCGGGTGCGCGAGATAGAAGAGATGGCGGTTCTGCGGCTTGCTGGGAGCTGTGCCCTCGGCCGTTTCCGCTTGGCCGTGTTCTACTACCCGCTCGAATACCACGGATGAGCCCTTGGGTGGGAGGGAGGTCACGTTCCAGTTCATCTGGTAAAGTGGTATTGCGGGGGCAGTCTCACACACTACGGACTGGCCTGCCAGCACGAGAATCGTTGGGTCTAGGAAGTCCTTGGACGGTCCTTCGTTCGCTTCCTCACAAGGAAGTGGCAAGCTCTGGGAGTTCGCTTCCATCGTACCACCCGTATTCAATGTGTCAACGGGTTTACAGGCGGTTCAGCTGGGAGAAGTAGAGCTTGCGTATGCGGGTAATATGGATATATAATCGCCCCTGGAACCTCAAACACGCTACTAAAGTGTAGACGATGTAGTTAAATTATATTAAGAGTTGATACATATACTGACAAGTTAGATAACACTGTTTCCAACTCCTCTAGCGAAGGTTGACTAGTTTCTGAACCTATTGAAATCAGAAGTAGGAAAGATGATTGATTGCCTACTTACGATGTGGAGCGCTATGCTCTAAATCTCGATTGGTGGTATGTAGCTAACTAGAAATCTAAGATGCAAAAGTTCGGACGAATAGCTCTCTAGGCGCCAAGGCCCCACAACGAGTGGCTATAACGAATAGCAATATAACTAGTAAGTTAGTGTCCTTAACTTACGTGGAGAAGGACTGGAGGTCCCTGAAAGTGACGTGGCATTGGTCCTTCGGTCCTTGGCAATTTAGCCAACAATTTGTCATTATAAGGATCATCAGAGGGCTCAATTGACCATAATTTGACCATCATATGGCCATAATTTTAGGAAAAAGACGTCGAAAATAACATAATTTTACCAGGTAGTAACTGACTAGCTATATACTTTATATAACCAAAATCATATCATAGTCAGACCCTGCTAAGTAGAGAGATGGTATTTCGCTGTGCGGTTACGGGCCTACTTCTTTACCTAGCATTGTTTGATCCTCTTCGCGTAGTCGAACGCCTTGGCGAATGCCCAGAAATGCAGCGTGAGCCCGACCGCCATGAGAATATGGAAGATCTGATGCGACTGGCCCCAGATATCAAATCTTCCCGGACGCCATGCTTCGGGCAACCGTGTCTGTTCCCCTCCCCAAGAAGGTTACTAGTTAGCCATTCGTTGCCTGAAAATGAGATGTTGTCGGAAGAATTCCCCAACTTACTGCATAGATTGTCACCGCAGTCAGGTACACAGCTACGGTAAGAACATATCGCGATGCCCCGGCCTCAGCGTCCGTTTGGCGGTATCCGTGGAGGAAGGAAGCATAGATGATGGGATAGAATGCGGACGAAGCCATGATTGAGAATAGAAAGCCTCGTAGGGGACGCCATGCCGGCTGGTGGAATCGTCGGACAAAGATGACAAAAATTGCTGCCACAAACTGGGCGGCGAGATCAAGCTGGGAGCGAAAGCATGTTATTTACCAGCAAGTTTTAAGAGGGAGTCTCTTGATTCTCAAAACGAAGCAGGAAAATGAGCAACATACCCCGATCCAGAACACTTTCGTCTTCCTGGCCACGCAGGGAAAGCTGTACCAGATTCCAGGGGGGAAACAACCCGCCGTGACCACGATGATACCGAGGAAATCGAGCTGAAGACAGAAGTCATGTGTTGCGCGAGAGTGATTGGCGAGGATGTGGTAGATGGTTGAGAGCGCGAAACAGGAAGCGCCTCCCAGGAAAAAGAGCCCAAAGACGGTCCAGTCGTCGGCATCAGCGTTCGGGTAGTGCTCTTTCGTGAGTGGGTACAGCCGGATCGGCAGCGCGATCATCCACAACGTCGCGAGCAGATGGCTGTAGATGTTACCCGTTTCATTGTGCACATAACAGCAGCTCTGGAAGCTCGTCCAGTATGAATTGGATGTCGGTCGGAATCCGGATTGGATGTGCTCGTTGTCTTGGGACCACTCAGGTAGATCGCTCCAATGGACTAGAAGTCTGTCTGTAGCTTTCTGGAGCAGCGGCTCCTCCTCCGTAGCGATATTTTTCTTCCCCGCCATCCCAGTGGGCGGCTGGGGCCTGTGCCTCAGGCGCATCAAGTCCTGATGTTGCCTGGCGGCGTCGTGGCTCTGCTTCGGCGCGACACGATCCAGTTGTTCTGGAGAAGCTCTCAAGAAAAGGCTCTGGCGCCAGTGAATTGAAACACCCTTTGTTCGCCCAACTTACAACAGACTTTACTTCATGCGAGGTAAAGGAATAGAACTCTCTTTGTAGTGTTTTCAAGGAAGTTCAGTTACAACAATAATAACGGTAAAAACAAGGTTATGCAGCCTCAATCTTATCTCTTTCTGAATCTATATTGAATGTGTGGTGGTTTGAACGTTGAGGACGAAGACTCTAGGACAGGCTGCACAGATTCCATCACGACTATTGTAAGACAAGGGGACTCTAGCAGCGCAAGGAATCTACTACGGAATCAGCCTGAAGTAAGGAGTATTCCTAGTACAGTGCTAGTATTTGTCCTCAAGACAGCTACTGCACGGGAAGCCTGAAGTAATGTTAGCTCAGCGCTAGTGTATACACTTGTAAGCCCTCCCTGTACACGGCCGCTATGCTCAGAAGAAGTTAGATGTAATGATTTGACTGATCATAATGGATGCACACAGAACAAGCTTTAAAGTGGCGAATTATATCATTAAGTTGCTGTAATAAAACTAGCTGTTCTTAGCACCAGGTTAACATCACTTCAGGCCCCCCTTGTAGTACTTTACAGAACTACTAGTACTCCGTACTAAGTTAAGCTGATTACTACGTATGATTTCACTGTACTGAAATAAGTCAATCCTGTGGATACTGATAAGAGAAGCTTTGAGAAAGCGTGGTGGCAACGTAACGTAGTAATTGTTACTAGCCATTCTCAGCACCGTGCTAGAGATACTTCTGCCTCATACCATACTACGTAGTAATTTCTGCGCACCGCTGATTTCTATTCACTGACATCGGTCTACTCGTACGCCAAGCCCACAATAAGCGCAAAGCTAGGCCCAAGTACCAGCGGACCAAGGCGCAAGGTAATTACTACGTACATACTCCGAGCTCCACCTGGCGTGTCATCATTAAACTCTTTTCGGAGGCCGCCTCATCTCGATTCCCTGCGCTAGAAGCTGCAGCTTGTCATCGCCTTCCCACTGCGCACGTCTCACTTTGCCTCTACCCAATTTTTTCTGCATCCATCCTACTACTGGCTCAATGCAGAAACTCACTAAGATGATTAAACCTCCGCCAGATAGGATGATCGTAACCCCGAGCAGACTGAAGGACTGCACCTCCCCGGAACTTCGAAACGTCTGCGAATGACAGAGTCGCTGACCTAGTGCGTCATTACTTGCGGGTGGGACAAGCTTTCCCGTCATGCCGAGATACTGAGGACCGGTAGCGTATTCTAGGGCGGCTTGCTGGATTGCAGCGAGCCCTACTGCAAACCAGCCAGAAAGTTCAGTAATCCATTGAGTATTTGTCAGGGGCCCTTGAAGGGAACTATAGATGGTCTCGGACGCTATGCGAGGTGAGCATAGGCGGCTAGTTGCTGGAAGAGAGAGAGAGATAAACATACCGCGCAAGGCCGCTGCGCCTCTACTAAACACGGCAAAGTACATCCCTGCCGAAGTGGCAGCAGAGGAATACCCTGCGACGAGTGCTTGGAATGGGTTGAAACCCAGATTGTCGTTCTTGAGAGTATTCAGTCCAGTATCTCTGATCAGTTGGATGGCCGGAATGTCATCGTGCGGCCACAGGAGTTGCGCGCCCGTCAGGTTTGTGCACCGCGGGAATTGGCCGCTGGCGACTGCAGGATTGCAGTATTGATGCTGCTCTGCACAGGCCACAGCCGAGATATTTCGGTCAGACCGATAGGCACGAACCCCCAGAGGGCTAAGCTTGGCAACATGAGCAGAGAAGACCGGGTCATCATTGGGCTGGATGAAGAGAATGTCATTAAACGCGAGTAGAAATATAGTCACGTCGGCGTCGGTACGGTTAAGATCTGGTATTGGGACCCAGATACCCGAGGCACTTCCTGCGATTGAAAAGGCAGTTCTGCAAACATTTAGCCTAGTGATCTCCTGTATGATTCTTGTTACAGAGCCTTACTGGAGCTGGTACCCAAGGCCGTTAATGGGGACACGGACATTGCGAGAGAAGGTGGGGGCGGAGGCATTAAAAGGCCCAAACCCAAAGTTCACAGGCCCTGCATAAATGTTTTCAACATCTTTAACTTCGCCGGCGGCTCCATCGACAGACGTTTCGGTGGCCGAGAGATCATCGAGGTCAAGGGGCGCGCATGTTGTCCGGCGTCGATATGTCACTCTGTCCTTTGGTGGTGCGTTGACTCCGAAGATAGCATGCGTATCGATTGGTCCAGTATCAAAGGAGACGGCTAAGTTGTTCCGACATCGCCGTGCACTGAAGGGGCATGATGCATTCGTATCCGTCTCCCAATTGATCTGTTTTTGTGGATAGCTCTTACACTGCAGAAGGTTGTCGGTCAAGCCATAGCAAGCTCTAGCGTATCCAGCAGCATCTTGAGCAAGCTTCATCGTCCTCAAAAATTTGCTGAAGGAGGAATCAGGTCCATCAGGATATCGGGCATACCCGCAACTTTTGCTGTACAATAGAGTATTATTGCCTGTCGCTTTTGTGACCTGAGAACTGAAAATACTGGCTGCGCCGAATGATGAGAAGGTCGCAAAGGCAATGAAGATGAAGAATGCGCATTGCATACACACACTCATTCTCTGGGTTCGATCTTGATCATGCCTTCGAAAGGAAAGGAGGGCAAATTCCCAGAGCGCTGACACAGGTCCGGCAGAATTCCGCAATATCACCTGGGTTTTCCTGCGGAAATTGTCTCCGTATGGATTCTGTCTGGCAGCCCGCGTCTGGTAGGAGAGGTAGCATAGTATCTTCCAAAACTGTCCTCCTGCCGCAGTGACGTAGATGGCCAAGAATGCAGCGAAGAGGCCTGCTTCTCTCTGGTAGAGCGTCAAGGTCGCACCATAGATCGGGCCTTTAGACCAATTGGTCCAAATGCCAGTGTAGACAAAAGAAGACGCGTATGCCGTTCCAGACATTTTTTGGTCGTGCTCTTACACACATACATTTGAAGCAAAGGGGGGGGTGAGAAGGGCAGCCGATAGCTTTGCTGTTAAAGAAGAATGAAAGAAGGATAGCAGTTTATGCCCGCCTCGTTCTTCATTATAGGGATTGCCATCAGACAATGATCGATGCTGCTTGTAGCATAGGAAGGGCTTGAGGCGGAAAGTTGATGCCTATGAGCTCGCAGCCCCAAAGCCATATCTCCTGACCGAGAAGGCACTTGGTTCTGCTCTTGCAAAACGGACCCAAATTGTACCTGGATGAATGAAAATAGCATCAAATATTGATGGACAAAATATATTCAGATGCAGGGGAGTTGATTGGTGGCTTCTTCCGACAGAGTCGGCGCCTGGATTGTGAGTTTTGGGCAGCCTCGCGCTGGCGTATTGAATCCACATTTGCGCCCCCAGCTTTCTCCAGAACCTCTCCTATAGGATTGTCTAGATGATCAACAGCTGACAGACTTCACTGGCACAGACCCGCGGAACCATCGTGAGAGTAGAGTAGCTATATCTAACGGATGAGTGGAAAGGATAGTTGATGTCAAGGAGGTCGACAAAGCTGGAGGCAGTCCGTCGTCTTCTCAAGACGACATTGCGCCAGGCATATTTCTTTCTCTTGACCGTCAAAGGTATGATTTTCTGCCTGCGCCATGGATGATCATTCCTGAGGTGCAGTTGGTATTCGCACTAACTAGCAAGGGTGAGTCAATGACACCAAGGGCGGACCACAGACAAACACTGCCGCCATGAGCCCTGCTGTTGGACATCATCACGTCTGTAGGGTCTTGTGGAGTAGAATAGAAATACTACAGGGGGCAATAAATATTGTTAGGCTGGCCCTAGTAATATTGCTTCAAAACGCGCCTCTAACACAGCCCCATGTCACTCTGATTACAACGCTATACTACGGTAGGAGGCATAAGTATTGTCAGCCTGAGCTAGTGATGGCTAGGTTTTGATACAAGGGCCGGGCGTCCACCGGAGCCATTGTAAGTCTTGACCCCTTAATAATCCTGATGATTGGGTCTATGCTGAGAATCATACAGACTAACGTTGTTTCAGTAAAGTGCAAATTTCTTAAGGCTGTGTTAAATACAAAATATCTAGCTTGAAGCTAGCAATACTTATGCCTCCTGCCGTAGTGAGTATTGTGAGTGTGGCCTAGTAATATTGTTATTTAACGCCCCTCTTACAGATACATTTGCTGCCCTTCTACGAACATGTCAGGAGTGCCAAGGGTCTTGAGCGGCGTGATAATCTGGCGTACGAATAGCATGCGCTCTTAGTCGTAAAGCACTATCAGCAGTGGCGACGAAGGATGGACTCCCGACTTCAATAAGTCGAACGATGGAGGAACTCTGACTCCCAGAGTGCAGAGTTCTCCTTTTGTGTGTGCGCGCGCTAGATGTGCGTAGCGTACTTGGCAATCTTGGCAATCTTGGCACGGTGTGACAGAATAACGTACCCTCCTCGACGTCTTCAACGCGTTCAGCTTGTTGTTCTTCTACTACTACTGTTTCATCTCTTAAAACTGCTCGAATTAATGCTAGCGAAATGTCAGGTAGTCATTAAAGCTAGTGAGATGTATACTCAACCTAGGTACATATCGAGCTAATCCTAATCGAGCGATTTTGGGGCATTCTATCTTGGCATTTACAAGTCGTTACTAGAGTCGCTTTCGCATCTTCGATGCCCATTTACTCCTCGATCAGAAATGTCAAGAGCCGCTGCTCTCCTGCCGCAATTCTCGAACCGCAACAAGCTCCCAACTCTACGAGTCAGCCGGATGGCTGTCCGTCCGTCCAGTGATGTGTCTGCGCGCGGAAGAAAGCCAGCGACTCCTGCGGTTTTCGAAGGGCGCTGCTCACCCGGATGAGGTCGTGGGGCCGAATTCCGCGCCTGGGCGAACAAGGCGGACGACCCACTCAGCCATCTCTACATCCGCCTTTCTCTCCTGAAATCCCCGAGAGCGGTAGTTAGGGGGCCAGGTCGCACGAGGAGAAGCCGCTCCACCCCGTCCTGTGCGAGGAGATTTCCACGTCCGGCCAACAAACACATCGACCCATGATGCGACCAGATCGACTGGAATCAATGCCACCGTTCGTTGCATGGGGTGAGTCCGCCCACCGGCGCCCCCTCGTGGACCTGCTTGTCGTTTTTGCTGGACGATACGCCCTTGATTCATGAGTTGTGATCTGGTTACCGGGGAGCAAGGATTCCCTTTCCGGTCCCGGCTCGAAGGATAGGACCCGCTATCACGGTGCCAGTACAGAAATTCTTTTGCTAATGTAGCATAGACAATTTCCGCAGAGAAAATTGACATCGCCTCACACACACACAAGCTAGGACTCTCGACTTCTCCTTTTCAAACTCATGAATACATAGGCAATACTCTGTAAAGAATCACGGAGCTTTCTCTCTCACTCTCTGAATCAGTTGAAACTTATCTCAACCAAGCTATGTTCAGTGGTAAGGGTCAGAATCCGAGGCAAAGCAGTAGCGTGTGTACAATACAATACAGGAATATTTTACTGCCCCCCCTCACCCCCCAACCAAAAGAAATATGAGGCCCATAATTACGAAATACGGTAATTACAACCATCCATCCATCCATCAATCAATCAACCAATCAAGCAGGCGGCACCCCCTCCGCCAGCGCCTATGCATCCGCATTCGCCGGCACGCCACCCGTCTTCCCATCCGTTATCTCCGGCTCCGGAACCAACTCGCCGTAGGTGGGGAAATCCGTATCCTTATTCCTCGGCGGCTCGACCCTGCTGTTGAGGACGGACACCCGCAGACTCCGCAGCTCCTGCACCCTGATCTCGCTCAGATCGTACCGCTGGGCTCTCCACTGCAGGTTCTTCCTCAGATACGGCCGGAGCGTGCGCGGTTCGAGATCGGCGATCGTGCCGGCGTTGTACAGCTCGACCAGTTTGCGGGTCAGCGGGATCTGGCCGACGATGTTCAACTCCTGCCCGTTGTCCATGGCGTTGTCCATGAAGACGACGAACGTGCCGACGAAGCTCGCGGTGGATTCGAGCCAGGCGGCCGGATCAGCAGGCACGTCGCCGATGAAGATGTGGATGTAGAAGGATTCTTGCAGGGCAAATTTGTTGACGCGGATGTTGGTGTACCATTCACGGTAGGCGCGGGCGGTGCCGTTTTTGAGAGATGGCGGGATGGTAATGGATTTTCCCGGGTCGCTGTTTCCCTGGCGTTTATCCACCGAGACGCCGCGAGGGGTGAATTGATTGTTTGGGTCGTAGAGCTGTTTGACTGCGGCGCGGGTGTTGGCGCTCACTTCGGCGGCGGTCAGCCCCCAATCGCGGACTTCAGGGTAGGTGTAACCGAACGAGCGCGTGGAGCGGACGTTGGCCGAGGTATACAACGCGGTGCCGGCGTCGGAGTGGAAGGGGGTTAGGGGCGTGTTGACATTTTCGGTTGTCCCTGGGGCGGTGGTGAAGGTGCCAGCTCGGTTGGTCTGCGAGCCGACGTAGGAGCCGGGATTGATGGCTTGGAAGATAGCGAACATTCGGTCGACATTGGTGTGGTGGAGGAAGAAGACCGGGTCGAAGGCGCTGTAGGGGACTAGACCCATCCAGCCTCCTATCAGGCCGTGGATGGTGTCGTGGATGCTTTCTACCGAGTCGTATTGGTTCCCACGGCTGTCGACGTAGGCGTTGTTGGAGAAGGGTGGGTAGCTGGTTTGACGAGATAGGAGGAGATAGGTTCGGTCGTGGATGCTGGCGGCGTTGGCGTTCAGGTTGCTTGCCGCTCGGCTGCTGCGGGTGGTGTAGGGGGCATTCTGGAAGCCTTCACCGGAGGGGAAGTCCGGGGCACCTATGGGGGGATGGAAGTCATAGCGGAACAGAGGATTAGTGACACTCCTTGAGCCGGTAGGGGTGTTGATGGTGAGAGTGGATGAGGTCAATGAGCTTGGCATGGCAGCACTAGCGGCCCAATCCCAGTAGGGAACACGGAAGCTGTCAGCTGCAGCTTGGTATGTGGCTCGGTTGGTGGTTGGATATTGTTGGGCGATGGTCTGGGTATTGTTCCAGATGATCTGCTCATAAAGAGACAGGTAGGGACGATGCCAGGTGGGAAAGAGGGTGGAGCCGTGGGTGCAGTATCCTCTCTGGTAATTGCCATTAACACCATCCCACGACCGATATGGTCGTCCATCTGTTGAAGACTTAGTCACCGATCGGAAAGAAGAATGCCAGGTCTGTGTGATGTGACCAACGTACGGATGCCTGAGACCGAGTACCAGCTCAGCAGATCCGCTTGGTTTGCTGCTTGGAACATCTGCAATGCTTGGATGTAGAGATCCCACTGTGCTCCTGACGTCTGAAGAGTCCTGAGGTCCCGACGAGCGGGACGCTCGCCCGTCTGAGCATTGACTCCACTGGTCGGACCAGTGATGCGATATGAGAAGACATCATGGGAGAATGACAGCAGAAAGAGAAGGACGAATGTGAAGAACTCCATCATAGACATCTGTGGCCCACAGCCTGTTGACTGAGTTCTGTATTCCTTTCCCTCCCTCGCCCTCGTCCAGATGGCCGATGTCCATCTTTATAGCTGGAAGCAACGCTGAGACGGCTCGGAAGGATAGCAACGATAGCCTGATGTACCATCTGTCGTCGACAGTTAGTGGAATGACGGATGTCTCGAAAGATGTCCACCTTACCAGACAGGTTGAACAATTTTGCAGGTGTTCAGCTTCGCCGGGATGGATGCTGTTGACAATTCGCCGAACCAGGTGGTAGATCAAGCGAATTGGATGTCAAATTTCTCGAGAGACGTGCAGTAGTGCAGTGATAACCGAGGCTTGCGTTCGTAAGATTTCTAGTCCAACTTTGCGCACTATTGAACTCAAAGTTCCGGACCTGGTCCTTGATCTATTTTAGGAAACGATCTGTGCTCTATAGCCTCGTAGGGTCATGGGATTGGAGAAAGAATAGGCTGGCCATGGAGTCATGATGAACGACTTGCGGGGCATCCGTAGGAAGCAAAGCGATAAGGGGTCAAAAGCGACCCCCGGTTGCCCGTACCATGATTCTAGATCCAGAGCCTCAACCATACTATCCCGATCAAGCAACATGGCTGACAGCACCATGCTAGATCAAGCTCATCGGCATGCATCAACCTGCTGTGTAACCAAGCAGCTGAGCGTTGGGTCAGTCACGCCGCACGAACCGCAGCCCTGCTTTTTAAATTGTACTATAGTACGCATGGGTTGCAGATGGCCATTGGCCAGCATGATATTCTCCCGATTATGACGGTCCCGACATTCCACCCCAAAGGCGGTCATGACCTGCACATCTCGCTCGACTCCTGAGACACACCTAGGCGGCAGGCGGCTTTACCTACAATTTTGATCTTCGACAACGTGGTCAGAAGAGAACCCTGGTCATCTCGTGTTCTGCCAAAAGCAGTTATCTAGTTGACTTCCTCTGGCGATGTTGGTTGATCCGCTTGCCACAACATCGCTTACGCTTCCGATGTCACACGGAAAGCAATAAGTCTGCCGGTTATCCTGCGGTTACAGTGGTAGTTACTGTCACGGTAAGAAAGGGGCCCATGACAGGTATGACGGTGTTACCACTCGCGGTAGGGACGGGGGCTGATTGCAGTATGATCGAGAATGCGCCTAAGGGTATTGTAATATCCGCTGCACTCCCAGTAGATGCAGAAGTTGGTACCGGCGGTGTAGCCTCGGAAGAGGCCCCCGGTGTTTGGATTGCCACAAGAGGTGTGGGCGTGGGAGCTAGTGGGTCGCTGGGTGTGACCAAGCTCTCTGGGCTCACCAGTGGAGTGACGGTAGTTGAGGCTAGAGGGCCAGGGGATGTCAATGCTGATGATATTTCCGGAACGGAAGGAGACTCGGACGTATCAGAGACCGTGGTAACCATGGTTACAGGAAGACTAATGGTGAGTGTCTCGGCGGTCTCGCCGGATGGCGTGACGGAAGACTCAATAGACTGCGCTAATGGTGTCTCTGGGGCTGCAGGTGCTGATTCGCTAAAAGGTACTGTGGTCATCATAGTCGTGGTAATTTGAAGAGTGACCGTTGCACCAGCCGGTATAGTAGGGCTAGTTACGGCGGGCTGCTGGGTCGACTGTTGGTTCCGGGACTGGGACTGGAGGGATAGACTGTTCTGGCGAACCGAGTGCGGGTACTGGTGAACCAGTCGGAGTGCCTGATTGCGAATTTGCCTCAGAAGCGGCGGCGTTTTCAATAGTACTCGAGGATTCCTGTGTGGCCGGAATTGGAACAACGCTGGTGTTGTCTTGGCTAGCAGAGGTTGTGCTCATACTCGGACATGATGTTGAGCTCAGGGCTACCGATTCAGCATTCTGAATTGTGGTCTGAGTTGGCTGCACTTCAACAGCAACGGCAGAGGTGGAAGTTTGAATATTGGGGTCGATTGTAGAGCTGGACGAGCTGGGCAAAGGTGGCGGAACGCCTCCTTCGATAGTACTTGATGTAGAGGGTTCAACTACGGTAGCCACTGTAGAGCTAGCAGCATCAGGCGTAGATGACTCTGCGGTGGCGTCTACGGTGGAGCTGGCAGCAATAGACGGAGACGATGGAATGGCTGCCTCAACGGTGGAACTTGCGGCAACAGCAACAGAGGTCTGAGTAGCTGCATCAATGGCAGAGCTAAGTATTGCAAGCAATGAAGTATTGCCGGACCCCACTCCAACCGCTGGAACTTTGCCGTCTTGCTTGGACTGCGTGGAAGCGGGAGCAGCCTCTTGGACCTGAGAATTGGTCGGATTGATCGCAACACCGCTTGATGACGGCGGAATGGTTGAGGTAGCGGTTTCAGTCGAGCTTGTCAAGGTTGAACTTAGTAGCGCAAGAAGCGATGTATTTCCTGCTCCAACTCCAACAGCTGGCACCTTTCCGTCCTCTTTGCCATTCGAGGTTGAGGTGGGAGGGGTGGGTTCAGATGTTGGTGGCGAGACTCCTGTTGCGCCGGTTTCTTGTGCGTGGAGTAGATGGAATGAAATAGGATTCGAAAATGCTATGAAGCGCTTCGAAGGGGTATCGCCCCTTCTTACCACATCGTAATTTCTGTATAATGGTCAGCATCATCCGTCAACTCACTCGACATCGCAGCTACCTGTGTATTGGACCAGCCAACGCAAACTGTATCAGCAGAGTGTAAAATATTGCAACTAAAAAGAAAAACATCCTGCTCTCTGCAGAAAGCAAACGAAAGGGTATAATGATGGTATGAATCGAAGAACAGAACAAGCGTGCAACAAGCTCAGGCACAAGAAGAGACCTGCTCTCTTGGTTGCCACGAAATGCTTCTCCTGGAACCCGCAGAAAGAAAAGTAGAGAGACTAGACGAAGAGAGACAAGCAGGTGAGAAAGGCAAAGGAGACTCATATAGACGAAATTAAGCAAACATCACAGGCGCGTGTGGAGGCCGACGAGGAGCTTCCTGAGACAGCTATCCTCTTGGACATAACTGGTAGCACCTTCAGTAGCCAGTAGCATGGATATGGCAGTATGTTGTAGCCTGTCTCCAGGGTATCATAGACCGTAGCTTGAGGGTAATGATTGGCAGATATAGCAGGAAGCGCGTCGCGGGGGAGCTCCGAATGTTTCCTCTCTCGCGCGCGTTGTGAAACACCTAGCCTCTTTTTGATTGGCTGGGAATTCACGCCAAGAACCACTGACTTGGAATTCCAATCTTGGCCTAAAGAGGCAATTGGGCCACTCCCACTCCCACTCCCACTTGGCAGGAAGAGGCACCAGAGGCCCTCTTAAAATTATGCTAGGGGAGCCGCCTAACTAGTCGACTGTTATCTAATGAAATCTCATCATCTACAACGTATTCTGCTGAAAATATGGTCACAGTATGGTCAAAATATGCTCCTCTTATCATACTAGTATTAATATGGTGGTCATTTGACAAAAATGACCGTCATTTCCACTAACGGCACTTAGCTCATATCTTTAGCTACCCCATCTCCTGGTAAGCAGATGCCGACCAGCTGTACGGAAATGCTACGTAGTACGTAGCAACACATGGATTGCATAGTACTAACACTAGCAGTGGCCTCTATCTTATCCACCTATCTATTCTATCCCATATATCCGTCTAGAGTGTCCGTGCCGTCTTTTGTTCCTCATAGCATTGGACTTGATCTCCCTCTTCGAATTCTCCCCAGTTCTCGAACCCCATGCCACATTCTGAGCCCTTGCGCATTTCCGTGACATCTTTCTTCTGGTTCTTGAGTGAGTCGAGCGTACCTGTAATCAGAGACAGATTAGTTTGGGCATGACTGACAAGCGTTCCCACCACTTACCATTGTACACCACCTGACTCCCTCTGAGAACTCGAATCTTCTTGTCGCGACGGATAACACCATTGCTGATCTTACACCCCGCAACCTTGACCTTCGCTTTCTTGACGCTGATCTCGAAGACTTTGGCTATTTCCGCTTCTCCAACCACCCTTTGAGTAATGGCTGGCGGTAGCTCGGCAGTCAACTTCTCCTTGACAACATCGGTCACCTTGTAGATGATATTGTGATCCAGGATTTCTAGGCCTGCAGCCTCCGCCAGCCTCGACACGCTAGCATCAACAGGTTGATTGAAGGAGATCAGGTACCCAACTTCTCCCGAGGATGCCAGATGATTCACGTCTGATTCATTGACCGCACCCACACCACTTCGGATGACATTTGCTGCAATCTCGTTGTTCCCGATAGCACTGATCGAGTTGACCAGAGCCTCGACGCTGCCAGATACGTCGGCCTTGACGACAAAATGCACCTGTTTAGGCCCACTTGATGTCTTGCCTTCCACCCAACCAGCATTGTCATTGGGTCTATATTTGGCTCGTTTAGATGCCCACTGCTGCTCAGCTTCCCACGCCAATTGTGTAGCCCGGGCTTCAGCTTCTTCGCTGCGAATGGCGTTGATGGCGCTGGTGTCGCCGGCAAGCTTCGTGTACTCGTCCCGTTCTCGTCGAAGCTCCACCACTTCCTTGGCATGGTCCTCGTCCTCCGTCTGGAGGACCTGCCAGCCTGCGATGGGATCATCAGCACGCCAGCCATCGATTTGCACCGGAGTCCCAGGCGGTGCTTCATTGACGAGCGCACCGGCATCGTTGCGCAGTGTCCGCACCCGCGCCCAGGTGGTGCCAGCGACGATGATATTCCCGGCGCGTAAAGTACCTCGTCGGACAAGGACGGTTGCCACCCGACCAGCCAGAGTGACTTTGGATTCGATGATCCAACCTTCGACTGGCCCGTCTACCTCGGCTCGGTGATCAAGTAGCTCAGAGAGGGTAACGGTAGCTTCTTCGAGCTCTGCCATTCCTTTGCCAAATTTGCCACTGACAGGCACAGCTTGAACATCGCCACCATAGTCTTCGACAGTAACACCATGTCTCGCAAGATCTTGCTTGACTCGGTCCACGTTGGCATCTGCCTTGTCCACCTTGTTAATCGCCACAATGATCGGAACCTTGGCATCTGTGGCGTGCTTGATAGCTTCTACTGTTTGCGGCTTGACGCTGTCGTCCGCTGCAACAACAAGAATCACGATATCGGTGACATTGGCTCCTCGGCGTCGCATTTCAAGGAAAGCTGCGTGTCCAGGGGTGTCGAGAAATGTGATCTGTTTACCACCAGGCATGGTCACGGAGAATGCTCCGATATGTTGGGTGATGCCACCGTGCTCCGATTCGACAACGGACGATTTTCGAAGCCAGTCTAGAATAGTAGTTTTGCCGTGATCGACGTGTCCCATGATCGTGACGATGGGCGGTCGTTGCGGGAGGGAGGAAACATCTTCCGGCATGGGCCGAGGAACCAGGTCTTGAACTTCTTGAGCGTAGATTGGCTCAAAATTGAATTCGCTGGCAATCAATCCTGACGTCTCAGCGTCGAGAACATGATCGTGTCTAGGTCTCTCGAATCCCATTTCTTCCATTCGATTTATGAAATCTTCAGTCTTCAATCGCAGGGCGGTAGCAAGATTCTTCACACTGATAAATTCCGGCAGCTGGATGGGGGTTCGAGCGGATATGACTGCTTTGCCTTTCCCTTTTGCCTTTTTCTTCTTCCGATCTCGCTCTCCTGACAGAAGCTCTTCGTCGTGATCCAGCATATCATAACTGTTTGGTCGAGAAGAGGCTCGGCGTGCACCCTTGCGCTCCAGATGAGGCTCAAGTTTAGATGGTGCGACCTCGGGTTCCTCTGCATCGACCTGAAAGCGTCCTCTGGTTCGTCGACCTTCTTCCTCATCCTTTTGGAGACGACTCTTCTGACGCTGTTTTCTGTTCCGAATTTCAGCTTCCTCACTCTCATTATAGAGAGAGTCTGTGACAGCCATTGAAAACTTTGGTATGACATTATCTACCATATCAAGGGTTTCCGGTATTGGTGCTCGGGCTTCTTGACCGAATGTTATGTCCACGTCCGTAGACCTCGACAACCGTGATTGTGGTTTCCTTGTATCCGCAACGTGACCCAGCAAAGCATTTATTCCAGATCGGTCACCTGTATCAACGATGGAGATGGGTCTAGCCCGCACGGGTGTAGCCTGCACCGGTGGAGCCTTGGGAGGGTGAACTGCTGAGATGGAGGACACGGGTCCGCCTACAACTGTGGTGGCGATGCGTGTTGGCTGCTCTGCAGGAATGAAGGGCGCACCCTCGCCTGCCGTTGGCCCACTTGCTCGTTGTTCATTATTTTTGGCCTTAGAAAAGGCGAATCGGACTCTGGGCATATCTTCTTCAAAAGATGGTCTTTGGTTTCTTCTGTTGGGGTCTCGGCCTGGTTGATCTCCACCTTGCCTAAGTGATATCCTGCTTGTAGGTTGAGCTCGGTCTGGTAGATTTTCATCTTGCCTGGATGATACACTGCCAGGGCCATTAAAAGCTTTAAACCGCCATACAGGCCTTTCACCATCTGCTTCCGAGCTGGATCTGCCGAAGTCTAAAGCCTGCTGTTTCTGCCCACCCTGACCGAGTTGTTCCCGTGTAGAGCCCTCACTTCGACCCAAAGAATGGCCCCACTTTGATGGTAGCTTCGGTACTGGTTCTGGCGGATTGATGTGAGGTTGTGTCTTCGAAATCGACCTACCGAAGTCGAATGGCTGTTTAGCATTTCGAGCTCTTGTGACGTTCTCTCTTGTAGATCCCCCACTACGATCGATTGAATTGACCTGATGTAGTTGTGACTGCTGAGTCTGATCTCTTGATTCAAGATCACGAACGGACACCGGATTCGACGTGCCGAAGCTCAAGGGTGGATATCTTTGTCCACCCACTCTGGACTCCTGTGGAGAACTTTTCCTTCTATTCAGAAGCTCGTCCAAGCGGGGTAGCGATCGCTGAACATCGCCCAATAAGGCATCTGAAGAAAGGCCAGGCTGTGGTCTGCGTGGGGGCTTGTGCTTTGGTGTCCGGCAGCTCACGCATACATCTCGACGTGCAAGATTACTATTACCACATCCTGAGCATTTCCAATTTGTATATGCCGACGGTGCAGAATTGACTTCCGGTGGTCTTGTTACCGGCTCGATAGCCTTTGCAATAGGTTTTCTTGGAACAAATACAGGCCATGCGCCCTGAGATTGTTTTAGTGGCGGAGGAGACGGCTGTTGAACGGATTGCGGTGACTCGTCCGGATCCTCCTGAGCTATAGCGTATGCAGCGGCTGGGGGTTGGCTAATCTGCGAAGATGCTCGATAGGGACGTTTCTGGTTGATGGGATGAGGGCGAAGGAATTGTGAAGCTCTACCCAATCGAAGAGCGCAGAAGATGCATAGATCTTGACGAGGTGCGACCTGTGCGGGAATTAGTATGGATAGGCCGAAGCAGCGAATGATAGTACCCTTGAGGTAATCTTCCCAGGCATCTCCACGCCCGCAATCACCAAAGAAAGGTCAAGATGGCTGGGTTGAAGGCTCTGCTCATCTCTTACACACGCAGCCAAATCTTCTATCGACTCTCCGGAAATTCGCGAGCCTGGAAAAGGACCCTGAGTGCCAAGACGGATCTACAGTAAACTTCAGTTGAATGCAGTGCCAATGTTCCACCAAGATTTGTAATTTCAATTGGTATCTTTCCAACGCCTGTGTGCTATTCTTTTCTTGTTATATCGTGGCTGCGAGCGCTCGTGCTCTTGTTCATGAGGCTGCAGAAGACCAGCTGGTAGAGATCAGTGGGTGATGGCTGAAGAACTGGAGGCCGAGAATGCCAGCTGGGAGCGCACTGCCAAAGATCTCGCCGCCGGGGCTGCTGGAGGCATAGCACAAGTCCTACTTGGTGAGTGTCCTGGACCGATATCTGCTTGTCTGTGTACAGGAGTATTTGCAGCCGGAAAGTCTTGTATTATTCATTAGAGGAAATCAAGCGAAATGTGTCAGCTGCAGTCGAGCTTCTATTGTTTTTTCTCCGATTTCCTTTTCGGGCAATTCTTATAGTGGACTTTGAATACAATAATGCAATCCCACTGTTCATTTGTGACCCGTTACTCACGACGGAGACTCTTTATATTGCTAATGAGACCCCAGGCCAACCTTTTGGTAATGCCTCTATGTCAAGCTCGACAGTCCACCCCTAACAACGTCTATAAACAGACATCATAAAAGTCCGCCTCCAAACCACCAACCAATACACCTCCGCCCTCGACTGCGGCAAGAAGATCCTCACCCATGAGGGGCCCCTCGCCTTCTACAAAGGCACTCTCACCCCCTTAATCGGGATCGGAGCCTGTGTCTCCGTCCAATTCGGCGCCTTCCGACGCCCACTCTCTATCCCCGTCTTCCTCCCCCTCGCCAACCTCCGCAACAAAACCGCTATCATACGCCCAATACTACGCCTCCGGCGCCTTCGCCGGCCTGACCAACTCCATTCTCTCGGGCCCCATCGAACACGTCCGCATCCGACTCCAAACCCAGCCCCACTCGCCCACCCAACGCCTCTACTCCGGGCCCCTCGACTGCATCCGCAAGATCTCCTCCCAGGCCGGCGTCCTCTCCGGCCTCTACCGCGGCCAAACCGTGACCCTGTTCCGTGAAGCCCAAGCCTACGGCGTCTGGTTCCTGACGTTCGAGTACCTGATGAACCGTGACATGGCGCGCAATGGATACTCGAGGAAGGAAATCAGTAGTCCAAAGGTGGCGCTTTACGGTGGGATCGCCGGGGAGGCGTTGTGGGTGGCGAGTTATCCGTTCGATGTGGTCAAGAGCAAAATGCAGAGTGATGGATTTGGGATTGGGAAGCAGAGGTATAAGAATATGCGGGATTGTTTCAGGCAGACGTGGAGGGCGGAAGGGTGGAGGGGGTTCTGGAAGGGGATTGGGCCGACGTTGGTGAGGGCCATGCCGGTCAGTGCGGGGACTTTTGCGGTGGTGGAGTTGGCTATGAGGGCTTTGGGTTGAGAATGTAGGAGAGATTCAAGTGCCTTTTTTTTTTTTGGATGTGTGTAGAGCTGGGTACTTTGTTGTCTCGGGGGCTGGAATAAGAATTGCGATCCCGGCCGGGGATAGACTTCATTAAACATAGTCATGGATAGAAGGGAAGGCTTGTTATGGGTTGCGTCATAGGGCGGGTCTTGCTGGCTGCTTCATAGACACTGTCAATGAGTCAGCGCCAGCAGCGTAAATAGAAGCCTTGTACAGCACCGAGAAGAATCGTTCAATGTGCACATAAGCTTTGGGTTCCATCCTCCAGGGTCAACATCGATATAACGAGAAAGATGATGGGTCTCACATATTTGCCCGAACGCCAATGCCATGATCATGTTGTTCTCGTAGAATATGTACAATGCTCTACATGCAGCCCTCAACCAGGTGCTATCTATATGGAGCATCCGCCCTGGCAATAGCCGCCAACTCTGGCTCCCACTTATCGCCATTCGACAGCAATTTCTCCTTGTTGTACAACAGCTCCTCCCTCGTCTCCATAGCATATTCCGCATTTGGCCCTAAAACAGGGTCAGAAGATCAGCTCTCGTCCTCCACAAGAATGATCAACCAGGACGAAGACAAATGCAAACTCACCCTCAACAATAGCATCCACCGGACAACTCTCCTGGCAAAACCCACAGTAAATACACTTGGTCATGTCGAGGTCATATCTGGTCGTTCTCCTTGACCCATCTTCTCTCTCCTCGGCTTCGATCGTGATAGCTTGGGCAGGACAGATCACCTCACACAGCTTGCAGGCGATACAGCGTTCTTCGCCGGATGGGTAGCGGCGGAGGGCGTGTTCGCCTCGGAAGCGGGGGGAGATGGGCCCTTTCTCGAAGGGATAGTAGATGGTGTATCTGGAGCATAAGAGTTAGTATATGTAAAGCAGCTGCAGTAATGGTAGCGGGGGGTGAAGGGCGAAAGGGCACGTACGGTGGTCGGAAGAATTGCTCCATCACGACATACATGCCGCGGAACATTTCAGTCAGCAGGAAGTAGTTGCTGGCTTTGTCGAGTGCACTTTCTCCCTCGTCGAATCGTTTGGGTCGTGGTAATCGGAAACCCTTGGGTAGTTTACCGTATGGTGTTGCGCGGAGGGATGTCGAGGTGTGGAACTGGGAGGTGGCGCGTAGGTAGGGTGATGGACGCATCAATGATTGTGAGGTCTGTGGCCTTGCGACCATGCGTGACAGCGGCCTCACTGCTGAAGCCATGTTTGCTTTCTATCAGAAGACAGCAAGAGGTGGCGGCGGCGACAAGATGCAGAAGCTCAGAAGTTCAGAAGTTCAGAAGTTCTTCTCCTGCATGCGGGTAGTGAGGTCAGCTCTATGAGGTCGAAGGCGATTGGCGCGCAGGGGAAAAGCTGGTAGTCAAAATTCAGCCCGGTACAGTAGCCGACAGGGAACAATTTGGCACAACAGCTTGACATCAACTCGCGAACTTTTTGAGAGAAGCTATCCCCAATCACTGCAAAGCTCGACTACTACCAGCTCGATTGGTCTACCCTTTCCTACTCCCCAAACGATGCTTCGAACTGCTGCTGTCAGAGCTCTCCGAGCAGCTTCGACATCTCGAATCATTCGACAAGCCTCCTCCGCAAGACCGCAAGCTCTAAATACCTTCCTCCGATCATCACCAGCTGCACCATCACTCGCCCTTCCATCCATAAGACTCTACTCCGCCCCAGCCGGTCTGTCGAAAGATGAAGTTCAAGGAAGGATAATGGATCTCCTGAAAAACTTTGACAAGGTATGCTGGACTCGTAACATTCGGCCACTTTTAGTGACTGACATTTTGCAAAGGTTACAGACGCATCAAAGGCATGGCATTCAACACTCTCGATGGATCAACGAAGATATTCCTGACTAGTTATAGATTACCGCTACCGCGCATTTTGGCAACGACCTCGGCTTGGACAGCCTTGACACGGTGGAAGTTGTCATGGCAATTGAGGAGGAATTTAGCATTGAGATCCCAGACAAGGAGGCTGATGCCATTCACAGCATCGATCAGGCAGTCAGCTATATCTGCTCTCAACCAGATGCGCATTGAGACGGTTATATGGTTGCAGGTGGGATGCTTGCTGGCTGCTGTGAAGGTTGCCAGTTTGAGGTGAAAAGGATGCAGGGGATGCCTCAAGACCAACATTGTACATGATCGATTACTATGGCGTTGTATTCAGATGCCCCATTTCTGAGGCGCAATACCGTCTAGACAGCCACAACTCTCAAGCTTATCTTCTTTGGCCGCAAAGTCTTTGCCTGATGAATTCCTCCTTTGACTCCATCAGCAGTCTCCTTGCATCCGTTGATAGATTCAAACAGGATTTCAGCTGCCTCATCAACCAGACTTCGCTCTCTCTGCTGCCGCGTGAGTGAGACAAAAGCCGCTGCATTGAATACAAAGTTGAACATTATCACTCCATAATCATGCAAAGGCCATCATAACTGCGCGTTAACGAACAACCAAATATGCACGTCTCCAGAATTAGAGGAGATTTGCCACCGAGACCAGCTTGCTGCAGCAATTCCATGAATAAACCATATGCAGAATGAAACGTAGTACCAGCCAAAAACATAGAAGAGTAAAGTAATGTCCTCCTTTCGCGCCAAAAAGTTACCATCCACAAGACAACCGGCCCCAGCCCATCAAAAAAGCAAAAGGAGAATCGACCGCCTGCTACCCGATGGTAGTTTGATCCAAGTCAATTCTACTTTTGTCGTATAGCTGCTGTTATTGCCGATTCAGTCGGTGGATGTTTTGTGGAGAATTCGAATAATGGTTGGTATTGTCGGGTTTCGAACTGTTGCTGGTGTGGTGGCTCGACCATTCTCCCCTAACTCAAATGCCAGTACGCCCTGGTCTCATATCAAGCTAAGGGAGGTGGTGTGAAGGAAACACACATACTAAAAAATATAAACTCTGCTTTCTTCGACAGGTAGTGCGGTGTTTGTGTAGGTTGATTAGTCTTGAGGCTTGGTTGAGCTACTGCTGGTCTGAGTTTATGTTCTGGTTCTCACTTTCTAGTTGTTGCAGAACATGGAAGATGCTGGCTTTGAGATGGCGGTTGTGAGCTTCCACCTGTACCGTCCACATTTTCAAAGAGCGTTTGCAAGACGACTGTCATGGGTTACTGTATTAGTAACTCTGGTACCCTTTTGAGACCACGAGCTCATGCTTTGGCAGCAAGCATGCCATTTGGTGAATAGCCGGCGAGTCTAGGTATATCAGACCAAATCACTGCGACTGGAGATCGTCGGTTTTTGCTGGTCATGGACATCAGCTTCTTGGTCAGGGCAATCATAGCAGGTACGACACATCCTTCTCTCGCATCCTCTTCCATGATATGATGTGCTGCTGAGTCAAGCCTGTGACCTGGCCGCACGGTAAAGACATCGTTATTACTGTCTCATACAACCTCAGATACTTCCGTCGAGACGCTAGTGTCTTTTCTGAGGGTAGTAAGCTGGATAGTGGCCTTTGGAACCTCTTGCTCCGATGGATTCACCTTACCAAAGATATTGGTTTGCAACGTGCGCAACTCCCAGGCCGTCTGGCGTATCAATTTGAGCACATCCTTAAAGAGCATACATATTCAAGCTGAAGAGATCATCCGTCGTCGTCCTTGTGACCATCCCTGGTCTGAGCTCTCTAATGATATGAAGAGTCGCTTGCTTCTCTTTTTGCAAGGCCGTCAATTGGTTCAAGATAGTTGCATCAGCCTCCCTATTCGACAGAGACAACAACGTGTCGATGACGCGGCGAACCTCGGCTTGGACAGTCGGCAACGACTTTGCTTTGTGCCAGATCACGTTCCAAAGCTACCTTGGTACTCTGCAATACGCCGGACTGGACATATTTACAACAACAGCTCTTCAATACTGCTCGGGATGTGCTCAGTTGAGCTTCACTGACTCGAGCAATTCTTTCGAGCATAGTAAATCATATTCGAGCATCTTCCGGGATACATGGTGTTTTTCGTTATGCTTCTCGCAGACGTCAAGCTTCTGATTTAATTCCTTGACCACTTTTTGTGAGGAACAAAGCTTCCGCCTGGTTTCTTTAAGATATTGGTCGGAACGGTCTATTTCTGTAACATTGGCAGAAGATTCTTTCCCCCGTTTGAGGCAAGCCCGAAGCTTTTTTGGGGTTTCACTTAGCAGATCATGAGTCCTCTGCTGTTCTTGTTGCGCTGCAACCAGCTTCTCCTTCGTCAGTTCCAACAAGGCTCTAGAGTTTGTTTGGCCCTCCTGAGAGACGAGAAGCTCCTGTTGTCTTTCACCAAGTGTATGCCGATCTGTTCCTTTTCTTGATAAGAGAGATTGAGCTCCTCTTCCTCTCTCAATAACTTTCTAGCTGAGTGGGTCTCTTGCTGACAAGTCAGGGCTTGATGTCGAACTTGCGCCAACTCGTTCTCTTGAGCGCCTAATGTTCTGGTAAGGATCTCATTTCTCTCGTCAGCCTCTTCAGCGCGTTGGCTGTGCCAATCTAATGTGTCCAGATCTGGCCTTGAGGCACCAACGCGCTGCTCTAGGATACCTTGCCTTTTCGGTGCTTGCTTTTCGCGAGTTGCAAGAGATGCTGATTCGAGCGTCTAGTGCCGGAGTTGGGTATGTAAGTCTTCGATCTGATGTGCTGATTGTTGAGTAGGTCCAGTCATTCCAGTATGCATGTTCTGCTGCTCAGTAGAGACAACATCCTCTTCGTGGTAGACGGACTTGCAGCAAACCGAGGCTCCGTTCTTCTTTCTCAAGCGACTCAACTCAATGAGAGATCTAGTATCTTACAACGAAGGTGCCGCACGACATTCCCCACAGCAGTGTTCTCGTCTCTCAGATTCTCAATCTCAGTCAAGCTACTGTTGAGACTCTCCTTGAGTTCGAGATTGTCCGGGCCTTGCCGATCTACTACGGCATCAAAAAATTCCGAGTCAGACAAAGGCGAAGCTGGTTGGGCAAACATTTCCGTTGTCCCTTCTCCGATCTTCAGAGCTCAGTCACAGCAAGTGCTTGACTCCAATTGACGATATGCTGCAGCCATGGAAATGCTAGATGGAAAACACCTGCACAGATGAACGAAAGGTGGATTTTATGCTGGAAGACAATATGGCCTCTTATTGCATTCATGTCCATCACAAATGAAACAGGCAGAGAGGACGGGGAAGGACCACAATATGAAGGTGTCTGGAACGTGAGAAGCTATCAGCAAGAATCATGTCCAACACATGTGCAGCCATGCGGCGGCGGTGGCGGCGGCGGCGGCGGCGGCGACGTCCAGATTCAAAAGCGCCACGGCGCAAACAACGAACCGGTTTAAAGTGTTACGCTCATTATCATTGGTGGTGCAACTCTTCTTGTGTCAAGAACCAGTTTTTGATTGGTTCCAGGCTCAGCCCCTCGAAGTCTGCGTCGCAGAGGGGCGGCAGCAGGATGTGATGAAACATATACCGCGTGCAGTCATTCGCCGCTGCGTGTATAGCTTGGTCGACATCGCATAGTGTGGTCAGTATCGCATATCTTGGTCAATGTTGCGTAGCGTGGTCGATATTGTACGGCGGAGAGGACGTGAGCCATTCTGGCCAATTTAATGCAGTTGCCCCCATGTTCAAGCCCTCCGCTAGGCTAAAAGAAGGATCACGACAAACCTACCGGGATTCAATGTTCAAAGACTAGAACAGTAGCATCCGAGGGTTGCTCGAGAGCAAGGATTCTGGTAAAAATCGAGGAGTGCTCGAACGTTCGTATGTAGAAGGTTTTGCACGGCAAGGCTGAGTGCCCTGCCCACGTGCCCCAGGGGATATGATACCAGTAGCAAATCGCCCAATGCCAGGGCTATTCATCTGTGCCGCAGGGTTGTGAGTGCTTGCATACGATCATGAGTCAACAGACCCGTGGCTGTGGTTGTATTGGTCCAAGCTGCGTCAATTGACCTTCTGAACCACAAATGAAAGCTGGATATTAATGAATTGTCATCCCGCGCCTCCAATGTCGGCGGTAGAACGTATATCAAACAGCCATCCCAACCACCTTTGGAGCCTACCATATTCGGCAATTACTCGAAGGGCATAATCTCGGTTTCGTCGCTGCTGATGCACGAAATTCAAATCAGATCTTCTTAACACTAGGCTGGCCAAATCAATCGATGTCCCGGTCCCTGCGGCTGCGGCTGCGGCCGTGGCCGTGGTGAAGACGGAGCATTCGGGACAGCTGGCTCTGCAGGACTTTCCCTATTACCTGCATCTGACCCCAACAATGCACTCACAGGCACGCTTGCATTTACCTGACCGGGCCCCACCAGAGGTCGTTGCGCCTCCGCAGAACCCCCCGGACCTTCTAGGCGCGGTTCCGCCGACTCAGCAGGAGGAACCTGACCCTTCGCTCTCGAAGCACGAGGCTTCCGTTTCGATCTACCCGTTGCTGGCCTGCCTGAGCGAGGTGCATCCCGGACATTCTTCGCCACATCGACGAAGGAATTCCGAAGATGTTCTTCCGTCCGTCGCATGGCACGACTGTAGACTTGGTGGACCGAACGGATTTTCAGATCCAGTTTCTCCCCAATCGTGGCGTAGGTGAAGCCGAATAAGAGGCGTAAGCAGATGACGGCGACCCGCTTTTCGTAGGGGATCTCGCCGCCGTGAGGAGGCATGATGGCTGAAAGTGGTATCTTGTTGACAGCAAGGTTGAGCGTGGTATAGAAATCGGAGGTGTTGAGGTTACTTCTGCTGGATGGAACACGTAGGGTATACCCAATGTTAAGGAAAGTGTGTGCAACTGTGGGAATCTTGAACCGCTAAACTCTCTTTGGTTCAACGGGTTAACATTTTGAGCCGATCTTCTTGGGTGCTCGTACCAGGGACGATCAGCCACAAAACAGGTTTTGGCCCCAAGTTGCCAAGTCACACCGGTTTCAACGACCATCCAGTCTGATCCCGGTAATCAATTGCTCGACAAGGCTGATATGCAGCCATTTTATTTCAAAGCAAGGGTAACATTGGTGGAACTTTGCAGCAAAAAGTGTGGAGGAGCAAATGTGGCTTGCAGGCTCGCGTCATCCCCAAAAGGGGCAGTCCTTGGACACAAGACGGCAAAGTGATTTCCCAGCCTCTCTCTTCGGCTGCTTCAAAGAAATGACGTTAACCTCGTCTCCCCACATCTCCGTCATCCTGATTCTTGACCTCCATCAACTTTAGGGATATTTAGGATTTTTCTCCTTTGGCATACTTCCCATTCAGGCAAGACCTTCACTGCATACCACGAGTACCTTATTGACGACATCCGTCTGTTGTCATAGTCAGAACAGAATCGAAGTCTCGGTTGCAGGTCCCTTTTCCCAATTGACCACCCAACTACCTACCGAATGGAACGAAAGGACTCCGGCTATATGAGCACCAACGAGATGGCGGCGACGGAACAGAAGAAAGAAAAGAAGGAGAAACCCCTCAATGAGTATGTAGACCCGCCCCACCGATCAGCTCTCATTTCGACCCTCCCAGCGCATGGCACTGCAATTCGCAAGTCGCACTGCGCAAAACCGACCCATCATTCCATCCTTAACCTTCCATCACTAACACACCCATCCAGACTCCTAACCCACAGCATAGTCGACATCTACGTCGGGCCCGAGTCAACGCACTGGCCCATCCACGAAAAGCTGCTCTGCTACCACTCCCCGTTCTTCGCCTCAATCTTCTACAACGACAAAGACAAGAAATCAAATTCTCGATCCAGCTCCTCCAAGTCCTACGGCCTCCCCGATGACGACGACCACCCCTTCGAACTGCTGGTCGGCTGGCTCTACTCACGCGCGATCCGCGAACCCAAGGAAGAAAAGGACCTCGGATCGCTCCTGGACCTGTACCTACTGGCGGATAAATTCGAGATGGCGAAACTGGCCGACGATGTGGTCAGCGTGGTGCGCGACTTCTACCACAGCACGGGCACGTATCCCGGTCTGAGGCGGGTGCAGTATATCTACTCCAACACCGACGACGACAACGTGATGCGCGAGATGATGGTCGGCAGCATCGCGCGCTACCTGGCGCTTGGAGACACGATCCCGAACCACTGGGCCAAGGCGCTGAGGCGGAACGGCCAGCTCGCGTTGGATATCATCCGCAGTGTTCAAGAGTGGCATCTGGAGCCGCGCGTGGTCCCCGACCCGAGGGATCCCAGTGCGGACAGAGGACGGTTGGGGAATGGTGCCTTTTCGGCGGTGGAGGATGAGCGGCCGCGGAGTCAGGGCACCGATGGAGATAACACAACAGCATCAGCGCAGACCGGCACAGATGGAGCGGATACGGCGCCCACGAGCGCGGATGAAGGGGAGAGCGAGCGGGAGAAGGAGGATAAACCTTCTCAGTAATCTTGGTTGGGTTGTCCTTCCCGAACCGTTCGACTTTGCCTGCTCTTCATTGGTTTCTACCAAAAACCTTCATGTTCAATTAGTTTGAAGTGCAGTATTTACTACGCGCCTTTTTGTTCGGGAGACGCACTTGTTTCCTCCATAGGAGTCAGCATCACCTCCCACCGACCAGCGCCACACACGACAAAAACCGACGAGGAAATTGAAAAGAGAAACAGAAAGGGGAACAATTTCAAATCCGCCAGAACCCGGCCACGATGCTGCACGTGGAAGGAAAGAAAATCAGTCTCAACATCTATTTCGGTGCATTTCGGTCGCAACAGCTCATATTATTTCATGCATATCGCCTTTCTGGCTCTGGGAGGTGGAAATGCTATCTCTATCTTTTCCTGTACCAGTTTTGTAGGTTTAACATCAGATATCATCTTTACAGAAACAAGCTTTTCATCTTCGTCCGGAAATCCATCTTGTTCGATAGACAGTTACATAGAGGAGCAGTTCGTGCGCTTCCCTAAGATGGTTGTGCTTGTGTTGGATCTCATCTTCCGCACATGATGGTGAGTTCATGGCGCAACTTACCTCCCAGATCGATCCCGAATAGTAGAAATAGTGACTTTTATATACATCGGGTGACTTAGACAAGGAGCTAGAAGGCCAGACAGCGCGGCTGGAATAGCTCTTGCTGTTTCGCGTTCTCTCTCGAACCAAGGTATGGTCTCATGATCGATCTCGAATCAGGTACCATACAACCCACCCAATGATCGTCAGTTGTCATCGTCTGCTGTAAAGGTATGCCGGGCACACTCGGTGCAGTTCGAAGATAGTATTCCGTATTGACGTTGTCAACCTTCAAGATGCTTAATCCCATAGGTTTGGTAGCAGATGATCAGCCTCGAGTCTGCACAAAGTATAACTCGTCTTATTTCCCTGATCAATAGCTTCGAGGTATTGAGGGTCAGTCAAGCCGTCATCCCTCGAAACGGTCGTAGTTATCCCAGTCCACATCGGGCACATTCGGGTCAAATGTGTCGGGAATTGACAATAAATACTCTAGCGTCAACTTCATTCTGGTTCGAAACTCGGAAGCACATGACCTTAAAGACAGGACGTCCAGGAGTCTTCCCCTTCTGGCTTCCAAGCTGGAGATTCGCTGTTCGAATATCATGTCCTCGCGTTCCCGCTGGAGTAACGCCTGTCTGGCCAGCAACCTACGTTCTTCAACCTGGCTTGGCTCCTGTAGTAGAGCTGGAAGCTCCTCCCTTCCTCTAAGTCTGGTGTTGCAAAGGATTTCTGTATTATCGATTGCCGCCATGAGCTTTTGTATTGCCCTCTGGTTGCGAAGTTTTCCCTCTTCCGAACCTTTGATTCTGTGAGTATACTGGTTGATAAGGCGGCGGACTGCGGCGATGTTTGAAGCATCGGGGTGAATGGTTATTGGGACCAGACATGGTTGTATTCTGGTCGCCGTTGGGAGAGGTCTGAGACACCATGGTTGCGTTGGCTCTGGTATATGAGAATGTGATCTAGCCGAAGCTGAACCTTCCATGGGCGAGGTGTATGGTGGGAAAAACCGGCGTGGATCTCTCTCGGGAAACCCCGGAGGTTCTCTGGGTCGGAGAGAGCCTGTGCTGGCCAGCGGCAGACTTTCTATAGACCGCTGTAACATTTTCTCCGAGAAGTCTGTCCCTGCCCCGGCCAGACCAGAACCCGCCTTGACTGATGGACGAGGATTTATAGACTGCTGTGAGACTCCCTTCGACATGCCCGGACCTGTGACTGAAGCAGAAACAGTCATGAGCGACGGGATTGGCCCAACAGAAAGCTGTGGCTGTCGCCTCGTAGGAGGTGAGGCTGCCGCGGTCGATCGGAGAGATGCGAAAGACTTATGTGAGACTCTTTCTGGAAAGCCCGGTGGTGGTGCTCTAGCGGAACCAGAATCTGCTTTGGCCTCGTTCCTAGAGTCGGAATGCCCATCAATCGGCGCTGGACGTGGTTGATCTCGCTGCCTTGTGGGCTGAGGTCCAAGAGACCGAACCTGAACAGCATTCAATACTTTCGGAAGCGGGCTAGCGGGGCCGGGACTTGAATCTGGTATATCAGAATGGTTTCTTGATGGCGTACCACTACTGAAGGAGCGTTGCAGCTGTCTCTCACGATGATCTAGAAGTTCTATGGGCGAACCAAAACCTGATGTCGCTATTCGTTCCCGGCCATCTTGTGCGTTTGTTGGCGACCTATCTGGTAGAGATTGCCATGGAGTGGCGTAAGGATTGGGAGGTTGCCATGGAGTGGCATAAGGATTGAGAGGCCGCTCGGAGATCCTCTCTGGTAAGCTACTGGCATAAGAATCGAGAGGTCGTTGTTGAGCTCTCTCTGCAGCACTTGTGGCATCAAGACCGACAATCCGCTGATGGACCCTGCCTGGGATATTTGGAGCTGACCCAGCCGGGGCAGATTCTGCTCTGGTTGAGCTCCGAGGTTCCCAACATGCAAGATGCTCATGGGCCCATGCCCAGGGATCTCTGTCAGGAGAATCTGCAGAGTCTATATACCAGCCAGGACGTGTGCTGACCGCCCCAGAACGGGTTTTGTACGAAGGACGGCCAGACGACATTATCAGGTGCTGGACGTTAGTAAGATTGATGTTGTCTCAGAGATCCGCTCAGGGACTCGAGACCCAATTCCGTCTTGCTCGCACGATTGAGAGCGTCAGCAGACCAATCACTTGAAACTATCACTAGTAAGACTCAAGGACGCGCATTCAGACTTTCAACCACCAGATCTGAGAGTCAAATATGCCTCAGAAGAAGATGGGCATGCTGCAAAGGGAGACTGAACATGTAGCACGCTCGCTCGCGTCATCACGTCAGCAATAGGGCTTTACCTCTGAAACTCACTCGATCGTGCTGCCCACCATGTGGTATCACGGCATGGGGTAAGCGTAGTGGCGAGGTCGATTGTGTCTCATCGTGCGTCTCAAAGGTACTGCTACTCATGTTTGAAACGAGATATTCCAGGATGACCGAAGATGCTCCTGATAAGTTGAAACATATGGAAGTGCAGCCGACCGAAGTTAGTTCAGTTCCTGGTAAACGTAGATCAGCTTCCACCCAAGCAGTCATTGCGTGGAAAAGCGCGTGAAGGGATCAAGTTCTGAGCTAGGATACTTACTTACAGTAGATTTGATGAACAAATCGGGGGGGAGCCATCTGGGTCTTGCTCAACCATGAACCATGTCAGATAGACGTCGCCTCGCTGCATGTACAGTATTACAGTTACAGTATATGTACAGTCTTTCGTCTCGCCTTGTTTACAGCACATCCATCCAAATGGCCCCCACCAAGTCTTATAAGCTTCTCTCTGATGCCATTCGAGTATCTCTGATAATGCTCCAACTCCATATATTTCTAGCCGGTCCAGTCCTCGCCACAATCCCAGCCAGAACCCAGCGCCATCTTCCCTTCAGCCCCTCTATCGCTTTCCTGAATTGAGCCCACCGTCTTGTAAACCACCTCTGATATCGATCATCTCCCCTCCCCAAACCCCACAACAGTAACAACCCCACGACAAGTCCATCAACAGCCAACTGTCTGACGGCAATCCACAGGATCCACCTCATCCATGACAGAAGCCTCTTGACGCCTTTCCGCCGCCTGATACTGAATCGGGATCTGTAATAAGAGGTAGAATTGAGCTCATCGATCTGTTCCCTCAGTGCCGCCAGTTCTGTGCTGATCTTTGTGAGTGCTGTTTCGACCTGCCGCTGCCACTTACGTGTACTCGCTGATGGCTGGCTTCTCCTGTCTATACGGCGTGGTGGATCCCGTTCTGAGTTATTTGCTGCATCTCGGATATTCTCGTCGTCAGCGCTGTCGCCGTCCGGCAATTCTGGTTCAGGAATCGAAGCATCTTCGTCCTCGACAACTTGCCCACTTTCATCCGGGCCGAGGACTCGCAATCTTCCCTCGACAAGCCCGCCGGTCGCAGGTTCTGCAGCCCCAGCCCCAGAGCGCACCGTGTTCCGTAGGCTTTCCTCGCTCCCCCTCTGACTCCGTATCTGATCCCAGACGAACTCCAGCTCGTCCACCAATTCCCTCGCTTCCGCTGTCCCCGCGGCATAAACTTTCATCGTCTGAATCAACACCTCTATGTAGCGTCTCTTTGCATCTGTTCTGCTTAGCCCGGCACACGCGTGCCACGCGTCCCATTTCTCTATCTCCCCTCTTGCCTCCCCGTGTCTCTTCATTTGTTCGGCACTCTCGTCGTGATTAGAGTCGTCAGTGTTGCTCGGGAGGTGAGTCGAGGGTAAGGTAGGTCGAGAGAGGATCGCTTCAACGTCTCCTTCCATTGATTGTTTGTAGAGGCCATAGAGACGAAGACGGGCAGAGGGAGGGGGGCGCGTTGACCCAGGTCGAGGGAGTCGCCGAACTGTGCGGAGGGCTTGAGCAAACACACGATCTAATAAAGTCGGGTGTTAGCGAAGAGACACGTAGAAATCACCCCCAAGAGGATGAAAGATGCAGTCCAGCGGGAAGGGCGCATGCTTGATGAGCCCTCTTATTAATCTTCTGGCAAAAGAACAGACATACCAACGGAGTCTGCCATTTGGGAGTGTTCAAGCGTCTGACAGTCCGGTGACACTGTTAGAACCAGGAAGCAGCGTCGACGAATTACAGCAGATGCGAGGTAGATGAAGGATGTCTATGAAATCCTGCTCATTTTGCTGGGTGCACTCAGATAATTCCAATTCTGTGATGCTAGAAGAAACTGTGGGTAGCAATGAAATCTAGCAAGCATCATAATATGTAAGGCAATGGTGTGCCGCATCGTCCAATGCATGCGTGTCAGCTCAATATGTAATGCATCTCGATATCGAATCGCGCACATGAGCCGAGGCGCAGACAAAGATTACATAGCTATGCATCATCCCCTGCACATGTTGCCAGTGCATACTACGCCATTGCTTATCGCGACGAAATGAGGGATCTGAAATCGCTTTGATTGCTATCATGCTCGACAGCACCAAGAGTACAACATGGCTGCAACTGTAAGATGGTATCACGGACTTCCACTTCATCAACCAGCAACCAGCAACCAGCAACCCGCAACCCGCAATCAGCAATCAGCAATATTGTTAGCGAGGATAACGCCGCTCCGCTCTTGTGGCAATGCCCTTGATGTTCAAAAGACCCCCTAACCCCTCATGGTCATGCCTGCGCAGACTCAGACCCTCCGCGCCCTCGCCCACGTTGTCCTCCACCTCTGCCATAATTACCATATCCTCGATGTCCTCCGTAGGATCTTCCCCGACCCCGGAATCCACCTCGACCACGTCCGCGGAAGCCTCCATCCACGCTACCTTGACCAAAAGTTTCCAAGTTCTTCTTGATCTCTTCGCCTCTAAAGCCACGACCCGTATTCTGGCCAGCACCTTCCTCACGGTCCTTGGCTTCGCTCGATATGTTGTCGAAGAAGGAGCTGGACTTATTGTAGGCTTCGGTGGCAACCATAGGTAGACTGTCCTTCCTCTTTTGTCCATTCGCCGTTGAGTCCGCGGATCCGTTAATCATGCCATCCTCACTTGGTCCTGCAATAGGTGAGCCAGACGCGATCGCCTCCTTCATTGTGTCCTCCTTGTTGAATTTTGCATTCGCAGACTCGAAGTCGTAGTCAGATTTGGGTATTTCCATCTTACGCCCTTGATTTGCACCGGCCCGAAAGTTCCCTCGTTGACCTCTTGCAGCACCTCTCCCGCCACCACGAGGACCGTCTGAGGTTTTCATCTCACCAACTTTCTTCGTCAAGGCATCTACAGCATTTCCGCCTGCTACAGGCCGAGGCTGTGCTGTTACGGGTTGTACATTCGTGTTCATCTTCGCCATGGCGGTTGCAACAGCCGCACGAGCTTGACGGTTGGCTTCTTCCATTGCAATCTGTGTCGGCGCAGTCGCTTTAGGTGCTGGAGGTTGGGCTGTGTTGCCTGAAAGGGTTGACAATGGCCCATTGGTCGTCACCGGGAGAATGGGAGCCGAGGCTTTTGAATTAACTGTCATAGGCACCGCCGGCACAATTCGACTGCTTCTTGGTCCTGTTGGTGGGGCCTTTGAGGTGGATGCGACAGTATCATTCGGAGCAGCCACAGGTGCTGGAGCGCTGGGGACAGGGGCAAGAGCTTCAGCAAGAGTGGGTTTCGATTCATTGGGCGGCGTCGGACCAGGAGCAGGTGACACGGTTGAGATAGGTGTTATGCTCCTACCAGCTGGAGTTTCTTGTGCTCTGTCGTTGACGGGAAGCTCGTTTGGTGCTTGAAGACCTGGCGGGCGCTGACCTGGAGGAGCTATCGGCATCTGAGGTGGTGGAGGAAATGGACCATGGTTGATGAAACTTTGACCTGGAGGCCCATAATAGCTTGGTGGTGGAGGCCCGTAGGGCATTCCTTGAAAGCCTGGACCGGGCGGGAAGCCACCGGGCGGGGGGCCATAACCGCGATCGTATTGAGGGTAGTAATTCTGAAAAGGCGGGGGTTGTTGCTGTTGATGTTGAGGGTGCTGCGTGAAGTTTGGAGGTGGTGGGAAAGGAGGCTGATCACGACGTTGAGGGGCTTGTGGTGATGGCTGGCTAGGTCGGGACGCATTCTGTATCAGAGAGGATCAGCAACCCGCCATGGTTAGGTGTTCGCGATCATTGGTTGCAGCGAGGCTTTCTCGTCAGAAGGAAGGCAACGGAAATTATCCACATGGTTTTGCGCTTTCGGAACAGGTCTGTGATTTACATCCGGAATGTCTCATCATACAAGAAGCTATGTTGGGCTGGCGATCATCGACAGGATGTAGTTGACATACCAGAATAGCAGGGTCATTGGGTGGATTGGGATCAGGCTGCTTGTTCTCCTTGTGATCTTCAGCAACCTTAATGTCCTTCACATCGGTGGCTCGAAAAACGATGTAGTCGAACTTCTGATTGGAGGCTGGTATGTAGTCTTTGGCCGGACGACCTTCAGTACCGAACGAGTAGACATTTTCTAACGCAATAGTGGATTGTTCTGGATTGATCTCGTGAAGCGTGCCGACATAGCGGATCTCGCTCTTGGAGATGAGGTTGAAACGCTGCCTGTGAAGTGTGGTCAGCATCAAGAATCCGAGTCCAGACTTGTTCAGAAGTATGAGCTTACCCAATCAAATGATCCATTTCCATGGTGAAGAATATTAACGAGCGTATGTGTATGTGTATGTGTATGATTTGGGGTGGATTGTTCTGCTGTCGCGATCGAGGGTGAGGCTGCAGAAAGTGGTGCGCTGAATACCAGAATACTAAGTTAGTTAGTAACTACGGTGGCCTGGAGCAACCCAAATCCCCCCCATCAAGCCCGTCCTTTCTCAGCATCCAGGCACCACAAATTCCAACATGGCGATTTCGGCCAGACCAGACCACTTCTTTCAAACAGAGTCTGCAACTCACGCCGCTCCATTACCATCATACTAACATATTGCTGTAGCTCCTCACTCGATGGAATAAATCGCAAAGCGCGCAAATCCTACAATATTTCGGGCAATCCAATCAAGCTCCCTTCCAAGTTACTTGCTATTATCCCAGGTCCAGCTCAACCTGGAGCAGTATATGTCACCGAAAGTGCCGCAACAGTCAAAAGGGTCCAGCTTGATACGCGGGAGGTCACACATACCTATAGAGGCCCCAGTGCCCCCTTGACAAGCCTTTGCTTGTCTGCAGATGGAACCAAACTCTATGCAGGTTGCTGGGATAAGTTGATCTGGAGCTGGGATGTTCTGTCGTGTACGCCGAGTTTAAAGTATCAAGGGCACACAGATTTCGTGAAATCAGTCATATTCTTGAAGACAAGGGCAGGTCAAGATATCCTCGTATCAGGAGGAGCAGAAGGTGATGTTGTGATCTGGAATCCAGAGACTGGTCAGCGTCTCGTGGTGCTTAAAGGTGGAAGCCATGCTATCCAGGGTTTGGCCGTCGACCCCTTAGAGGAAGACCTTAGGCTATTCACAGCCTTCAGCGATCCAGGGATCAGGCATTTCACAATCTCAAGTCTCGAAAATATTCGAAACCTCAGTTTCTCACCTTCGATATCAGCCCACGATACAAGTGTCTACAAGCTTTACTTCGACTTCGATGGCGATCTCTGGACTGCCTCAGCAGACAAGACTGCCAAACATCTCGTTCGAGCCCACAGTTGGAGAGCCGATACCACCCTTGCACATCCGGACTTTGTCCGCGATGTTGTGGTCCACGAACGCTACGGGTGGGTAATAACAGCCTGTCGCGATGAAGAAGTCCGAATTTGGAACCTCGCTACCGGAGAACTACACCATACGTATTCTGGCCATTTTGAGGAAGTCACAGGGCTCTGTCTAGTGGGAGATAAAGTAGTGAGTATCAGCATTGACGGAACGATTCGACAGTGGTCACTCCAGCCAAAGGACCTGCACAAAGCAAAGGAAGAGTCAGCCAATCCGGACAAAGCTGCAGGAGAAAGCACGCAGATGAAGATAGATGACCCATCTGCATTGACGGAAGAGGAACAAAGGGAACTGGATGAACTGATGGCGAATGAAGAGCAGGAGCTACTCGACCGTATGGCAGCCGGCGAACAATGAATTCGGGAGCCGGAATTCTATCAATGCGTGCTACAATTTTCAGAACGTTCAATCAGGTATACATCAAAAACCATGATAGCCATGTCGATCTCCCCACTTCACGTCACAAATACGCGATTCCTATCAACCGCGTGCTACAGTATTCTAAACGTTCAATCATGTGTATGCTAAGAACCGTGACTGGCAAACGCTGGTCCCCCAACCTGAAGCCTCAAGCATATTCCACGCCATCGAATCACTGCGTTCCCACCGTTGACATACTATTACGGGCACAAGGGAACGGGGATGAAATCCAGAAGCTTGGCTTACTACACCCTTACACCAGCCTGTGATGAAGTATATCATACATGCCCACTGCACGCGAACGCAGTACCGCATCCGGAGCAGCGATGGCAATTCGGTATGCAAGGGAACACTGGCCGCCAAATACTGAGTACCCCGACTAGATAGATCTTGATTACCTGTGAAGGAAAATCTCCCAGCATCAACATGACCTAAGCCTCTCCGTTTGCACAGCTGCACATCGTCTTAGAAATCATATGTACATACAAGCAGTATTCAGATGATCAAGGGGAATATCTCGAGCTGATAACGTGGTACCCCACCTAAGTAGTACGCACAGGTATGACCACAAGAGACGGGAGACATGAAGCAAGATCTCACAATCTCTAAATCACTGACCTAGAAAGCCCACCATAGTCAAGAAAGTGATGATCCTTAACTACAGTCCAACAATTCCTTAGCTCATATTTACCAATTGCTCCCTCCTTCTCTTCCTTCCACCCGTTTCCCAATCAGGCCATCTATCATACTTCCCAGCTCAGTACTCACTAAGCGCCAATTTCTTGCCCACGGCCCTCCGTTTCTGCTCAGCAACCTGATGGGGTTTCTGTTCCTTCTCTTGGTTGGCTTTCCGGACTTGGAGGAGCATTCCAGCGTCGAAGAAACCATCTGTACGGAGGAGTCATTAGTATTCGTTGAGAAAGGGGGGCTGTTATTCTGTGGTCGGTGAGGACTGGGTTGGGAAAGGGGCCTTGGGGGGCCAAGACTAAAGATTTGAAGCACTTACAACCACCTAATCCATCATCACTCTCCAACTCGCCATCCACGCCATCACCAAGCGGCATCTGACTGCCGACAACCTTCTTATCAGTCCCATCACTCCGGACGAGCCTGCCAAAACTCTTTGTCCTCCCTCCCAGCTCATGCCGTTCATCTACCTCCCTCGCCCGAGTCTGTTTCGCATGACTGCTCTCCCTCTTCGTCGCCCTCAACAACTTCCGGATCTCGAGCAGATAACTCTCCAGGCTATCCACGAAACGCCTGGTCTGCCGATGTTTACTGCTCGCGCAGATGCTGATCGAGTCGTCCTTGATGATGTAGCCGATGCCGAAGCCGTCGCCGGAGATGGGGCCGAAGCCAAAGTGGCGGAGAGATGGATTGCCGCAGTTAGAGGTGCTAAGGATGGTGTTGTTGATTTTTTCCCAGCCGGGGTCCATGAAGAGGGCAGGCATTTGACTGGGGCCACCTTTGCTGGCGCGGTGATTGGAAGAGGAGCGGTTGTTATTACTGGACGTCGACCGGCCAGGCCTGGTATTGTTGCCGTTTCGGGCTGGAGGAGACACAGGCCGTGCTTCACCATCCAAGGCACGTCTGGGGCTACCACCCATGTCTGATTCGGTGCCGCTGATGTAGCCATTAGAGCTGAATCCCGGGCTTTCTTCTCTTTCTGCACCTTCCCCATCTACTGCTCTTTGCCAGACGCAATATAATGCGTATAAGTGCCGGTCATGCCCTTGAGCTTTACCACATTCTTTGGTTATTGCCGTATGTTTTTGTGTGGCTTTCTTCAGCGTGTCCACCTTTTTCTGGGGTGAATTGTCTGCCCAGAATGTCTTGACGAACTCCACGGCCTCAGGTGTGACAGATCTGATGGCCTCCGTACGTCCATGCAAGTAGATTTTAGTCATTGCTGGTTCATAAGTATTTTCAATACGGCCATAGAGCCCGTAGTAAGCAGCTTGAAACGCCATCTGAACAAAGGCATCAGGCGAGAAGCCCATCGACGTCATGAAGTTCTTGCCGTAGCCAGCAAAGTCCAGTGTTTGAAATTCATTCTGGTGAATCAGGTCGGCTAGACGAGTCTCGGCAAAGCGGAGGGCAATGCTGAGTTCTGGAATCATGTCCCATTCAAGTTTGCGAGGAGTGGTACTGACATCACCAAAGCTATCGGGATCACGTTTGCTGGGATCGGGAGAGTTCGAAGCCCAAAGCGTTGGTGCTTGACCATTGATGGTTCTAGCAAATCGTAGAATTGTGTCGGTATAGACATCACTTGCAAAACGCAGCACAGTATGACCATCCACGCCAGTATGTTCGAAATTGATGCCGGCACTACCATTCTTGCAGACAATAATTTGAAGTTTGTCGTACCATCTGTTAGTACAAGTACCGACTTGAAGACCCTTGACTACTTCATTCGTCCCGCAAAGCATGTTACCACAGAGGTCCGATACGTTTGTTGGCTCTGTGTAGTCGAGGCAAAGCATGAAGAGCGATGAATCAACGATGTTGAGGCACTCGGCGTTGTTGGATCCCTCATCACGAGTCAAGACGTCTCGTAGGCCTGACCAAACCTTGCGGTTCTCGGTGCTGAGCACGCCAACAGCGGCCTTTGCTGCTTCCTGAATCGGGATCTGTTCAGCATCTTCGACGATGACTTGAAGATTCTGAACGACATCCTTCTCAGTCATGATCAAATCATTGTTGTCATCAAGCACATCAAACCAATAGAATTGACCTTTGCACAACACAACTATATGCTTGGCCGACGAATCTTGTCCAATAACACAGCCATTCTGAGTTGGTACGCGAGCAGTTCCGAACATGCGAGAGTACTGATACATATCAAGAGGAACACCCTTGAGGGTGTCAGGTGGAAGTTCTTCCTTTCGAACCGCACGAACGAAGCAAAGAGCAGAGATGACCAGTGAAGCAGCTCGAGTGACTTGATTGTTTCGAGCAGGGGTTGGATCATCTTCCAATAAGAAGAAGGGATTCAGGTTCAGGACAACCGGGTTGTCGTAATTCAGGTAAGAGTCATACCAGAATTGTTCGATATAGCTGGTTTTGCCCGTAGCATACCTTTCCAAACGCTCTTGCAGCTCCTTCCCTTCATTTTCAAGGAACTCTTTCGCAGCAGCTTTAGTATCCTCTTGCTCGCGGGAGGTCTGCAACGGAAGAAGAGCCTCACAATATTTCTTGAGTGTAGATCCAAGCTCCGGTATTGGTAATTTTGGAAGCTTATCCTGCGCAGCGTATGTAATTCCCGGTCTGAAGTTCGGTTTCTGACCGTGTAGCGGCTCCTGTACTTTTTCGGGATACGAAGTCTTTGTTTCGGTAGCTGCTTCTGTTGACCTAGGCCCGGCATCAGGAGCCATCTGGGTCGAGTTCATCGACTCATTGAGAGATTTTGGCATAGTGAAATGCCGCGCCTCTGTAGCTGTGGTAGGCATGGTCACTATCAGCGTGATTCAAGCGTATAGTGAAGCTAGGAAAGATGGTATTGAGAGAAGGCACAGAGCTGTGCGGTAGAAGTAATGGCAATCGTGAAGGCAGTAAGGAGGCATCTAAAGATGAATTGCAAATAAGTATCCTATCTTGCTGAAGACAATAGGCTTGTAAACAGAATGGCAAAAGGACATTGCTTTGTGGATGCCCCGCGCAACGAATCACTTCAGTTCAGCATGTGACAGCGGAAGAGACACCAGATCCTACCCTACTAGTATAACAAGACCGAGAACCACGCTGCGAATGACAACTCTTCCGGTAAAAGCAAGCTTGAAGACTGGTGGAGCGGAAACTGCAGGGTATGAATCTGAGTCTAGAGAGCCGTCGGTGTTACGGAAGACCTACGAGGATGGCGCTTTCTGTCCTTAAATTCAACCGCATCCACGTATGCACAAGGTGACTGAGGACTCCAACACAAATGATTCAGTACTCCTTCGGTTTCGGTACAAGAGGTATCATGCGTTTGTCCCTGGTTTTGAGACCGAGGTCGATGCAATGGCGTAGGGTTTTGAAGAGACCCTAGCTGGTGTTGTTGTGCTTCGGGCACTCGGTTGCTTTTCCCGAGGTATATTTGAGATAGCTGACACGAAGGTCCTGGTCATTTTGAACATATGGGAAAGCTCATCCTCGTGCAATGCACGCATGCTGTCAGAAGACGCCTTTTGCGAGGGTAACTGGCATATGACGTTTGAACCCTGATAGCCTCCTCATGATAGCGTCCCAAGTTGCTGGAAAAGGTTAAAAGCACCTCATGTTTGTGGGGGAAGAAAACTGGCGAGGTGCAAGCGCTCAAGCGCCTAGCCGGGTGGCAGCAAGGTTTAGCCTCGGCCGAAAGGAGATCTTTTACCACCTGAGTGTGAGCGTAGCAACTTGCAGCATTCTTCCAGTCGTACAGTGTTGGTCAAGATGGGGAAAATAGTCAAGTGCTACTGTATGAACATCGTTACCGAAGATAGAGCAGCACTGTGGTACGCAGAAACCCCACGAGCCGAAGCTTTGCATGAATCATTTGTATTGTCCACACTATCTTCTATTTGCATGCATGGGGAAGAAGTGAACATTTTGGACAAAAAACCATCTGACTGTCTCGAGCCAAGATGAAGGCAAGCATGTGCCGAGAAAGAAAAGCCCAAGATGCAATTTCACATTCCCCAGTGGGAATGTGCTTGCAGAGAAGTATTTGCTGATAAAAAAGAAGCTGAACCATCCCTAGAGTATATGAACACAGCCGCATGCATGCAAGGTAGCTTTGTATGGTGTATGCCTGAGGCAAAGCCGAACTTTTAGTACTGACGAGCCGGTGAGAAGCCCAGCTTGTCATGCAAGCTTGCACAACGCCCATGCTTCCTCTCTAGATGGAGACGGTTGGTTTACCAAGACGTGTGCCAACGTTGGTGTACTCGCCACCAAAGTTTCCTGGTGGAGAATAGTTGCAGACGGTGAAGTATGGTCGAATGTTTCCACCAATGTTCTGCAGGCTGTTGCATTTGACAGTTGCACAACCAACTTCTTTGGTGTTCCTCCAGACGATCTGAGAGAAATGGCCCCATGCGTGGAAGTTGCTCATGTCTGGGTCGTCTTGACCATATAGTCCTTCGTATGCCGGAGCTTCATCGTTGTACATGCCGTTGGTGATCATAGCCGGGACATCTTCCGGAGGAGATCCAGCACCAATGTTCTGTCCATAACCTTGGCCGTACTGAGACTTGTCGGTTGCACTGGGATATGTTAGTGACTGTTACTAAAGAAGAGAAAGAAATAACCATACGTGTCATGCGCATAGACGCAGGAGTTGGCGATCTTGAGGGCAGTGGCAGCAAGCTTATCAGACCAAGTCAGAGGACCAGTATTAGTGTGGTTTGCGCGATGGATGTTGTGCTGATCCAAGATCTTCTGACCATAGGAAGAACCCACAGCAGGAACAGGAGCTGGCGATGAAGCTGCTGGAGCAGAAGGTGCTGGAGCGGAAGGTGCTGGAGCAGAAGCGCTGACACCCTTGTTGGAGTCCGAAGTGACGGGAGTTGGAGCAGGTTCTGAGGTCGGAGCAGGCTCATCAGATGGAATTGGTGCCTCTCTGTTAGAAGATGAAGCTGGTTGGGGTGTTGAAGTTGGAACCACGACTTCAGAACTTGAAAGCACGGGGGTTGGCTCGTCTACGGCTGGGGAGCTACCGTGACGGCCTCGGCCACGACCACGGCCACGACCGCGGTCATTGTCGTTGTAGCTGTCTTCGGCATCCACATTCGAAAAAGCGGTTGGAGCAGCTTCGGCCTTGGTGACTGTGGTCCAGACAGTGTGGATCTCGACTTCAGTGGTCAAGTAACGCTTCTCAACAGGGGTGGCTACTGCAAGAGTCGCCAGCAGAGAAGTGAGGATGATTGAAGAACGCATCTTGTCAGAAAAGATGATAGTTGGCTATGTGAAGAATGCTTGGAGGGTGTTCAAGAGATAGTCGAGGAGTGAAGATATATGATTTCCTGAATCTGTCTTCACTGAGGCTTGACTGGCAAATGACCTGGCTCGACACAGTCGATGGGTAGAATCGAATTGAAGGGGTGTGAATGAGCGACTGGGCTTGTACGCTTGAAAGAGCGCAAAGTGTACAAGAGAATGGCGTTGTGCCGAAAGAGTTGAATGGGTAGCACAACTCAAGAATAGAAATGAATGTGGTAGTGGTGAGTTTTTTAGAAGGTTGAGCAGATGGGCGGCGTGGAGGAACTTGAAGTAAAAGAGTGCCGAGTCTCTTGGAGATCTCTTGGCTGTTTAACTTGGTAGGCGGATCTGAATGGTGACTGGGGGTGGAGACGCAGATGTGATGGTCCTCCAAGTAAATTTGATGCGGAATCGTGAAACACCGCACAACCTTTAAGTGAAGTCAGACCACAGATGACCCTGGCAAGTCTCTTAATGTTTGGCAAAGGGTAAAGGCACGAGAGAAGGAGTGAAGCAAAATGTTGTTTGATGATTCTTCATGTCCGAAGCGGCCATGCTGTCCAAGTTATACCTTCTATTCTTCTTCTGCTCGAGTATCTAGAACCTGAAGTCCCATTTCCAGTCACCAGATGCTGAAGCCACAATTCTTGCAGTAGCTCTCCTGCATCGTGGAACAGCAACAACAACAACAATGTGGATGTGAGCCTGGAATCATTGCGCTGACTCCAGGCCAATGGCTACGTATCCAGAAATGCACGCGAGAAGGGGTGCATTCAACAGAGGTCAAAAGCTGGATGATATTTGGTGCGATTGGTCGCGTTTTCCCCTTGTTCTAGCTCCCTCAAGCACGCCATTCCGATGCAGGTCGATTGGCGGAGGCCTCTAGAGCGCTGGGTTCCTACATAAACGCTTACCGCTAACCCTGTTTTGAAACAGTCTCCGTCCCTAATCCATGCTCCTGCAAGCCGCCTGCAAGCCGCCTGCAAACCGCCCAGAGGTGACCCTGACCCATCAGGAGCCCGGTCGCCATTCCCACCGACTCGTATCCTTGTTTTTTAATCATTTCCGAATCTCCGATAAGATGAAGTTAGGACTTCAACGTCTGCTAACGTAGTACGTGGCATGGAGTGAGTTGCTGAAACCAGGGACCTGGCATACCACAGGATCGATTCTGAATGAAATATGTCTAAGACTGTCAACAGTATGTTGAAACACGAAATGGATAGCCTAAAGCTTGAAGGCTGCAAGTACGAAGCATGATGTCGTACTACTTCGTACGTACTACGTAATACTCCATGGGCCTTACGAGGGGATAGGGGTCCAACAACCATTTGTTTGAAACTCATTTCAAGGATGATTGTTGTGGCGTTTCCCCCCAACTCCTATCTGCATTGGTTATCGTTATCGCAGTCTAGCTTGACAGAGAATTCTATCTCAACATCGCCAAGTACATCAGGAATATTACGTAAAGTAATACGCTATTTCAAAAGTTCTCGTCTACTTTTTATCTACACCAACGGAATTCTACTATTTTCAAGATGTGGCCTATTCGCGAATATCCCTTGCTTACACTAGGTTGCTATGCTGGTATGCGGATTCACGTGGCATGCTACTATGTATGGAGTGGTCTAGAAACGGTCCAATTCCACACTGGCCAGCAAATGCTGAATTGGCATTCTTAGACATTCTTGTTGGAATTTCATGTCATCTTGATTTTCCAGACGTTTCCAAAAATGTCCGTCATTTACGAGGGTCCTGTGTATGTCGAAAAGACAATTGAATCCGCGGGTTCGAACAAGGTTCTTCGAATCGGTGGTCCCACAGCCAGCATGTTTGAGACATTTCCTTGCTGACTGAAAAAGAGGATTGCAAATGCTTGGCTCTTCTCGCATTTTACGTATCTTGGCTGCATCGTTAGCTTGCAGTGTGCCACCTCTTCGTTGCTGTCATGATCGTATCTTAATATTGTATGCTATGCTATAGCCATCATCAATATCCAATTTGATTGCTTCGGTTGTACTATCATTCGTGGCTGCTACTTGTCTAGTCTATGGGAACGAAACGCTGTGGCTTCGGAACAATTGGTCCCCTTGAGAGCATGTCCGATTCACGGCTGTCTGAACTCATTCTGATGCATCGCATACAGTCATCTGATGCCTAATGTTATCCCTAGCCTACTTCCCCCCACTTTCTTGCCTTGACTCATGCAAGGTCATGCACCCCATGAGTTACTGGCATCTCGCATCGGCTTTCCCTATGTTGCATACAAATCCTTCGTCCACGTGAGTTTGAAACCCTGGCTTTGGTGGAACTGTGTCTAAGCCGTCTCTGTATCTTGCCCAGCAGACCTCCTCAATGTGAGATCAGACGTTTGCTGCTCGCAGGACAAGGTCAATCTCCTGAACGAGGAACGTGCTTGTTGATATCACCTCGTATACCATCGCAGCGGTTCAAGGCTCGCCCCATCGCATAGCCGGTTACGAGTAACGGCATGAGGCACCGAGCCGTTGCGCGTGGCTGTCTACTGGCAAAATTTGAAGGTCAGGTGGTCAAGGGAAGACAAGTAAGTAGCCTATAAAGGTTAAATTCATGATACGGATGTAGTCAACCTTGCTATGACTGAAGTGAATGGGACGAGATGCAGTGCACAACTGCATAGAAACTTGTCTCTGGCAATCATCCTTCTCGAAAGTTCTCGTTAGCAGGCTATTTCAGAAGCAGGTTGATTTCCACTTGGGCACCATCCATTAGGGTTTACCCTACCTCCTTGGACATCGGCAGATAACCGAGAGCATGAGGCATGAGGCACGAGGCACTTCTTTCTCAATACTGGCGTGTCCATTCGGCACCTCCATTTATGCTCACGAGTTGCAAACCCGGACTCGTGCTCAAAAACGGCATTGGTCCGGTGTGATACTTTACTTGGTGGTAGAAGTCTTTCTCTTCTGCATGTGAGCGTGTGCTGAGTGATGATCCAAACAGCCCAGGCTGGCTGACAAAATGCACAAATCAATATCTGTTAAATAGACTGCCATGAGTGTCTTTACATTACTGCCATATAGCGGCTAAGAAGTCGTGCACGCCAACTTCAAGTTGTACCTCAGCTGCAGTGGCACAGCACCACTGCAGTGGTCTCACATGTGAGTCAGTCTGGCAGGATCCTCGTCCATCATGAATCAGGATTATTTTTCCTCTATTGATAACATACCCAACTGATGTGCACCACACCCCCATTCGCACCACTTTTAGGGCCGATATCCCCATGCCTGGCAAAATTTTCAAGCACTAATTTTCAGCTGGGCCGCCATTCTACAAACATTTATTGAACCCGATACACGGATGGGTCGAATGACCAGAATCAAGCGATATTTGTTTAGATGATACCTATTTGGACTGTTTCAATCAACTCTTTCTCCAAAGAACACCAGCAACGTTCAAGAAATAGGAATATGCTCCGAGACTCAAAACGCCAAGCAATTTCTGGGGTGTTGCGCACATATCAATTGGGACGTTAGTACTTACCGGGAGAAGGGCCGGAGGGCTCTGAAAATGACGCTGTATTGGTCCCTAGCAATTCATGTTATGCGCTTGCCATACGCTTGCTGTGCACCAAATAAAGGCCTTATAAGCGTGCAGCACATAGATAGAATCAATACACATCCACACACAGAACATGTTCGTTTTCCGTCGTTTTCCGTCGTTTCTTTGCTTCTCAGCCGTTAGAGCTGCCGTCTCTAACAATTCAACAGACGTTTTATTATTTTGAGGATCATCAAGAGGCTTAAATGACCATAATTTAGTCATGAATTGAATGTCATTTTCCTAAAATGACGTCTGAATAACATAATTATATACAAATTAGATCATATAATGGTTACGCTGAAACTAACCACACATTGATCTAAGTACTAGGAGTACTTGGTGCTGCGCCAAGAGATCTCCGCTAAATATAAGCTTTCATAAATAATGGCCGTCTGGTGCCTACTACTGAGCCCAGAGATGCCAATAGTTATGAAATACCAGTTAGCGCCAGCAGAGGCTTGTTGGCGGCACCGACTCAAGTAGACGTAATGGCAACCATATCAATGGGCCTGACCATGCCACTGGGATCCTCATCGCCAATTACATACCTCGTAGATACCCCTTGAATTTCGTTCTGATAGTGGTCAGTTCCCGCTTCAGCATGCATCGCAGGCGTTAACTCACGATCCTATCTCGAAAACTGTTTCGTTCTCAATTCTGAGCAAGCAAGAATTTCCGTATCACACCGTCCATGAATATGTCCTCTGCTACGTTGGTGGAAGCTACAGACGATGGACTGGCCCTTGTTAATGATGTGGCATCCAGCACTTCCTCCTACGTTCGAAGCCATAAAGACAATCCAGTGGCTTGGCAACAATGGAGCACTGCCTCGATAGACTTAGCGAAGAGATTTAACCGGCTTATCTTCCTGAGTATAGGATACTCCGCATGCCACTGGTGTCATATCATGGAGCAAGAATCGTTTTCATCGTCTGAGGTTGCTGAGGTACTAAATGAGAACTTCATCCCCATCAAAGTTGATCGAGAAGCTCGACCAGACATCGACGAACTTTACATGAACTACGTGACAGCGACTACTGGTTGTGGTGGATGGCCACTGAACGTCTTCTTGACTCCCGATCTTGAGCCTGTTTTTGGCGGCACTTACTGGCCAGGGCCTAGCAGCAATTCTCTCCCAAGGCTTGCAGCACGATCAGAAGATATGCTTACTTTCTTGGACATTCTTGAAAAAATCAAAGAAGTGTGGAACACGCAGCAGCAGCGCTGTATTCAATCGGCAAAGGCCATTTCCCAGCAATCAAGAGATTTTGCAGCAGAAGGAGGCCATTCCGACGCTTCAGATATAGATACTGGAGAGCCAGAACCATTAGACATAGATATCATGGACGATGCATTTGACCACTTCATGTCCCGCTACGATCCTATTCATGGCGGCTTCAGTTCATCAAGTTCTGCACCCAAATTTCCAACACCACCGAACCTTACCTTCCTTCTCCGAATTGGCGCGTCAGTCGCGTCTACCAGTACTCGCTTTGGCTTCCCTAGCCCGATTCCTTCCATCCTAGGTGAAGGAGCCTGTACATTAGCTGCTTCCATGTCCCTCCATACTCTGCTTGCCATGTCTCGAAGTGGGCTTCGTGATCATTTGGGCTATGGCTTTCACCGCTATTCAGTTACATCTGATTGGAATCTTCCCCATTTCGAAAAGATGCTCTATGACAACGCGCAGCTGCTTTGCTGTTATTGCGATGCTTGGGCGTTGTCCCGTGATCCTGAGATACTGGGAACAATTTACTTTTTGGTAGAGTATCTTACATCTCCCGACTCACCAATTGTCCACACCGAAGGCGGCTTTTTTGCAAGCGAGGATGCTGATTCCGCGTCCACGAAAGATGCGGCAAGAGAAGAAAAACGGGAAGGGGCATTCTACGTCTGGACACTCAAAGACATACAAGCCACGCTTCACTCTGAGCGTGATGCTAATATTCTCGCAAGCCATTATGGTGTTCTAGCCAATGGCAATGTGCCGTATGAAAATGATCTGCGCGATGAGTTCATGGGACAGAATGTACTTCATACCGCCTGTACTCCATCTGTGCTTGCCAAAGAATTTGGACTTCCCGAACAAGAAATTGTGAAAATCATAAGAGACGGGAGACAGAAACTGAGAGCACATCGAGAACTAAAGAGAGGGAGACCTGACGTAGATGAGAAAATACTGACAGGGTGGAATGCACTAGCAATTGCGGCCTTGTGTCGTGCTAGCACTACCCTTGGGGACGTTGATGGAGCTAAGAGCGAAAGCTGCAAGGCGGCAGCTTTGAAGGCTGCGTATCTGATGCGGAAAACCAATTACGACCACGACACAAACACATTGAAAAGATATTCTTCTCCAACATTGTCTAAGAAATCTGAGAGCACTCCCGCCTATATTGACGACTATGCATACATGACGCAAGCTTGTCTTGCATTATACGAAATCACTTTTGCAGAGGAATGGTTGGAATGGGCAGATGGGCTGCAGAGTAAGTCCAATCCCTGATTGCAAATTCGTCTCCATGTCGCTGATGACTCTAGATCATTTGAACAATCATTTCTGGTCTCCAACGGGAGGGTTCAACCTTGTTTCTACACAACCATCGTCAGCCCAAAATAGTGGTGAAGAAGCACAAAGCGCGATGTTCGTGAACATCAAGTCAGGAAGTGACAATGCGCTTCCTTCACCGAATGGGATCATAGCTTCTAATCTGTTACTACTTTCCTCGTATCTCGAGGAAGCCAAGTATAAAAAACGAGCCAAGCAAACGATAGATGCCTTTGCTATTGAAATTATTCAGCACCCGTTTCTATATGTCAGCATGTTGAGCGCCATCGTTCTGGAGGTTGTTGGTGTTACGAGTGTTGTGGCTATTGGCGATACCACAGTGCATCATTTCGGCGGCTTTGGGAGGACAGTAATCAGGATTGACGAAAGTCAAAGACAGTGGTGGCTCATGGAGAGGAACCAGGCTCTAAAAGGTCTCAAGCCGGGAGAAGGGAGGACAAATCGAGTAATGATTTGTGAAGCTGGCACATGTCGAGAGATGAAGGACGGAGAACTCGGTGCATATGGTGAGCAGACTTGAGGTGGTGGAGAGCTAAAACAAGCAATGTACATGTAGATGAAAGAAGATAATAATTACAGTGATATTAACGGTTTACAACGAGCATGTTTTCGGTGTCAAGAAACAGACATAAACGTTAAACTGGGCACGCCACTAGGTATGTGTACAATCTTGGCCTGGCGGCCTCCGACCATACACAGCCAATCACAAAGCTGCACTAAGTCATTATTAGCTTTGGATAATCATTCTCGCCTACCTCGGGGCCTTCGAAACCAACATCGAGTCAATCCTTCGTACAGTCTAAGGCACGGCGACTTCGCAAAGTTACGGCGGAATTGATGCGCAGAAGCGCAATTAGCTTGACCAGCATCCCATTTGGTAGTTGGTAGAGCGCTTGTCCTCTGGCTGGACTCGTTCTTTGCTACCCAGACGGCGACTTAGCGAGCCTGCGGTCTCCTCGCAACGTCACGACTGTACATCATTTTCTTCAAACACCTTCAAATCCCAGGCAGTCAACTTGGATACTGCAACCGGACAAGTTTCTTATATACACATTCATTTGCCACCTCCTCTACATCCTCACCAAAATCCGGAATTCGATCCCTGGCCAAACGATTCCTGCAGCTGCCCTGACAACCTTTTGTTCGGCCGGAGTCCCCTACTCTAGACGATGGCGGCTGCCATGGCGGTCTCGCCGGCCACAGTGCAAGAGTTCGTGATGGAAGACACCAAGCATGCTCCCAATGAACAGAACATCCACACCCCCCCTGCGAGTGACATGTCAAGTCATGGCAGGAAGGATGATGACGACGACGCTGCTTCGAGCTCTGAATTGAGCGACTTGGATGATCAATTCGAAGGAGCACCACAGCCTTCATTCACGCAGGATGTGCCTATGGAAGATGCGCCTGCGGTGGTTGAGCCGGCTCGGTACGAGGGCGGGATACCCATATTTCAGCCGGTACGTTCGATCGGGATGTTTTCCGGATGACAGACTGTATTGCGGCTATGCATCCTTATTCATGATTTGATACGGGCAAGGGACTGACAATGTATATTTCTTAGACCATGGAACAGTTTCAGGACTTCCAGAAATACATGAATGCTGTCAACCCTTATGGCATGAAGTCAGGTATTGTCCTGATAGATCCGCCTAAAGAATGGTAAGTTTTGTCAAACGCCTTAAATATATCTCCGGAGTACACATGCTGACACCCTTTGTGCCTGTAGGAAAGCTGAGCGCAAGCCATTGGACAACATGGTCAAAGGAATCAAGGTCCGAAATCCCATCACCCAAGAATTTCATCACAATGAATACGGCATTTATACGCAACGTAATATGGAGAAGATGCGATCATACAACCTTCCCCAATGGAAGGCTCTATGTGAGCAGAGTCAATACCAGCCACCAGCAAGGAGAGGAGAGAGGAGGAACAAGGCCGGCACACAAGCCGGTAGCAAAATAGTGCCACTCAAGCGCAAGAGCGAGCCGCTGCCACTACCGGAAGGTGTCAAGAGAAAAGCCGGACGGCCTCGCGTCAAGCCGTTGAAGGAGGAGAAACCGGAAGAAGATAGCAGCCTCCTCGCACCTCCAACACCCACTAGCCCCGAGACAAGACCAGCGGACCAGGTCAAGGACGAAGATCAAGAGACGCCTGATCCTACACCGACCAAGCGGCGAGGTCGACCACCAAGAGGAAGTGGTCAGTCCAAATCTGGTCGTCAACCAAGGGCCGTAACCAAAAAGGTCGTGGAGAAAAACGCTGGAGAGAAGGCTACCACTGTCGCAGCAAGACGATTGCACAACGAGGCCGACGCTGCTGCGGAGGACGTGAATGAGGAAGACTTTAGGGGCTTTGACTACCGCATTCACAATCATGACGAATGGACCAGTGAACGCTGTGAAGAGCTTGAAGAAAAGTATTGGAAATCTCTCAGTTACACCAATCCGATGTACGGTGCCGATATGCCTGGATCTCTTTTCGATGATGACACAAAATGCTGGAATGTCGCCAAGTTACCGAATCTCCTTGACATCCTTGGCTCGAAGATACCCGGGGTCAATACGGCCTACTTGTACCTGGGGATGTGGAGAGCTACCTTCGCCTGGCATCTTGAGGATGTTGACCTGTACAGCATCAACTACATCCATTTTGGTGCCCCTAAACAATGGTATAGCATCTCTCAGGCCGATGCTCCCAAATTCGAGAAGGCGATGAGATCGATTTATGCCAATGAGGCCAAGAACTGTGATCAGTTCCTGCGACACAAGACGTTCCTCGTTAGTCCGTCTTTGCTAAAGAACAAATATGGGGTCACGGTCAACAGGGTGGTTCATCGCGAAGGTCAATTTGTGGTGACCTTTCCAATTGGATACCATTCGGGCTATAATCTAGGGTACAACTGTGCTGAGTCTGTCAATTTTGCGTTGGAGAGCTGGCTGCCCTACGGAAAGAATGCGAAGAAATGCAGGTGTGAGGATGACAGTGTCTTTATCGATGTGGACTGGTTCATCCGAAGACTTAATGGTGAGCCCACGCCAGAGGTTGAAGAATGGGTGGAAGTTACCGATGATGAGGATGATCTGGACGGTCCTACCGATCTTCCGACACCACCTGGAAGCGAACGAGGTCAAATCAAGCCTGCGAAGCGGAAGCGGCATTCTACCAAGGACGGTGGCGGCAAGAAGATGAAAAAGATCAAAATCAAAATATCCAAGTCTGCTGTGCCCTGCTGTTTGTGTCCGAACGACTTCGCCTGCGATGAGCTACTTCCAACAGACGACAACCGGCAAGCTCATCGTAGATGTGCTCTCTACACTCCAGAAACATACTTTGATGAAGTTGGCGGTAGGGAGCTGATCCGAGGCATGGGAAGCATTTCAAAAGCTCGTCTCGAATTGAGGTGTAACGATTGTCGGCAAAAGAGAGGATCATGCTTTCAATGTTCGTCTGCTAAATGTACACGTGCTTATCACGCCACTTGTGCAGCGCAAGCTGGGGTTCAGGTTGACATTGGTGATATCGCCATATGGCACGAAAGCGTCGAGTACCGCGATACCGGACTTGATTTCAGATGTAAAATGCATCGCTCTGTCAAAACCGCCAAGCCGAGCAGTGATTTGGCCAGGGACAATTACCGGCACATTGAGAAGGATACCAAAGAGTTCCGCGTGTATTTGAAGGGGCTGAAGCAGAATGACATTGTGCAATACCAATCCAGCAGTGCTGATGACATCGAGGCGGGTGTCTTGGTCGAGCCACCCGATGAAGATTCAGGTGTCGTGGTCATTGATCTTCTTCCGACCCAGTAAGTCGTTCCTATACTAAGAGCCAAATGGCTTACTGACCGTTTTCAGCCAACGAAGACATATTGAAGTCAACACCATCCTGTTCATCGACGCTGCCACCTCATGCCTTCAGAAGCCTTCAGCGAAAGCCAAGGAAATCCCCCTCCATCTCCGGGGCCAAGTGCTGTCATTGGTGGACACCACCAACCGTAAGCCTAGCCGACTTGATCACTTCTGTGACGGTTTGGACCATTCAAAGCCATACCTATGGGAAGAATTCGCTTCTGCCATGCCCACTCTCAATCACGACCAAAAGCCGGTTGACTTCTCCCAAGATCGTCGATTATGGTACTATCTAGGAAAGGCATCGACAGAGTCGAAAGCATACTACAGCAATGATCCCGCCAATCCCGTCAATGACCCTCTGTCGAACTTTCTCCAAAGTGTCGAGCCAGCGAAGAGGCCGCTTATTCCGCCACCTCAGCCATCTAGACGTCAATCACTCCCAGCCTCATATCCAGGACAATATTATGGTGGCGCCAATGTGCAATCAGCAAATCCCGTCGCGGCTATTCCACGCCTAGTACCGGCAGAACAGCAGGAGCAGCAGAATATCGAAGACTACCAACGCAGGATGGCCCTCTTGGGAGCTCCAGCCGTACTCGCTTCTCCCCTCCAGCCTCACAATGACTATACTACAGCCGGCACCCCTTCCTCTTTGTTTTCGTATCAAGATCAGAGTAGAATCCAGACTTCTCAATTATCAACCGATCCTGCAGCCCGCGAAGCGTTGCTTGCAAAGCAAAGGGCGATACTTGAAAGATCACAACAGCGGGCCATGGTACTAGATCAACAAGACAAACCATATCTACACAAACCCAAATCGTCAGCGTCTCCTCCAAACATTGGTATTGACATACAATCGGTTGAGAGACAAAGAGAATTTCAACGTAGAGCATATCAGCAATCGCTGGCGAGTACACAACTTTCTTCACATTCTCCCGGAGCGCAACCAGGCTTCAATACAAATGGCCAAATGTCACAATGGGGCCAGTCTTCCAGTCCTGAACATGGGACTGGCCCCATGGTTTCACAGAGGTTGACAAACACCGCGCAATACAGCAAAGCCTCACCTTCCCCCACAGAGGCGGCATTTCCCATACTACGGCGGCCTCAGCAGCAACCGATCTCCTCTCCAACTCAGGCATCTCAGTACAATAATCATCACCTCCACGGTCAGTCGATCTCCTCACAACAGCAGCCGGCTCAAGTGACTCTCTTCCATAACCAACGCCGCTTCTCTCAACCAACTTATTCACCCTCACAGAGCTCCCATCCACAACAACCTTCATCACCTTTGCACAATCTCAACATGTCTTCTACAGGAAGCTCCGCTCCTATTGACATCCCTCAGCAACATGCAAATGCTTCTGCAAACATTCGCGCTCGAAACCATGGTCAGCATACAGTGAACTTCATTGACCCCAACCTCATGCAATTTAGTCCTAACCATCCAACCTTTCCAGCAAGTCCCAGCCAGCCAGGAGCAAATAAAGACAAAGCAGAGCAAGCCAGCCGCTCCATGCCTCCTCCACCAGTTCCATCTCAAATTCCTCAGCAAACAGTCACTTTCGCAACAGACAATCACCCGAAATACACAGACCAAGACGGTGTTGACGTTCAGTACACGGAGTCCGAGAACAAAGCCCTCCCTACCTATGGTGCCAAACTCACATCTGTCCTTTCTGACATCATGAAGCAAAACGGGGAACAGCGCAAGACGACTACACTCATCAACGACAAACCCGTACCCGCATCCATCGCTACCTTGCGCCACATGTCCGACACGCACAAATCCCGCCCAAACATTTACGCTTCCCCTTACGGTGACGGCAGCGGTGGCGGCGTGACTACGAAGGAAAGCACAACCAAATACGGCAATGGGCTAATCAGCAGGATCATGGATGAGGACAACAAGCTAGATGGTGATGAATGGGTTCATGTTAAGAAGACGTATCTACGTAGCAAGGAAGGAGAGGAAGGCACCATGGAAAGCGAATATGTCAACCTTGTGATTGAGCGTCCGGACGAGGGGAAAGGCAAAAGCAAAGGGAAGGGTAGGGGAGTGACTGAATCCAGTACTGATCGTGCTGCTGCTTCTGCTCGTGGTGCTGCTGGAGGTGAGCTTTCTGCTAGCTTCTACGCTTCGAGAACTGTAGAGGACAAGAAGAAAATCGACGAAGAGATGAGAAGGATGGGATGGAGACGTGATGCTGGTGATGATTGAGTTAGGTGGAATTCGAAGAATTCGAAGTGAGGCAGAAGTGATGGTTGCAGTGAGGTTGGTGTGAGCGACAGACAGACGAGAATCGAGCCTGCTATGTATTTATTATCCAGATGAGGCAGGTGAGCCGAGTGGGCTCAGGGCTTGCTGTAGCGTCCTTATCGGACAGCGATGGCAACGAATGGAGTTTGTACTAAGTACTGAATTGGTACAAGATGAGAGTTTCCCGTTCTTCGCAGTGTCTTCCTGTCTCGCTGCCTGTCTTTGTCATGACATGTTCATGCATGCAATACTAGTAGGACAGAGACAGAATATATGCTCTAGGTACTACTAATGGACGGTGCAGCAGAATGGATGGATGCTCTTGCCCCGCAAATAAGACGGCTAAATTTTGAAGACAGAAGAATAGAAATAAGGACAATTCGCCAAGATGAATAAATATGAAAGACGGAAATGCCACCACCCGTTTATAATGAGAATCGTTTCCTTTCCCCGAAACTGAAATTTTTAAAAATAAAACAAAATTAATTTACAGTTTTTTCTTCTTTTTCTTCTCTAATTTTGCTGGACCTCATACATACGTAGCGCATTTTTCTCCCCGCACCCTGTAATACGTATATACTATACGATAAAATGAGATGAAGTGTGCTTGCTAATTCTGATTTTTCAGTGCTCCCGTCCTATTATCTCGAGAGAGTTTTCATCTGTCTGCTACTAGAGAATAAATATGTATAGGTTCCTGTTTGTTGCTGTAGTTGTGGGTGGAAGAGATCATGGCATATATGCAGGGGAGAAGAAGGTTTGAAGGGTCGGTTGTGGTGGGGAGTGGATCGGAGAGGGAGGGTTTTACGTTGGGTGAGGACGGGATGGAGGAGAGGGGTGCTGGAAGAGATGGGTGGGTTGGTAGTAGAAGGGGGATCTTTGGTGGTTGCGTACTATAAGCAGGGTGACCGCAAGGCTACTGGTTACCTTACATTCGAATGTGCTGGGTTGGAAGGTGCAGGATTGAAGTCTGAGGAGCTTCAGCTAGCGGAGGATCTTGACATTTTCTCATGTGGAGAATGGCTGTTGTGTTTCTGAGACCCGCAGGCAGGGTGCAAGCGGCGTATTCGTACCCATTCTTGATAGCAATGTGTTGACCTTCTGAGAGGGCCAATTGGCCGCGTTTAATATGCGTAATCCCTGCGTTTCTGCTGCTTCTAATTGGTCAATTTCCAACGCAATTTCGCTTCTAATTTCGCTGTATGGTACAGCCAATTGTACATAGATCGACGCTCTCTACCCCCGTAGCTATCAATCAACTTGCTTTACTACGCACTCTGCACAGCAGGTTGACACAATGGTATCCTGTGCGGTGTTGGGTATCCAAGACAAGAAGGTCAGACCCCTGTTGCTTCCAGGCTATCTCACACGTGAGCCTCATGAGCAATGAGCCGTTATTGCAGGCGTAGGTGCTTAGAGAAAGAGAAGACTGTGGTAGTCGAGTGTTCACCTCAGTTTCACAGTGGAGAAAAAGAAAGGGATTGGAGGAAAGATAAAGCCCGTAAAGAAAAATAGAACACTTCCACCATGACGTCTGGGCGGTAGTAGTTTTTGCCAGGATGGGGAAGAACGCTTTGTATCTGGCTGACTTTGTAGTCTTCACTATGACCCTATTGACCTTATGTAGGGGCTGGAAAGAGCTCGCTCATAAAGCTGTTGATCGACCTCAATGACAAAGCCCAGAGTGAGGAGTACCACGCACGACCTGTAGTTGGAAAAGAAACCAAAGATCAGCCCACCTCTGCAGATGTTCATCTCTACTCAGACCCCGCGACGTTCCTCACTTCGGGACCCATACTCTACGCAGACTCTGAAGGCATGCGAGGGGGTGAACGGGCACCACTGGCCACAAGTGCGGTTCACGACGCTTATAAGGATAAAAGTGTGTCCCGGAACAAAATCTTGGAAGTCTCAAAGCCTTCGCGGCGTTGGTTAGGAAGAGATTGATTGAATGGTTGCAAGGTGCTGGTCCAGAGTACGAGAAGCATGTCCGACGGGAATTTGCGGTGACAGAGATGTACCCTCGAATCTTGTACGCCTTGTCGGATGTAATAGTGTTTGTTTTGAGAAACGCCAGGTAAGCGCACAGAGTTCTGTATGACGCAGTCACGTCGACTAACTCATATATAGGGTCGTAGAATCTGTAGCGGAGCAACTCTTACTATGGGCGCATTCCAACTCAGAGAGCTCAGTCAATCTCCCAAGCCATCCACATGCCATCATCGTACTGAACGCATCTGCTAGTGATGTTTGACAGGACGAATGGGATGAAGAGGGAAGTATTGCTCAATTGCTATCGTCCGCCATTTCTGAGATTGAGACCAATCCCACCTTCAAGCAATACGTCGAAGCCCTCCGACAGCAGAATCACCATGTTATTGACATGAGACAGCTTCTCGGAAAATACTATTCGGATGTCACGGTTCTCAGAGTCCCCACCAAGGAGCACTTTGAGCTGCTTGACAAACAAAGGAGAAAGCTATATTCATTGATTACGGCAAAATGTGCCATGTCTCACAGATATAAAGTACACAGCAAAATGCTCTCGGACTCTGATGACCTCCAGATCTACCTGCAGTCTGCTTTCGATCATGTTTCGAGGAGTCTGGATATACCATTTGATTTCGTTGCCGCCTCAGTACGGAATCGCCCGATCCCGAAGGATCTTTCCGACCATATCCTTTGACTTGCCACAGCAGTCGCTCGACATACAGATAAAAGGATGACGACGGATGTTTTCGAAGGCCTTTTGGAAATTGTCGCTTCTTGCATACAACTTGACGCAGCGCGTAAGAATTTGTTGGGTAAGTCATTCATTGACAATCGTATCTCGAAAAGGCTAATCTGATTCACCAAAAGGTTCTCCCATGCAATGGTTCGATTACAACAAGAGCCGGTTACCAACGTCCCTAAGGCCCTCTCCGTCTTTGAGTAGCTTGCAAAAATCAGAAGCTCCACAATACTCCTACCGCCAGTTGTGCAATCGAGCCATGGAGATATATCAGGATAATCAAGCGCCATGCGAATACACGTACAAGTCCACAGTCTCACGTCGAGTCTATACCTGCGTAAAGAAATTCAACACCCATGGCGAGACGCACAGATTAATCCGCAAGTCAAAAATTTCAGAGGATATTATCCAAGGCAGATACTATACCACTTTCGTCAAGGAGCAGTTTAGATGGGATGAAAGAATTTTGCAGAGGCTGAAATCCACAGAACCTGGAATTGGGATGAGCAAAGAGGATGCCAGAGCAAAGGTCGCCCGTCAACACCTTGCGCGTCTCCGAAACTTCTTCTCGAAGACACCTTTGGACAGTACCGTCTTCCACACTATTATTCCATGCATTGGATCTTTGTCGATAAATGAAGGTCAAGCCTTTCAAGACCAGGCGTGCGCTGATATCAAACGCCATTACCCAGACATGAGAGATGCTTGGCGCAATAGTTTTCAGGAAAAAGGGGCACGGTATGTGCATTGCAATTGTCAAGGAGGCTGCACGGTTCTATACAGTCAGCGCAATGAGTCTACTACGAAAGACAGTGAGGTGAAATGTGGAAACGCCACTATTCCAACGAGGACCATGGTCCTCATCAACGTTCAGGTAGTAAATCATGATGTGGAATATTCTGGACATTAGCTGCTCCTTTGGACCCAGGGCGCTGGCTCGATGCGGAAAAGTCGACATCTTCCGTACCGCTGGAAAAGACGGCTGCAGGGGTTCAACACTTTTCTTTGGGCGCCGGGTCCAGGGCTTGCTCTGGTCAGATGATAGCTCAGAGGCTTCTGTATTGCGCCCTGATCCGCATCCTTTCTTGCTACAGAATTGTAGCAAGCCTATCCGAACCACCAAAGATAGATTACGTAGATTATAACCAGTTCAAGAGCGCCTTGGTGGCAATTCCGAGAGACTTTTATTCCAGCTGGTGCCTAGGGACAACGCTGCAGAAAGTAATGAACAGTGTCTGGAGGAAGCAAAAAAGCGAACAGAGGATTATTATGCTGAATGAAGCAAAGCTGATACGAAGCTGCTGGAAAGACGGATAGCGATCGAGGGTCCCAGACTGACTGACTGACTGACTGACTGACTGATGAGATAATCGATGTTTCAAGCTACTCTGAAGTAAGGATTTTGCTTGGTTGATGAGATGGTGATGTGTATATGTGAGGAGCTGGGAGCTTGGATGCATCCCCACAAGATGCCCCCTTCCCCCCAATACATGAATTGCCAAGCCTGAGCTAGGTTAGTAGTGGCTTCTAGAAGCCTTGGCTTTATTCTTGACCTCCAACCTCGATTTTCAGCCAGAATACAACCTCGTCCTTCTATCATAAATCTGGTCGTGAAGAATAGCGAAAAGGATCTATCGGGGCGTCGACGCATTAAAGCTCTTTTGGCGGTGGTGAAAGCTATTTGCGAGATGATTCGACTGTCTTCAAGAAAAGTACTCAAGAACGCCACTGGTTGGCTGCCTATTCGAAGTTCGCCCATTGTCCCAGCAGCCTCTCTGGCAACATCGTCTGCCAACTAACTTAGGGGCGATGAGAGCAATTCCACACACCCCGCCTTCTGAGACACTTGCATTGGACGGTCTGTTCATATAGTTGGACTACTTGTGCTATATGCATGTACTAAGGGGCCCCAGAGCAAGGGACATGAATGCCACCCCTCCAGGCAGCAACTTACTGTTCCAGATTAAACGCACTTCACTTTGTATAGCAGCTCACCTGCATACAGTAGTTGCTGATATGGGTTTGCAAGCACGCAAAGTGATTACTGATCCTACAGGTGCTAGGGCAGTATAACCAACCGCTAAGATTTGCTTCGCTAGGGACATGGTGGTATGCGTGGACAGAAGCATTCCTGGTCTTTGCAAAGGTTGATACTCTGAAGCGAGGTTTGGGGATTGAATTTGGTTTGCCAGTACACAGAACAAGTGGTAATCCTACAGTGTGCAAGCTGCGCCGTGGTACTAGCCTGGATGGAGCAACATCATGTGCATTGCTAACCAAGCCGGCAAGATGTACGGGTTCCTGGCACTGCAGGGTGAAAGATGCGATGCCGATTTGAGGGCAGGCTTCGCGCTCTGCAGGACTAGGACAGCGTTGCAGCAACCAAGTAGATAGTTCCCAGAGCATGGACAGCGACGACACATGCTTCTGGTAAGGGAAGAGTGTTGCTGGATATTGGCGCTGGGCAGCTTGGTCTGCTTAGCTTGGTCTGCTTGGGTGCATGCTCTGACATGTCCTGGGTGTTTTTCTCCCGGTGGCCCGCATGTCGGTGACAACATATTGCTGCACAAATCGTAGAACCAATGTCTGGGTACCTGGATCAGACATATCACACAAGAGTACACAAGAGTACACCAGAGTGTGCAGGGGGATCAAGCATGGGGGGATTGGTGGAGTGGGTGCAAAAATGTGCGAGTGGTCGGCAGAAGCGGGCGAGCAAAAAGCGAGGCAAAATGGGGACGGAGGCGGCCGAATGAAGCAGGTAAGCCGGACCTCTCCCAAGCCGCAGTTGAGTTAGCGAGTTAGCGAGTTGCGAGTTAGTGAGTTGTGAGTTGGTGCAGCTGGCAACTGATTCAAGCTCTCACCCACACGAAGTTCGACAGCCCCAACCTCCACCCTTCGCAGATGCCTTCGATGATTACATGGCGAGGTCCCGCAGGAGCCCACTGATGAGAGACCAGTGGAGAGCCGAAGAGGACGCTCGACATAGGCCTGACAGTCGACACAGAACCGCAGACAAATTTGATCCAAGACCACCTTCTCCCCCGCCGGTGCGACGTGAACTCTCCAAAGACAGGTATCAAGGGCGCGAAGTGGTTGGAACTGAGTCGTATCGCCCTTCCAGAGACCGCGAGAGATCTCGGGAATCCAGGAAGCACAAACATCGTAGAGCCTCGCCCTCACCTAGAAGACACACCAAATCCAAACACGCCGAACCCAAACGACCACGACCCCTACCCCTGGCCCTGGAAGAGAGAATCACGCACCCTCGAGATCAGCCTGCCGTCAGTGCTAGCAAACGCAGGAGGACGCGCAGTCCTTCACTTGCCCGCAGTGATCGCTACGTTCCATCCTCACGCAGACACAGTCGCAGCAGGGATCGTCCAGACCGAAGAGATAGGCGTGCTGTAGGTACTGACCGCGCTTTCTCGCCCCGCAGACATTCTCCTGCTCGCCCTGCTCGACCAGATCGTCGACCAGGAACCCCGGCCTTTGATACCTATATTCCTTCTCATCGAAGCCGCGATAGATCACGAACCCCTCCCACCCGCTCCAGGAGAAGCAGGCATTCCCGATCGCCTCGGCAAGAATCTCCTCCACACCATCCGCGTCGTGATAGAGGTCGAAACCCCGACCGTGAGCTGCGTGAATTATCTCGCACTCCGATCCGGCGTAGGTCATCTCGATCCGAGTCTCCAGCACTGGAATCAAGACCCAATAGGAAGATGCACTCGACTCAGAAGATTCAGTCCATCATGGACGACCCGAACAGGCCACCTTCTCCTTCTCGACCGATGGCACAATATCAGCAAGGCAACCATGATCCAATGGATGGACGACCTCCCATGCGTGGTGGTTACTCTTCACATAACAATATGATGCATCCAAACCGACCTCCCAGGCCACCGCCCGTAGATACCCGTCATTCCTTTGGCGGCTCTCCTGGCTTCGTCACGCCAAACAGCTCCTATCACGGCTCGCCGCAGTCTGCATCTCCATTTGGCAATCGAGGAGGCTGGGGTGGCCAACAGCAATTCCATGGTCCACATGGGTAAGAGGATTGACCTTTGATAACCAACCCCGCTGACCGATACAGACAAATGCCGGCACACTCCCCTCCATACCGCCAAAACAGCTATCCTGGACCAGCCGGTAATCCGAATCCCTATTACCAGAACCAGCAGGGCCAATACGGCGGACCGCCCTCCCATGGCTTCCAACAACCATCCTATCGAGGTAACAATCCTTCTTACCGAGGAGGTCATTTTCAGCATCCTTCCGATCGACGCTTTTCAGGCCCTGGCCCCAGTCCTCAGCAACAATTCTCTCCTCCCTCGAGAGGTCGTGGTGGTCATTTCAGCAACTTACAATGGACCGCACCAGGTGCGAAACGAGCCGGCCCACAAAGCCAGAATTTCAATTCTAGCCAACAGAACTCCATACACTCTTCTCCAGCCCTGTCTCACCGCGGATCACAAGAATCGTTCACCAACCCTGATGAAGATGACAATCCCTTTCGACCTTCCAAAGATCTGCAAGTGGAGGATGAAAAGAAGAAGGACAAGATGGCTCCGCCAGGGAGACAGCAGGGTAATGACAACCAACAAAAAGATGCTTCGAAATTCTCCTTTGCATTCAAATCGAAAGCACCCCCTTCAGCTCCAGCTAAGCCTCCACCAGATCTATCAACCAGGATGAAAGACTCTCTTCCTCCGCGGGTTACAGATGGTCCGAAAAACCCGAACCTGCAGCCCATCACCAAGTCTCGACTCGAGCCACGAATTGAACGACCCGATGATCGGCATGCTACACGCAAGGATGACCAACGGGATGGCAAGAGAAGCGAACAACGCGCTCGAGATAACCAACATCGACGCTATGACGGCCGGCGCGATGGCTTCCACAACGATCGCCGGCCACCACGCTCTCCTTCGCCTCCGAGAAAGAAGATCAAAAAGATCATCAAACCACGACCCACCGTTCCTGCCGAAATGTCTGCGTCAGACTCAATCTACTACCGCAAACCAGGTAACGAATCTGTTGTTGGCGCAGGCACTTACGGTAAAGTCTTCAAGGCCATCCACATCTACACACGAGACCAGGTTGCCCTGAAGAAGATCCGCATGGAAGGTGAACGAGATGGATTCCCCATCACCGCCGTACGCGAGATCAGGCTACTTCAGCACCTGCGGCACAAACACGTCGTCGCGCTACAGGAAGTCATGGTGGAGAAGAACGAATGTTTCATGGTGTTCGAATACCTCAGCCACGATATGACAGGCTTGATCAACCACCCCACCTTCACTCTCACCCCAGGCCATAAAAAGCACCTCGCAAAGCAAATGTTCGAAGGACTTGACCATCTTCACCGCCGTGGCGTGTTGCACCGCGACATCAAAGCCGCCAACATCCTCATCTCCAACACAGGGATCCTCAAATTTGCCGATTTCGGCCTCGCCCGCTTCTACACTAAATCCCACCAGAATGACTACACCAATCGCGTCATCACCATCTGGTACCGCCCGCCAGAACTCCTGCTCGGAGAAACCCAGTACGGACCCGCCGTCGACATATGGTCCGCCGCCTGCGTTTTTGTGGAGATGTTCACCCGGAAGGCCGTTTTCCCTGGCGAAGGAACCGAGCTGTCACAGCTTGACAAGGTGTATGCTATGCTCGGTACGCCTACCCGCAACGATTGGCCGCGAATCGTCGATCTCCCGTGGTTTGAACTTATGCAGCCGGTCGAACGGAGGAAGCGGCAATTCGAATCTCAATATCGCGACGTCTTCACCCCCGCTGCCCTCGATCTCGTGACCAAGATGTTCCGATATGATCCTACAAAGCGCCCGAACGCGGAGGAGGTGCTGGCGCATCCATATTTCCTGGAGGAGCAACCGAGTCCGCAACAAGCCGTCGAACTAGAACAGATCAATGGCGATTGGCACGAGTATGAGAGTAAGCAGATGAGGAGGGAGAACGAACGGAAGAGGAAAGAGGAGTATACTCGGGAGCGGGAGAAGAGGAAGGCGAGGGAGGCGGGGTTGAGGGAGGGGGTTGTGGAGGGAAGTGGCGTTGTGGAGGGACAGCAGGAGAAGAAGCAAAAGCTTGGAGGGAGTAGGCCTGGCTCTAGGGACGAAGGTGGCGGGAGTGCGAAGACCACAATGGCGGGATCGCATGCAACATCTTGAGCGGTCAACTAGCACTAATCCGGGCACCTTCATCCGAGTCGCACCCTTGGCCCTGGTAGCGGAATGAGTGGAGTGGTTTTGATCAGAAGACGCGAGGAGAAGCTTTCGGGGATGAAAGGGCGTTCGCAGCGGTGGTTCATTGTTCGCGATCCGGTCACCTACGAGAGCGCCAACCCTGAGAGCATACGTGCAGGGCTATTGGCATTGAAAGCACGGGAGCGAGCTTGGGAAGTTTTTGACCTTGTATATATCACTTAGCCACGCCCCCTGCATTCATCACAACAAGACAAGATGCGCCGGCGTATGCATTGCCCGTGGTCTTTCTTCACACTGCTATTTTTCTGCCATTTCTCAGATCGGCGTGGAACCCCCCTCGACTGCTACCGATCTGGTGATTCGTTCGTGGAAAGGGAAAAAGTACCGCTAAGGAACGGGAACAGGAACAGGTTTGCTCCGGATGGGGACATGTAGATGGGTTCGTCACCAGGGAATCAATCCATGCGTCGCAGATTCGATGAGAGGGGGAAAGTGATAGGGAGAAGATAGATAGATAGATGGTAGGGATTTTTGTTACCGGTTGCTTGCTACGGAGGTACTGTACCTGCTCGGAAGTTGGATAGGCGGTTGCAGTCAGTAGTTAGCCTCGAACTGCCTCTGACATGCCCCCAGAAAGTGGTGAGTTAGTGTGGTAGTTAGTCATGAAAAGAAGACGCCAAGGTTCGACGGGAGATTGTGTTTATCACACAGTTGATTCTACAGTGACGCAATCCATCGATCGATCAACCAGCCCAATCAGCCCAACATATATATCCCCTTTCTATAGCCTGTAGAAATATGAAATATACACGACATGGGGCCATGAATACGGATTTCAGCCATTCCACCCGCCATCGACCCGATACACGGCGCCGGTGACGAAGGAGCTCTCGTCGGCGAGCAGAAAGCAGATGAGCTGGGCGGCCTCGTCGGCGTCGCCGCGCCGCGCCAGGGCGCATCGGTCGGGGAGACGTTGTCCAAAGGCCTGGTCCATGCGCTCGAGCATCGGTGTGGCGATGGCGCCGCTGTGAAAAGGGATGGAGTGTGTCAGTTAGTTAGTTGGTCGGTGGTTAGTACTTAGCTTAGTAGGCAGACAGCTTGGAATCAGGGTCTTGTCGGGTTTGGATGGATGGGAAGGGGGCAGTGGAAGCTTTTCTCTTTTTTTCTTTCTTCTTTTTCTTTTTGGGGGTTTATTTTTTGAGAGAACGGGAGCGAATAAAAAGAGAAGAAACATGTAAGAGAAGTAGTGCGTAGAACTGACGGAGCAACAGCATTGACCCGGACGCCCCTGGCGCCCTCCTCCTGGGCCGCGCACCTGGTGATGGCAATGACGGCGTGCTTGCTGGCGGAGTAGGCGACGTGGTTGGCAAAGCCCGTCAGGCCGGCCAGACTGGACGCGTTGACGATGCTGCCTCCGCCCCTCCTGCCGCCGTCGCCCTGCCTGATCACCTTCAGCTGCGCGCGCACGCAGTTCAGCACCCCCTTGCAGTTAGCGTCCATGACGCGGTCGAACTCGGCGTCGTCGTCGTCGCCGAGGTCGCGTACCGCCACCCCCGCCGCACCGCTGTATCGGCCAGGTTGGCCGCCCCGTCGAGCGCGCCCCCGCCGAAGTGCGAGATCGTGCGCGCCATCCAGTCGTCGACTTGGGAGCGGTCCCGCACGTCGACGACGCTCGTGAGCACCTCAACCGCTCTTTCTCCGCTGTTCAAGGATCGCAGTTCGTCCGCCACGGCGCTGAGCCGGTCTTGCTGGATGTCGGCGAGGGAGAGGCGCGCGCCCTGACGAGCGAGGAGTTTCGCGGTTGCGAGACCGATGCCCGAGGCGGGGCGCCGGTGATGGCTATGGTCTTGCCGGATAGAGAAGACATGTTGGAGGTTGGGGGAAAGATGAGTGGGAGGAAGGGAGCTGGACGGATTGCACATGGAACATGCGTTGTTTTTCTTCTGCTCTTTTTTCTTCAACAGGGGTACATAACCCTGTTGGGCGAGAGAGAAAGAGGAAAAGTACGGTGTTACATTGCTACCGACCAAACTATGATAGCATGCTAGGTCTATACGGATGCCGCCGACGCGAGCCACGGCGGGCGGTTGAAGGTGCAAGGATTGAGAACCAGAAGAGCACATTGTCGATATCGATACGTAAGTTGATGCCTCATGATCCCAGGTGCCACTCGCAGAAATAGAAATAACATGTGAGTGGTGGGTCGTACAAACCAAACATACTTATTTACCACGTATGCAGCTCGTGTGCACACCCAATTAAACCTGAAAAAGTCGAGCTGTGAGAGAACATGCCTCATACTTACCCCAGCAGGGTTTGCATTTTTGCGTAACTAAGAAATAAGCCAGCCGTGATCCTTGCCATCGAGTAGTAAGTTACTCGCAGCAAAAGACGATGAGGCTCTAGGTATCTTCCCTGTACGGAGTGGTGCATCAAAAATCTTCAATATACAGAGTACTCCGTACGTTAATCAGGATTACCCACAGCTAGCTATTCTGTAGGCGACGTCAGGGCGGCCAAAGGGGCTTCGGGCCGTATGACGGAAACCTAGCCAGACTGGACTTGTAAGCCATGCCGAGCGGCCTAAAAGAAGACCCTATAGATTTCCAGATCAGGGGGTCACCGCTGGGTGGCATTCCGGGGGCGGCTCTCTATAATGCGCGATTTATGCGGTATTTAAGCTCAGCTGGAGTATGCTAGTGGAGCTCTATCGATTTTCTTTAGCGTATCTTGAAGATCTTTGATGCATGACTCCGTACTCCATATGGAGTCCCATCTTATCCCGGCTCGGATCTCAAAAGGCCAGGATAAGTGCTTAACTAGCCAGCCAGGAGCCCAGCGAGACCTTGCGATACTATCAGAAGAGGGATCAGTTTAGGTGCTACGGAGTACATACGTACCATTTCCCCGCGTCCAACAGGCCACCACGCAGGACAGCCACAACTTCCATCAAGATTTCTTCATGCTTCGTGCTCCAAGCACCAGTTCTTATCTGAAGTGCGAAGATAGAACGAGAGAAAGGGAAGGCCTGCAGTCTTTGCAATCCTTCGACGCGGACATGCTAAGCAGTCCAGCAAGTAAATATAATAACCTTGGCCGGGAAGTGCTCTTCTACTTATCCCAGAAGGTCGAGGGACGGACTTTAACGACAGACACATTTCTGATTCGATGCGGGAGCTGGAACGACCAAAGCGCGTCAGAACATTTTCCTGAACGCCTTAACCAGGCCCGTTTACATGCAATCGGAAGATATCGTTTCATCACTTTTGCTCAATCAACACCCCAGGAATTCGAACCGGAGACCACCAGGTCTTTGGAAGCGAGGAGCCCTCGGGTAGTCTCTTCGAGGAGGCGATCTTGTATCATGCCACGCCATACCATGCCATGCTGGATCGATGCTGTGGATAGACACAGAGGCGGGAATACTGAACAACAGGACACGATCGGAACTACAAATCAATGGCGCCATGAAGATGCAAACGCAGACGCAGCAGATGAATGATGCTTGCTTGATAGTGCCAAATGTGACTATGTGTGGATTCTGCGATTCTGGAAAAAAACTTCTTATGGAGAAGGGCCGTCGGCCTGCAAATGCAAAGAACGATTTGGACAGACATGAAATGTCCGTTCGCTCACTCAATCGATGCCTTCCAGAATCTCTTGATCATCTTCCCTAGTCCCCTCCTCTCTCAGTCCCTGCCACTCAACCTCCCCTTCCTCCCCTTCTACCTCCCTACTCTCCTGCGAGTCTGGAACCAAAACTACAACCTCGGACCTCGCTGGAAGTCGCTCGGCTTTCTCAGATGTCGCATGGCCTGCATTCGGTTCATCCTTGCCATGCTGATAGCTTTTGTTTGCGCTTCCACTGAGAAAGTCGGTGTTCACCGTATCAGCTGATGCTGTGGATGGGCTTCGTCGTGGTGGTAACTCAACTACTATGGATGCATCTCTAGATCGACGACGTACAGATTTCTTGCTGACACTAGTGGTGTCTTTGAGCTCCGAGGGATGTTCGAAAAAGTCGTCATGGTGCGTACCGATCTTCTCGCTGGAACCATGTTTGAAGAAATCATCTTTCGCTACCGGAGCTTTCTTCTTTGCAGAAACGCTCTCTGGCACAGGTTGAGAGTCATCATCGTCGTCAATAGTGATGGCTGCTTCCCTCGTGCCAACGCCTGATCTTGGTTGCACAGGGGCACCAATATTGACGTTGGCAAAGGCGTCGGCAAAGAAGACTGAACTTTTCGATGGCAAGCGCTTCTTGGAGGGCTGATACGCCACAGGAGAACCGGTTATGCTGGAAGCCTGATCCTTCGCCAGTGGATCTCTTGGTGGTGTTGCTTCTTTGTGAGAAGCTTGAATAGCGTTGAGTATCCTTGCGCTGATTTGGTCCTGCTGCAGCTCGTCCTCGCTATCATTTTGCAATGCGCTACGCGGAATATTGGTATTATCTGGGGACGTAGCTCTTGGTGGAGGCGCAAGCAGAATTTTTCCAACGTCCGGGACCGGAAATTCAGGGTTCTTACCCTCCTGCTCGTCGTGAAGGCCTCTGAGAAACCCTCGCATCCTGCTTCTGAGCTCTTCGCTTGCCATTATCGGCATGTCCACGTTGATCCATCTCACGCTGGAGAATCTTCCTAACAAATCCAGCAGGGTTCAGAATGAACTTTTCCAGGTAGGCACACAAGTAAAGACCACAATCATAAAAATTAGGTTGAGTAGGGATTCCCCTAGCGGTCATGCCTTTGATATGGCCTCCGTCAATCTCCCATCCTTTCTTACTTCTTGCTTCTTCGACAAGGTATTGACGCAAAGCGGTGCAAGTTGAAGAACGAGGCGTACCGAGGGAATCAAAAGTCATGATAACAGGCGCGAAAACGTTGTACTTTGCGAGCGAATGGCGACCTTTACGTCGACCACGCCCAGATTTCTTGGAAACCGATCCAGGTTGGGGTGAGAAGTATGCTGAAACAGCTTTGGACGAGCTTGCAAGCTCATCCGTTTGTTTGTCAACATCGCTCAAAGAAAGATGAGACAGTGACTCGGTAGTCTTCTCTGTCGGTTGATCATGAGTTTCTGTCGCTTCGACATCTGTTCGAGCCTCATCCTCTTTCTCTTCCAAAGGAACGACCGCTTCCCTTGAGAGTGTTGTATCTTCCTCATTGTGATCTCCTTCGTTATTGGTAATGGAGTTGAGCTTCGAGAGATTGCAGATGATTACCACGTACCAATGATAACTCTCATTGACCGGCACGATAACGAAGTCGCGCTCGAATATGTCAATATTCCTTGTCCATTTCTGCACACTTCCGTAATTGATGCCTTTTTGGCCTTTCGAAGTTTGCATCAATCTCTCGTAGAAGTAGGAATTGTAGAAATACACCCTTTGAGCAATTTCTGGACGGTTCTGCTCCAGATGGTACTCAAGGTATCTCAGGAAGAAGCCGATCAAATTGTCATTCAGAAACTCGTCTTCGTCCAAGCGAAGTAGATCCGCGAACTCTACAGCCATCCGTCGTTTGCCGGTTGGGGGATAGGTGAGGGGAATTTTCCACGGTTCACCCAAGCCATATACTGCAGAATACTTCTCTTTTGGCGCTTCTTCTACATCCCTGTTGGACATTCCCGCTTCGGGATGCGACCGAGCGGCTGCTATTCTGGTTGACGAGGAACGAAGTCTGCTTGCGTTGGATATCTGAGCTTGGTCAAAAGTATACTTGTTGGCAGATACAGCAGGAGTCGTCTGCGCAGATGCAGGATAGGATTGATTAGCTCTATCTTTCCCGCTTATGACGGTAGGTATTCTGACGTCTGCACCAGACCTCCTCGAAGTTGAGGTTGAAGTTTGCAGCTGGTCAATAAGTTTAGCTGGTCTGGTGGGAAATTTTGTCGAATTTGTTTCCTCATCCTGGAAATGATGTGATGTAGTGCCTGAGGCTTGCCGTTGACTGCTGATTGGCTGCCTTTTTTCATCCGCTATTCCTTCCCACAACGCACGATGATCTACCTCTGGCTTGTGCTCGAAGGATTTGCGCAAATATTCACTGTATTGAGAAGATTCAGGTCAGCGCTTTAGAAAGACGTGGAGAAGAAATGTACGCACTCATCTCTCTGCATTTTCGATGGGTTATGGCCAACGCCCAGCACTAACGAAATGAAGTCCTCTTTGGCCTGTCTGGAATTGAATTCGAGGTCCATCTGGGAAGACGGTTGTCCTTGACAATGTGACATGTGTAGTTTGAGCTTTAAACAATCATTACTTCCATAGGAAACCCTGTAGATTTTGCGAAGCTGGATCCCAGGCCATAAGGGCTCCTCGCTAAGCAAAGACGCATCGTCATAAAGTCGCATCGAGTTGTCGGCAACCACAGCGGTGTAACTCCTATCTCCAGGAAGAAACCCATATTTCAATTGACGTAAATCAAAAGTACCTGCTCCTGGATTGGCAGTCTTCGATCTGACCTTGGACTTGTTGCCCGTAACAGCTTTGGCTGCTGTGCGCGATCGAGTTGTTTCAACTCCGGCAACAGCCGTGCTTGAGTGGTGAGATGTACCGTTCGTGCTATGCTGATTGACATGCTCTCGAGCAGATCCAGCGGCAGATGCATATTTCGGGTGCTCTTCTCCTTCAAGTATTTCGCCTTCTCCGTCGCTCGGCAGCATACCTGCTGTGAACAAGTTACTGACAACCGGGGGTGTATTTCTGCCATTCTGTTTCTCGTAGGGTTCTTCCGAAGGTCGGTGTGATTCGAGCGGTGTTGCGGAGTCGTCGTTAATACGTTGTTGATAACGAGCCTTCTTAGAGGCTCGCGTGAACTCCTCGGGGTCAGAATCGTCTGGGTGCTGTATATTTCCATGCAGAGGCTTTGAGGGAAGTGGTGGTGACACTCCTACCAGTGCATTTCTCTTTGAATTATTATTCTGCATGGTCTCCTCGACTGACTGGTACTCGGCCACAGGAATCGGCAGCGGCTCAGAGATTTTGTTCGGACGAGGCGGCTTCTTGCTTGGAGTTCGTACAGGGCGGGACACGGTCATAACAATGTCCTCATCAGAAATAGAGCTAAACATTGGCGACACAGCCCCCGCGCCTTCGTCCTTTACGTAAGGCTTCATGCTAGGGTCAAGACGTGGGCGCTTCGAAGGAGGCTCACCGGTACCATTCTTTGTCGAACTGCTTGCGTCTGGGCCAGTGATGTACTTTCGAGATCCAGATGGTCTCCACTGCGTGCTAGACGGGTTCTGTAACCGTCTTCCTAAGGCAGGTGAGACTTGATTGTTGTTGGTATTGTCAAGAGTGTTCACTGGCCGAAGGATTGGGCCATGCTTTTCATAATATCAGCTTGACCAACCCAGTAGTAAAGAAAGAACGCACTGGCATTGTGGGTGAGGAAGGCTTCCGAATTGCCTTTCGTAAATTAGGACCCGGAATGAGGACTGCTGCCGAGTCAGGCGGCCTGTGTACTGGTCAAGATCAAGCAAATATCTAAGTCAAAGTAGTCTTACGCATTGCCTGCAAAGAGGGCCCGCTCATCAGCATCCACAATTAAATATTGGTGATGAAGCTGGGGTTTCGATGGTGGTGCCTTTGGTCTAAAATAGTTCCACCCGTCGGTCATGTTGCCGTCGTTCAGATTTGTCCCATCATACCTGGTAGAGTTGGGAGATGATTCCTGCCTCCTCGTACCGGAAAGGCGCCGGCCTGGCTTGATGCGGCGCACCCGTGGCTCAGGAGGGGAAGAGGTCTATAAAAGACACCAAAGTCAGAAACTTTGTTAGATTGCACGTAATTGTTCTCCGTCCCCAAGACTGTGAATCATGAAATCTGTACCTCTATCGGATCATCCTCCCTTGTGTCGAAATTCTGGATAAGGAACTGCGTTGCCTTGGCCCCTTTCTGTGGTTTTGTGTCTGTGTTTGAAGATGTGTTTGATCGGGAGTGTGGCATACGAGCCGTTGCTGGGGATCTTGCGGGATCATTTGATAGAGATTGGACATCGGACGTAGGTCGCTGGAGAAGTCGGGGGGGTTCCTTGGAGGAAGTCAACGAAGATAGGACATCAGAGAGTGTCTTCTGAATGGTAGAGAACATGTAAGACCTGTTCACCACAATAGATGTCCAACCAGTTACTTAGCATTAGATATGGGCACTTTTACGACTGATTGATTGCTTCAATTTGGAGTACATACTCCGTACTGTTTGGCATGTTGGAGACACGTTCGAATTTGCAGGGTTTCCTGTAACTAGCTTGCCAACTGACGTGTGTTTCTTCCCCGCATGCAAGCAATATTTAGAGCCACACAAGCTTAGTTAAGGGGCCCCGGACAAACCTCCCCCCACTCACCGGAGTACCCTTACAGACATACACAGCAAAAGGTAGATGGAGATCTCATTGTTGGCTTGGGAGGCCACTTAGTTGATTCATTGATGCTATTTCCGCTAAGACGACAGATCCAATGACGCAAGCTTGCTGAATACATTGAAACAAGCCATCAGGTACATGTATCACAGCGGACCCCTCCCCTTACCCTTTTCTGGATCCTCCTGAAGGGTTTGCCTCCGTTTGTCGTGCCCTTGTTGGACCTGTGTTGATCCCCCTTTCTGCTGGCGAGCTTCATCCAGGGCACTCCGCTGTGCAATGCTATCGTCGTGGCTCTTCCACACAATGTTGGTATCGGCTGGGAAGGCGAGTAGGCGCTTTATCGTCTCTCTGTGATACGTTAGTTTGATCCTATAGTGCTCAAGGGAAGAGTCAGCAAACCGAATCTTGACGTTTCTCCCGCCATCATTCTTGGTCCAGACATTCAAAACGTCCTCGCCGCTGCGGACACTCAGCACTGCGCCACAGACTTCCTCCCCAGCCTCCATAAACTGGTCGCCAACAATGGCGAACAGCAAATCTTCCCAGTATCGGTCTGCTACTCCCTTTTTGAGCCTGACTATCCATTTCCCTCCCCTTTTATTCGCCTCGTCTTCCCATACTGGTCTGATCCCCTCCTTGAATATGTGGTAGTCAGAAACAGACGGCAATTGGGAGGGACGCTTCAAATGCGAATATATGGTCCAGAAGGTCTCCACAGTCGATATGGAGGCCAGCTTAATTGTTGATTTCTCATAATCAGAATATTTACTTGTGGGAGGGCGGTAGAAGAGATTCCAAGTAGATCTTAGAGGATGGTCGGAATTGTTCGAGTTTGACGTGGCAGATGTAGTGTTCGGAGTCTTAGATTTCGATCTGTCGCTGTCCACAGCTTCAACGTTTGTGTCTTTTCCCCCTCTGTCCCGTCCATTCAAATCAAACACTCCTGCTGCCCCAGGTGTCTTTGGGGTTTTGACAGTCCCGAAGGAAGCAAATGCTCCAGATCCCAAGCCAAAAGCAGAAGATGCGCCGGCTGAAGGAGAGTTGGTGGCAAGTGGAGAGATGGCATTGAAAGGATTTGATTTGCCGTGAGAGGAAGAATCACCCAGGCGACGATTGCTGCCAGAGTTTCGAGGAGAGTCTATCTTGCTACCGTCCTTGTTGTCGCCAGTCATAGACAGGGAGAGCTTGCCTGTACTGGTAAGTGTCAGTTTGCGCAAAGAGTATGCGAGCGTTCCACTTTTCCACGCCTACGTACTTAGATCTCCGTGTCCATAAGTTTGCGTTATCCATGAGAGACACCCTGGCTGCCTGTCAGGGTGGTTGAGAGTTTAGAACAGGACTGCCGCGCGTGAGGAATGCAATGAATTCGATTCTGTTTTATCGAGCGCATCAATTCAAGGGGAGTATCGTGGTGTTGCGGTTCGTTGACGAAGCGGAAAGGTAATTGGGAGGCTAAGAGCTTCGAAGGTCTAACAGTATTATGCAATGTAAATTCGTTCCGCGTACTGATTGTACAGTGGTGCTACAGGGCGTCACGTTGTCTTAAACAATAAGGGCTTGTAGACTGTTGCTGGCTTCTCTGGGATGTACCGAGTATGAAGGTGCCCCTGCAGATTTAAGCGCTCCATCCCTAACCTTATCTGGAAAATTGCCACTAAGTTAGTTGAGGAATCCTGGGCGCCGCACCTCTTTTTTCTCGCCCGTCTTGACCGTGAACTTCTTCCATCTTAAAACAAAAGACCACTAACTCAAATCATCGTCAGCTATATCCCAACCCACTCTGTGAAGCTGTCGGTTCCGATGTGTCGGTCGAGATGAATGTATAATATTCCGCATCTAAAACCATTGTTACGAGGGCTCTCCGGAGCTGCCATGATGGGACGATGACCTGATTGACGGAACATAGAAACGAATATTGCTTTCTGACCAATTGCTGGTGTATCATTTGTGGGTTCATCTTTGTGAGTGTCTCCTACTTGCGACAAAAGACTTGCATGATGAGCATCGTAGTTCTGGTAATCCAAGAAAAGCTCAACCGCCAAAGAGCAATGTTGCGCTGGTCGAGCATGAGGTCAATGGCAATGTCTGACAGCAGAAGGCTTTATGCGAACAAATGATTATTTTCTGGGGAGTTGCTGACTTCCTGTGAACAGAAAGGCCTTTCATATTTTGCATTGGTAGACAGCCATGCCGAGGCTCTACCTGAATCAGTGTCTAAAACTGCATGGCTAGAGATACAACTCCTCAATGCTGTTCCATACCAATGGCCTCTCTCGCTTAGTTCTGCACCTCTATACTGCCATATACTCGTCAAGCGATGCCTTTGTCCCAACTGTCGTCCATGCTGGCTCCGTCACTGCTCCAAAAGATGTCATCATAGGTCGAGCTGCTAAGGTTCCTGCCCGGCTCACTCCTCTGCAGATCCATGACTTGATGGTGCAGAATACCCTTGCGGATTTCGGCCTTCTCACGTACATCTTGTCCTTGTAACTCCACAGCGAAAGAGTTCTTGACAGCGACTGCAATTGATCCGATATTAGGTTGGTGCTCATCCACCCAGACCAGATTTGAAGAGCTCACATAGGGCTTTTCAGCTGGGAAACTGGGCGAAAGGCCTTCTTGTCTTGCTTTCTCCGATTGGTAGCATGCCAGTTTCTCCTTCATGTGATGCTGTTTGGTATGAGTGATCTCTGGATGCTCCGAGCTGCTTGAAAAGACACTAGAAAGATTCCCTCTGGTAAAGAAAGATTTCGAATTCTTAGCGGAAGACATCTGCCTGATCCGATGATCTTTGTAGAATTGATCGCGTACCGTCTGGTACAGTGTTGCTGTCTTGTCAACACAGTTTGTCGCGTTCGTGAGGACACAAGCGTCATCTTCCATAGACCAGCTTCCCTTAGAGGGATACCTGATAGCCTTGTCTGTGGTTGTAGACGATAGTGTTGGGGATAGGAGACCGTAACCCATGAAACCTTCATCTCTCCGGGCAGCTCCCTCATTCCTGATTGTGTCTTCGTAGCTGTCTATGGGGACTTTGCGCTCCGTACCACCATCTCCAAGACCTCCATTAAGGAGAACTGTAGCCGTGGCAGATGCTGAATCGTCCCAACATGGTCCTGGCATGAAGCTCTCCTTGTGGGAGTACCTGGTGATGCCGATCTCCTTTTCCCACCCTTTCCAGTTCCACTGATACAAGTTGTCCGAGAAATCCTTAAGATGCCTGATATCCCCGGAGTTTGGCAGACCTATCGTTGACAACATGGACCCGAATGCCATGTCGTCCATGATCTGCTGATCATCAGGCTGTGATACTGATTCGGTGTCAGTATTACTGTCGCAAGCCTGTGTTGGAAGATCCATGTTGCTGCATTTGGAAAGACTGTCAAAACGATTGCGAAAAATAAGCGGTCTGGGATAATCAGGTTCTGGTATTTCTTCAAGTCCACCGTCTCCTGGGCAAGAGATTCCCAGTGCCACATCAAAGTTGATATCCGTATCTGTATCGTAAAAGGAGAACGGTTTCTCTAGGTTTTCGTTGTTCATGCGGTAACTAGCACAGGAGGGATTACGAGCCCGGACATGTCTTTCAGTAATTCTACCTTCTGCGGAAACAACGGCCCTTACCGAGTTCGAGGTCGTCCTCTCGCAAACAGGTTCACCTTGCTCAGAGCAAGGGCGTCGGAGATTTGGAGACACGGAAGAATTGGTTTTCGCAAGGCGCTTTCGTTGTGGACTATCTGGGGCTCCGGCACTCGCGTCTTGGGATTTAAAGCCAGTAGTGCTTTCTTCGGACATCATCCCACCTGCTTGGGCTTCTGGAAAAGGATTCGGCAGGCTGAAAGGACCACTTCCCGCACAAACCGCATCACGGGACTGGTTTGAAAAGGCTGACTGTTGTGAGGTTTTGTCATGGATAGGATTGCAGGTCATAGCGGACAACTCATTGAAAAATGATCTCAGATGATCTGGAGAGGAATGCAGAGAGTCTGTGTCATTCTCATCAGCGAAAGAAACCTGTTTTCTGGGTTTTGTGATCTCTAGATCAGTCTCGTGGTCCAAACAAGGTTTCGTGAATATCTTGGTGAGGTAGTCGGCTGGATACATTGCAACTCTTGCCCTTAGGTACACCTTTGTTCGGATGACATGCTCAAGGTGCACCCTTTCATCGAGAAACTCGATAACATTGGCTTTTACGATGATGTTCCGAGGGGGGGCGAATGGTACAATACCCGTAAAGACTTTGGACGACTTGTCGAAAGTCAGCCAGCTTTCAGAGGTCGAGTAAACTATTTCCCCTGCAAAGCCATCACCCAAATTTTGTTCAGACCTCCTAACACACGGCATTAGCGTGTATCTGTGGCCTACCACGGGTACTTCAAGCTCTTCGGTTTGCAAAGTGGGCGTCCCGAGAGACATTGAGAGAAAACGCTCGAGTCGTTGATAGATATTCGGTGCAGAAAAGAACCAGTTGAATCCTGTGGGGGGACCTTGCTCGTACAGTTCTACCATCTCAACAGCGACACTGGACAGGTTGACTGGAGCGGAGTCATTGCTTCGATGCTTAGAAACCGTGTGATAGATATTTGTCCAGGTGAGCAGCTCCTCAGCTCCCACAGACGAGAGGCCCCTCCAAGTTGTGCATGTTTCAGATTGTTCCCCAAAGTCAAATGCTTCCAGAGGAGGATTGTGAACGATCTTGGGTATGAAAAAGTCTATCGGGGATTTTGGAGCTGCCAAATAACGTGAATTCAAGTCCAGATCAGTTTTCCAAGGTGAGAAGGACTTAGGATCCGACACCGGCGGAAGGCTGACCCGGCCAACATAGATGTCATTTCGCCAACTGTAAGGACCATATGTGGGCCAGCCTCTCCAATTACCTCTTCCACCACCACGCAATTCCCGCTGCCGAGGGACAGTTCGGAAGTTTCCAGCAGGAGTGGGAGACAAGGGCAAAGAGGGATTGTGAGGATGAGAAACTGTGGCAGAGCCAGATGATATGTAGGGAGAAACAGGATGTGCAGTTCGTGGGGCGGTCTGCATATTCAGTGGTTCACAGCTTGCGGCACCACTTGTCTCAATAGCAGTCGAGCCCGGTACGGCGAGATTGAGGTTGATTGGCATCTGTTCAGACGAAGATTGTAATAGAGGATCAGGAAATCGATATGTGGGGCGATACTCCTTCGGCAATGTCAAGGTAGTACCGCTATATCTAAAGCAAGTTAGTAGTCATGTATCTTAGGGTCTGAACTGTTCGTATGCACCTGTTTGAATTGTTCCTTGCCTGAATGTCAACCGACGTTATAACCGTCATCGCAGTAAAGGAAGAGAGTACGACTAATATTGACAGAATATCGATGCGTAAATATTAGTGACGATGAACGTTCAGAGAACTCGGCTATCATTGATAAATAGTACGAGGTCATTACCTCATGTCGAAGGAAGGCGCCATGCTGAAATGTTGTGACCAGCATCTGCAACAGCGATCTGGACACAGTTTGGGTGTGAGTGGGTCAGGATATTGAGTTTTCAGACCGCATCAATTGAGGCTCTTGTGTTGATCTGTTCATTCTGGTTCCCGAGCTTCGATATTTGAAGAAAGACGTCTACGCCATAACCTTCCAGACTATGGAGCTGAAGACTTCCTGCCCAGTACTCAGCATAAACCCGACTCATAGGAAGTCCCATGCCCAAACGCAGGTTCGGTGGCCTCGAAGAAAGAGAGCTCAAAGAGCTGTCACGACGTTTTTCCGGCAGAGCATGGTTATTGGAAGCACCCTGACGTGCTGAAGAGGTTTGCAGCTCATCGACTGTGGCCGCCATCGCTGGGACCTTTTCTAGATTTCGCAGGCGTGCAGCATTCTTCGGGCCTTTATTGAACGACCACAGGTAGGGAACGATATCACGAGGAATACCACCACCTTGATCGGATATGCGAATCACAACGTGTTGAGGCGCTTCACAAATCAGAACTTCTATTGGAGATGGCTTTGAACACGTGCCATGGTTCTTTTCCATAACAGCCAGAATGGAGTTACGAAGAAGCTCACCGACAATATATTCAAGGTGACTCTGTATATAAGGAAACGTTGCCTCGAGATGGCCAGAGATCTTGATTTCAGGTATGGCAGAATCCGAGTTTGTGGCTTTCCGTGAGAGCTGCTGAGCAAGCTCGCCTGACTGCTTGACAATATCTCTGGCATTGCAGCGGAGTAGGACTTCACCGACAAACTCGGACTCGGACTTCTTTTCCGGAAAATGCCAGGGCGAGTCAAAAGTCTCTGTCAAGGCAAGGTGCTGTTCGGCTATGACTCTTCTAGAGATACGCTATTCTCACATCAGCAATGGCCTTTTATTGAGCTGTAAACCAGAACGCACAGCTCGAAGCATGGTATTGATGAAGTCTTCCATCATCTGTGGGTGCACTAGATCCTGGCACTCCAGGACGCCAATAACAAGGTTGGGTATAACTGCCAGATGCTCTTTCAATGTGCCGCTGATAGCCTTGCAATACTCATCATTTTCTTCAACAGTCTTGATTAGCGGCACCCGGCGTAGCGTTTCAAACGCCTTGTAATACAGCTCGTATACAGTGGAGAGATGGGGGTTTGTGACAACAACATATGGAAGCTTCTGCATGTCACGCAGCCGGTGGGCAAGCCTGTGTACACTGTCAAATCAGGTAAAGCCCACACAATTTGCACAGCACACCTAGTGGGCAGCTCTGAGCGAACATAGTTTGCAGAACTGATCAGTCGCTCCTCTGTCAAGGTCCGTCCGAAAAAGAATAGTTGGCGGAGACTGATTGGACGAATTGGACGATCCACCCAGCTGCGAGAACAATTAATCACCAAACAAGCTCACAGAGTACCCTACCACTCACTCATCAAGAATGCTGGCAGGCCTCCACGGAGATGGTCTTGCCTGTGATGAGGTCCATCGCGTCTGTGGAAGTACTGCTGAAAAGCTGTCATGGTATGGGCTCCTTACTGCCTGGCAGCATCTCTTCGCTGCTATCATTTCCTGAGCCCGGGAACCCACATTGAAAGTCACCAAGACCCACAGGCAGATTTCTTTCTCCAGACTACTCAAACCATGTCGGGTTGCGTGCTAAGCATGTGAGGGAGCTCGGACATCAGAGGGTGAAATTGATGTCTTGTAGTTAGATCGTCCTTGTACTTCCCCACACTGCTTGTGCATGAGGCGGAAGTCTGGAGGAAATCTTCAAGCAGGAGAGATCAATTTGCATACAAATTACCGGCAGCAATGCTTACCTATTCCTTATAATACCAGTATTGCATGGTAGAAGTAAGATGTGATTTGGCATTCTCGTTTGCATAGCCGGTTCCAACCTTCACATTGATTTTTGGAAAAGCTTCAGAGGCAGCGTCATCGCCCGCAACCTGCGGCCACCGCATCCGCATTTGCTCCGCCACCAAGTACAGATTATATTTTGTAGACTTCCAAAGCATCTATCTCCTACGAAGTCTATGCCACGATTGACCTTAAGCCCCTGCATCATTCTTCTTGACCTTCTACCTTGGTCGGTCTGGTGTACAATTAAAGCGAGCTCTACTCCCAAGACAAAGGCGGCTTCACCCTGTCCTGTGCACCAAACCGCCAGCCAGACTCTTGTCGCAGATTCTCATTATGGATAATGTATGTCTGCATTCTTCCTCCCATCGCTCTCCGTAACAGGAGAAGGGGTTGAAGAGCTGTGTACTAACATGGGGTATCTAGCTGTCCGGAACAGATATGCAGGTAGATGATTATGAGAAGTACAACAATGACAGGCAAGACGTGGTTGATATCAACACCGACGAGACCGTGGGTGGTACGGACGCAGAACCTATGGCAGATGACTGTACGTTTCTCCTCCTGTTCGCTCGATTGAATCATTACGGGGCTCTTGGAGAAATTCCCCAAGATGTGGACCATTGATCAAGAAGCAAGTTTAGAAGCATCCACTGACAATGCATGACCGACAGATGAAGCTATAAAACCTCGTGTCCTCCCTGAACTGCCAGATCAAGAAGTCGAAAGTGAGGCATATCATACCTGGCATATTGACAAGTGGAGGGGTCTTGGACGAAAGGAGCATGGACCTGTGTTCAAGTGTGGTGATTCACCCTGGAGAATTCTCTTTTTCCCCTTTGGTAACAATGTCGACCATGCGTCGTTCTACCTTGAGCATGGCTTTGACAAAGACCCACCAGAAGGATGGTATGCATGCGTTCAATTCGCCCTTGTTTTGTGGAACCCAAGTGATCCTTCGATCTATACTCATCACACTGCTACACACCGATTCACAGCAAAAGAGGGTGATTGGGGCTTCACAAGGTTCGTTGAATTCAGAAGAGCTTTCCAGCAGAATTGGGAAAATCATGAAAGACCACTTGTGGAGAATGACGAAGCCAAGGTCACTGCATACGTACGGATATTCAAGGATCCTACTGGCGTATTATGGCACAATTTTGAGGGATATGATTCGAAAAAGGAGACTGGAATGGTTGGACTAAAGAACCAGGGCGCCACCTGTTATCTAAATTCTCTCCTGCAGTCTTTGTATTTCACAAACGCTTTCCGTAAAGCGGTTTATCAGATACCAACCGAGTCCGAAGCGGTCAAAACAAACAGTGCGTGGACCCTGCAACGGCTATTCTACAACCTGCAAAAACACAAACTCGCAGTCCCCACCTCCGAGCTAACGTCCTCGTTTGGCTGGGATTCAAGACAGATCTTTGAACAGCAAGACGTGCAAGAGCTGTCTAGAATTCTTATGGACAAGCTTGATGAGCGGATGAAGGGCACAGCGGCCGAAAACGCACTGGCACAGTTATTTGTTGGCAAGTCAAAAACCTACATCTCATGTATCAACGTGGACTGCGAGTCCTCGCGCATAGAGGACTTCTGGGACATTCAACTAAACGTACGTGGCAACAAGAACCTACATGAAAGTTTCATGGATTATATCCAGGTGGAAACGCTAGAAGGGGAAAACAAATACGATGCTGGAGAACCGTACAAACTACAAGATGCCAAGAAAGGTGTCATCTTTGAGAGCTTCCCACCAGTGCTTCATCTGCAGTTGAAGCGGTTCGAGTACGACGTAAATCGAGATGCTATGATGAAAGTCAACGATCGACACGAGTTTCCTCTGGAATTTGATGCAGCGCAGTACCTCTCAGATGATGCAGACAGATCAGAGTCATGGATCTACCAGCTGCATGGCGTCTTGGTTCACAGCGGCGACTTCAATGCCGGTCATTACTACGCCTTCCTGAAGCCTGAAAAGGATGGCTTCTTCTACAAGTTTGACGATGATCGTGTAACGCGAGCGACGATGAAAGAGACTCTGGAGGAGAATTTTGGGGGCGAATATGCGAACCTTGCAAACGGTGGTCTGGGACAGCGACAACCATATATGAGGGGTTACTCCACGAAGCGCTCGATGAACGCGTATATGCTTGTCTACATCCGCAAAACAAGATTAGATCAAGTGCTTGTGGAGGTAAAAGAAGACGACATTCCATTCCATATAGAAAGAAAGCTGTCGGAGGAACGAGCAGAGCTGGAGCGAAGGAAAAAGGAACGTGAAGAGGCTCATTTTTATCTCACCGTTGGTCTAATATCGGACCTGACCTTCAAGAATCACCATGGTTTTGACCTGGTCAATTGGGACGCTCCCCCTAGTGATCCGGCAGCAGCACAACAACACCGAGTATTACGCACCACCAAGATGTCTGATTTCTCCAAACAGATCGCCGAGGAGAGAGGGTTGGCCCCAGAACAAGTACGATTTTGGGCGATGGTAAACCGTCAAAACAAGACAGTTCGTCCTGACCAACCGTTGAGGGACCCAAACATGACCATTGAGGAGGCCTGGAATAAGTTTGGGACGAAGGGAGCACCGTTCCGATTATGGGCCGAGGTCTGTCAACTAGAAGACGGAAAGCCGACGTGGCCTGATATAAATTCCGCATCAAGCGGTGGAGGATCAATACTGGTCTTTTTGAAGCACTTTGATGTACAGTCCCAGACGCTGAGTGGTGTTGGCCATGTTTACGTCAAAAAGCATGCCAAGGTTGCCGACATTGCCACTCAAATTCAGGACCTGATGGGATGGGACCTCTTTACCAACATTACCTTGTACGAAGAAATTCGTCATTCCATGATCGAGGCGATGAAACCAAGGCAAACCTTCCAACAGTCAGAGATTCAGGACGGTGATATCATCTGCTTCCAAAAAGCACATTCGGGTTTAGATCCGACCTCAGTCATTTATACCGACGCTAGACAGTATTATGACTACCTCCTCAATCGAATATCTATCAACTTCTATCCACGAATACCAACCGGTGCTGAAGGAGAGGTCTTCACACTTCCTCTAAGTAAGAAGATGACCTACGAGCAGTTCTCGGCCAAGGTGGGCGATCATTTGAAAGTTGACCCCACACATATTCGTTTTGGGACTGTACATTCGACGACTGGGAAGCCGAAGGCATGGCTGAAGCGTACTCTGAATCAGAACCTTCAGCAGCTTATGTCTCCGTCATATTCCAGCTACGGATATAGCAACCACAAATCGGATTCGTTATTCTATGAGATACTTGAAACAAGCCTGGCTGACTTTGAGACCAAGAAACCGATGAAGGTGACGTGGCTTAGTGAGGGCATCAGCAAAGAGGTATATTATTCCGATCGTGGTGGAGCAATAGGTTCTCAACTAACTTATCCAGGAACCCCTCGAGTTACTTGTTCCCAAAAACGGCACAATTGCGGATCTGGCGGCCGCTTTATCGAAGAAGCTTTCCCTGGATCCTGCTACGACCCAACTGATTCGAGTTTACGAAGCACACGCTGGCAAGATTTACAAGGAGCTGGCTGACGATTTGGTAATCATGGGCATAAGCGAATTCGTGACCCTATACGCGGAGAAGATCCCGGAAGACGAGATTAAAGCCACCCAAGACGACAGAGCTATATATTGCTTTCACTTTGACAAGGAGCCAACAAAGCCTCATGGAGTCCCGTTCAAGTTCGTCCTAAAAGCAGGAGAAAGATTCAAGGACACAAGGGAAAGGTTAAGCAGAAGAACAGGTATCAAAGGCAAGCTACTTGAGAAGATCAAATTCGCCATTGTCTGTCGAGGTCTGTACCCAAAGCCTCGATATTTGGAAGACGGTACGTTGTTTCTGCCCTATGTTCAAGCCTGGGAGTCATCGGTCTGACACAATGATTTCAGAGGATATAGTCATGGACCTCATTACGGACAACGATGATTTGCTCGGTCTCGACCACGTCAACAAGACGAAAAGCTTTTGGAGCCGTGGCGACTCAATATTCATCAAGTGAAAATTCCTTTTCACGATCACTCAACATCATTTTCCTGGATGGCGACAGCTGGTGCGTCATTCACCACATTCTGTTCAGACCGAGAAGTTTGGCAGCGGGGTACATAGCAAGGAGTTGTGGGGTGGCTGAATGGAAAGCGGGCCGAGGGAAGGTTTGTCATAGCAACGAACCAGCTGGAGTAAAACAATCGCTAAAGGACTATAACCGACGCCAAGGTAGCACCGAAATGGCGACCTACAAAGGCGGTCTTCAATCTTGCATAGCTGTACCTGGCGCTCAGTCAGCTACGCTCCACAGTGGTGCTTACAAGAAAGGAGCATGGAGATGTCACTGACACTGCTACTGGGCAGCAGTCACGGACAGACACAGCAACAGAACAATCATGGGAGTGCGGAGTAATCTGCAGTTGATGCTAGACTGCTAGACAAGGGAAATCTGGTGGAGAAGGCACATCATCCATGCCATTCCTTCTGCATTTTTCTCAAAGATAAGCATGTTTCATCACATCTTATGCATTCTCTCAGCTACTAGTACCGGATGCTCATGTAAGCTCCACCCATACTACATGTAACAATACTACTAGTCCTAGCAACACTGTCACTACGTACTGCTATTTGCTACTTGACCATCAATACGAGTTTGACGTGGCATGCGATTATAAATCGAGTGCCTGCTTCAAGTTGGTAAATGAACGTCTGACACACCACCACAACTCCTCAATATCGTTATGCGCCTCGCTGATGTAAGACCTAAGCTTCCGGCAAGGACATGCCCATACCACACCTTGTCTTATTAAGCCGGAGGAAGATCCTCCGCAAAGCCCATACCTTCCGTGCCACTACGTTCCCAAAAGGAACCATAAACTAGCTTAACTAGTCATAGTATGTCTGATTGTTCATCATCTCCACAATCTCCGTAAACCCCGCAGGCAAGGTGGGCGGGCGCACGGAACTGGTGATGAACTATTATGATGGAGTACAGAGTATAAGTGCTGGGTATGCCATTCCTACAGGAAATGTATAATTCGTGTGTTGTACATCGTATCCTCATTAACCGGGTGAACCGATTACATTCTACCTGATTCACCTATTTTCTATCCACTTTTCTTGTGCCAACCCATTACGGGGCAGACCTGGATATTCTATCTTCCGATTTCTCACGAGATCCAAGTATATCGCAATGGCAGCGGGAAAATTCGCCTCCAAGCTGCACAACGCCAACATCCTGATCCTGGGCGGCACATCGGGGATCGGCTTCGGGGTCGCAGAAGCCGCGTATGAATCCGGCGCCATGGTCACCATCTCCGGGACCAACCAAGCCAAAATCGACACCAAGACAGCCGAGATAAAATCCAACAACTCTGCGGGCGATGCCTCCAAGCTTCGAGGTTATCCCTGTGATCTTGGCGATCAGGAAAAGATGGAGGGAAATCTGAAGGCACTGTTTGATTTCGCTACGAACAACGGAGAGAGGAAGCTGGATCACGTTGTTTTCTGTGCCGGGGATGCGCCGGCGATTAGAAAGCTGGAGGAGATGGATGTGGCGTATGTGCAGAGGGTTTCGATGATAAGATTTGCGGCGCCGGTGGTGATTGCCAAACTCATCACTCTACATTCTTATCTCAACTCGTCGCCTTCGTCGTCGATTACCCTGACGTCTGGTATCAACACGGCCAAACTGGCTAAAGGCTGGGCGGTGGGAGCTGGGGTGGGCGGGGCAGTTGAGGGTACGGCCCGAGGTCTGGCTGTGGATCTGGCTCCCATCAGAGTCAATTGCGTTGCCCCTGGCGCAGTGCATACGGAGCTCTTTGACAAGGTGGGAGCAGAAAATTTGGAGGGGATGCTGGCTATGTTCAAGGATAAGAGTATGACCAAGACGGTGGGTAAGCCGGAGGATGTGGCGGAGGCGTATCTTTATTGCATGCGGGATCGGTTTGTGACGGGGTCGCTGATTGAAAGTAATGGTGGTGGGTTGCTGGCTTAGGTGGGATGCTGGATGAGTTGACTTCTGGAGAGTGTCCATTGTTGTTAGGGACGGTGATGCATCGAGGCCCATGTGAGAGGGAACGGTAGTCATTCTTTTGTTACCGGAATGGTAGAGCTAGAAGCATTAAAATAGGCATGATACGGTGTTGTGCATTCCATAAACAGGGAAAAGAAGCACATTCTAACCACAGGAGCACCGGCGGGTGTCAGAATGCGTTGTTCTATTTTGTAGAGAGGTCATTAGCCAGGAAGGGTAATCAATTCTGATACCAGCAGTGGGGTTTTCATGCAAGTGGTGCACTCGTTCCTTTTGCATTATGCTTGACAGGATGCGATACCGGTATTAGAGATATAGATCAGCTTTCTGGTGATAGTCCAGATACATGGGGAAAACACAATCTGTCATTTAATTCCCCCTCCTGAGCAGATCACGCAACTGTCCCTCTCGCCAAGGCGGCGGAGATCTAGCTTCAGTCTTACCCCTTGATCCTGCAGGAACAGGGTGAACAGGCCGCCTTCAGGCCGCCCAACTTGTTGATGATGGTTGCCTGAGTGAAGCTGATGCTAGGATCCCTTGGAATATACGTCGTAAATTATTCTCGGAATTGATTGAACCGGTCTACCTCCGAATGGCTTCAAGCATAATAAACCAGAGAACACGGGTTGACATGGCGTACCCTGCAAGTTTCTCGGCCCAGCCAGACACTGATGTAGCTTAGATTAAGAAGTCATCGACCCGTGCCATGATCATGGGCGGCAGCCAAAACAAATGATATCGCCAAGTCCCAAAAGGCATCCAATTGGCCAGCTCGAGGACAGTCGCACAGGGCTGAAATTATTTTCGTGGAGTCTGTCCAAGGCGGTACATTGTGGCCATTTCGACGTGGTAGGGTATCTGCTGGTGAAGCAGGGCGCCCAGATAGACTCGCTCTCCCCAAGACAAAGCAGCCTTACCATCAGCCGAAGGGATGGAGTTCCTTGTGATCATGATTGCGATATCAACCAGAGCGAGCCTGATTGCGGTGCTGGGCCGGGCCAGTGTCCTTTACAGCTGCTCTGCCACGACTCACTCTCCATATCGTGTCCAGAGCACAGTGTGGGCCAAGCCTGAAAGTTGCCCGGTCCGGATGTCGATGGTTCAATACCTTGTCGACGATCTCGTACTGAACGTCAACGATCTGGATACAAAGGAAAAATTGTGAAACCACTGAGGCGTGTCACGATGTAATGCGGCTTGTGTTCTAGACGATAGTGAAGAGGTTATACGTTACGTGCTCAGCCGTGGTGCCGACCCTTCCATCAAAGACTGTTGATGGATGCATGACGCGATTAGCCGTGCTGAACTCCACAATCGCTCTCAGGTTTTGAAGGTCATACGTGAGTGGAAAACAGAGAGATAAATGATACGAAGAGAAGTTATTACGATATTGGTGGAATTGATAGTGGATATAACTTGGGAACCTGCGTTAGTATCTTCTAGAGAAACACTGGATCTAAAGAATAGCCATGTGGTGAAAGAATGAACAGAATACTGGCACAACAGTTTTCTGCGATCAATCGTTAAAGTGGCACAGGTGGTGGTTGATTGAGTAGCCTGAGGTGACTCAGCTTCCTAGCTAACACTGAGCCAAGATTTCCTCTTCCACTCCGGGTCCTGCAGCAGAAATATCACGGACAGCTGAGGCCAACTTGGATTGATCTCTTTACCACTCCACCAGCCACGATGTGGCATCCATTATTGTTCTTTGCCTTGCTGGCAACCTTCATCTCCTATGTCCACGCCACAGCGCTCACGTACAAACTCGCTCCAAATGAGAAAGCCTGTTTCTTCGCCGACGTGCTACCCGCGCAAGTCAATGGAAAGATAGCCTTCTACTTCGCTGTATGCTTCGCCTCCCCATATTTGCACATACACCCTCATATCTCCAATCCATTGTCCTCCTCACTCGCCTCTCGCGGAAACCGTAGAGAGAAACCCACTGTCCTCTCCTGAAATGCACCCTCTGACATCAGCCGTAAAACACAGGTCCAATCCGGCGGCTCCTTCGACATCGACATCGCCGTCACCGGGCCCAACTCCAAACAGATCCTGAGCGAGCTCAAACAACGCCAGGGTGACTACGTCTTCACCGCCCAAAACGCGGGCGAATACAGCTTCTGCTTCACCAACAGCGCATCCTCCTTCCCCACCGAGAAGATGGTCGACATGGAGATCGCCATCGAGAACGAGTCCCGCTCGGCCTCCTTACCCCAGAAGTCCTCGGGAACCTCGCCCGAGCAGCATACCGCGCTCGAGGAAGCCGTGTTTAGAGTCAGTTCACAGCTGAGCACGGTGAATCGGATGCAGAAGTATTTCCGCACAAGGGAGAATCGCAATTTCAGTACGGTGAGGAGTACGGAGGGCAGGATTTTTAAGTTTAGTCTGGTCGAGGTGGGCATGATGGTGGGTATGGCCGGGTTGCAGGTGCTGGTTGTGAGGTTCTTTTTTCAAGGGGCGAGGAAAGGTATGTCATTGTCCTTGGTCTTTTTTCAGTTGAGAATGCATGGGTTGACTGACACTCTTTGACAGGTTATGTATAATGTTTATACCACTGAAGGGAAATAAATGCTCTGCTTCAGGGCACGGTGTTGGGATGGAAATGGCTACATCTAGACCAGCGGACGAAGCTGCCCTGAATCCAATTCAGCGCGAAGACTTGGGAACTACATCTCAAGGGCAAAATATTCTCATCAATAGTCAAAACTTCCTTACAATTCTGCTAAATTTACACCACACCCGACACCTCGGCGGGCTGAGGCGTCTTCGGCCCATCCCTATCCTTAACCATCTCACTCGTCGATGGCTTCTGCGCTCCCTTTAGTGGCGGGAAATCAAATGTCTCACTTCTCGGCAAATGCCCACCCTGCCACTGATATTTCAAGAAAGGTAGATTCCACGAGCTCTGCGCGCTGCCCGGCCCATTCTTATCCTCCAGCATGCCTTTGTCCCACAGTAACGGGCCTACCCATGGCTGTACATTCCAACTCAACGTTAGCGTAGCATTTGGACGGGAAGAGATCGCGCCGCTTGGGTCTGTGATTTGGTATTTCGGTTTTTGGTTCTTGAGGGTTAGAAGACCGGGCTTGGTAATATCTGTTGTTTTTGCGTTTGCCTTGTCTCTCCCCGATTTAGACATACTCTTCTTGCTTTTTGCCGCCGGTTTCTTGGCAGGGAAATATCTCTCCTTCACGTTGGCAAAACTCCATTTCGTAGCCGGTGCAGGAATTATCGTGTCCCATATAACCGCTTTATTCATCCCCGCGTTCCCACCATTAGCAATTGGTAGGCTCCCTGCCTCGCCATCCTGTCCCAACCCCGTCGTGGTATTCTGTGTCGGATACTCGGCACTCACGTAAACGAAAACCTGTTTCGTATTCCAATTGAACAGCTCACTTAGATCTGCATCGAGGTCGAAACGGATGTGGGCATATTCTTCGCGTTTTGGGGAGTAGTAATGTGGGCGGCCTCGGACGACCTGGATGTTGCGGACTGAGAGGCTTGCAGTTGGTGGTTGTGAGGAGGAAGTGGAGAACGAAGGATTGATGGGTAGGAGAGAGAGGGAGGAGATGAGGAAGGCGAGGAAGAAAGCGCAGGAGACCAGATAGCCGAAGGCGGCTTGGATACGGTTTAGGGTGTTGTGCATCTTGGGATCGTGTCTGGAGGTTTGAAAATGCAGATGGGTGCTAGGTTTTCGAGGAGAGGCAGTGTTTCGCTATTGCTGCATTATGCTTTGGTGCAGAGTAAGTCCCAGGTAACCCTGCAGCTTCTGGGCTCGACAATGAGGTCAACGTCTATTTGTGTCCATGCTTGCACTTTTAAAGGTGTCTTGAAACCTGTCAAGATTGAAGTTCAGTGCTACACATGCCAAGTTGCCAAGTCTGATAGTGTCAACGGTCATCGGCGAACCTGCTCTTTTCGGATTAAGTTTATCTATCGGACACATCTGATACTGGAGTGCATCTTCTGATACCCAAGTACCCGTTTCCCTCCAGTCCCATGAAGGACAATAACTAGAAGAGATAATCCGGGTCGTTCCTCAGGACCAACTATACTTACATTTTTTTGAGATTCCTTCCCAACACTGAGATTTTGAGAATATTTTATAGAGGGTATCATGAGCTCTATGGGGCCTCGCCCAGCAAGGCCCATGACGGGGAAAAGATCGGCTTTCTGTTATGGTAAGGATTTTTGTTGCCATTCCTCCCCTCTTCCGCAAGACCAAGTACTTACTGTACTCCTTTCTCAGGCACTCTTATGGCACCTCAAGTACTCTATCGCGTAATCTATGGTACTCCTGAACCAGAACCTTGGCAAGCGGAGCGAGTTACCATTCGCCCTGCCGTCCTCCATGAATATCGTCGACAACGAGTCAAGCATGCGGATTTCCCTGCCATCGTTCCTAAGCCTTCCACAACGGTCAGGGGTGCCTTTATCACAGGACTTACCGATGAAGACGTCGCCTGTCTGGATATGTTCGAAGGTGTAATGTACAAACGACAGAAGGTCAAAGTGAAGCTCCTGAAGGATGTGAAGTTGGGAGACAACATCCCGGACTCGAAACTGGCAAAAGCAGAGGGAGAAGAAGTAGAAGCAGAGACGTATGTCTGGAGATGGCCTGTGGAGGACTTGGAGGACAAGGAATGGGACTTTGAGCATTTTAAGAAAAGAAAACTGAAAGCGTGGGCAGGAATGGTAACTGATCCAAATACCAGTGTTGACGAAGGCTTTGCCGACGTGGATGCATATTGTGCTGCTGTAGCAACTTCAACGAGGGGCGGCCTGAGTGGTGGTCGTGGCACAGGTGGACGAGGCAGCGGTGGTCGCGGCACGGCCAATCGAAGTATGCTTGATCGAGAGGCAGGTGGCCGAGGCACGGGTGGTCAACCTATGGAAGGTCAAGGTGGGAGTGTTAAAGGCACAACTCAACGGGGGGTAGGTAATCAGGCTCCTCGTGGTCGTGGTCAAGGCGCGGGTGTTTCGATGACAGGTTAGCGCACGGCCGGGAAGAGAAGCATGGTTGGTTTTTTTTTTTGCAAAGGCGCAACTCCAACACGTTGACTGCACATGATAGATAAGGATCTATGTATCACGAACGACTGATCCTGGACTGGAATTGAATGGAATGATTTTCAATAGACTAGCTTGCTAAAGCAACCGCATATCAATAGAATTAAGATAGACCTTTTGACCCACCTGAGCCATTTGAGCTGCAATGCAAAAGGAAATTCGGGTTTCGTCCCACAACCGCTCACCAATATGAGAGATACTCTTCTCAAACGGTGCCGTAGCCCCTTGTGCCACCAGTTTGAATGTTGTCGGAGTAAACTCCCGGAGCAGGATCAGATCCAATTTGTCCAAGGCGGCCTGGAGGATAGGCTTAGCAAGCTATGTTTGATATGTCTTGAGGTGACTCACCTTTCTCTCGTCGGTCGAAATATACATATTCAAGGTAAAAGCTAAGGGATGTGGTTAGTCTGGACGATATGCTGATAAGGAGTCTTGTGTTAAACAACTTACGCGTGGAGATGGCCTGGGATGTAGCCAAGGAGGGTGAGGCAGATGTTGATAATGAGATCAGCGGAGCAGCCACTGATCATGAAGACGCCAACGGGCGGGCCTGGCAGATCCATTAGAACATGGTATTCAGAACGGATACACGGAAATTAGGCAGAACTAACAGAGGATGGTAACGAGGACGATGAGGATAGCAGGTAGGGCGTCCGACATGCTGGTAAGTGGTAGCTCTGTTTCGAGTTCGTATACAAGGGGAGATGACAGAAATCTGCTTCTGTTGGAAAGAGGTAGTTGGGTACTGCTGGTGGTTGTCGTATATTCGAGGGTACTGATGATGATGGTGGTTGTGGTGGTGGGATGATGCAACTCGTATTCGTCGTATGCTCTCGTGTTACCTGCCACAGCCACAGTGGCGCAGCTTAGAGCACGTGCCCGCTCGTGCCGCCCGGCCAGCCAGCGGATGGAAAGCCACACAAAGCCCCTAATTCATACTTGAGTCATCCCCCTATCGAGTACTAAGTTAATCATCGGCCCAGCTGGAGCCGAGATTTGATATGCACTCAACCAGCCACTCTGTTTCACGTTTTGACATCACATCTCGACATCACGACCACGCTAGGAAAATAAGGCGGGTAAGCAGAGGCTCAATTGACGACTCTGTCTGAATCACCCCTCTATCCTTTCTCTCACCTGTACGTTCCCATCTGAATCATCGGAATGTCCGAATTAGTTGGGTTTGAAAACCCATCTTGCTCCGTCAACTCTTCAATATTTTGTCCAGGATGCCTGGGATTCTCGATTATGCTTCTTGCCGTTGGTGCATTTCACCTGATAATGCCTGTCAGTATGTATGCAAGTTATCGCTTCACAGAATAGCTGCAGACCTAGTGGGTGCAAGAAAGGAGTAACCCCCGGAGCAGATTCCTATCTTCTTCTAGCGCTTGAGAGCGCGGCTTCTTTTCCTCGCTTGCAATTTAGGTCTGCTCTCGTCAGCGTACCAATGTGGTTGTGAAACAACTATAATTTCCTCCCGCCAGGGGATGGGATGGGATACCAACAACTTCCCAGATGCGTCTAGTATAGGTATAAGATTTGGGCATTTGCCTTCAACCATTTCTCTTCTTATATGCAGCTGCAACGTATCATTCCTTTCGTTGACGTTGTTGTGACTTTCTTTCTTTCTTTCATACATTCCTTTCCAAGCTCTTCATTGATTGAAGCTGGTCATTCTTTTATAAAGCTCTCATCCATTCTTTACGATTCAAAACCTTTGCTTTCAGAAGACTGCTTAGAAACACCAAAAAATGGCTTCAGTCAGAACCCTCAGTCTTGCTACCGCCCTCTACCTCTTGGCAGGTATCTCTTGCGTATCTGCGCATGGCTTCGTCCAAGGCATCGTCATTGGAGGGGAATAGTGTGTACCTTGTTTGCATCTTCTATCTATAATTGGGCTAACGTTGATCAAAGCTATCCAGGATTCAATCCAGGCGCTGCTCCTTACCAAAACCCACCTCCACCGGTTATTGGTTGGCCAAATACTGCAAGTGATACCGGCTTCGTCCCTCCTCAAGACTATAGCAATCCCAACATCATCTGTCACTTGAACTCTCGGAATGGTGAGATGCATGCCGAAATCGCCGCTGGCTCCTCGATTGACTTGCAATGGAATCAATGGGACGTATCTCACCATGGCCCTGTCATCGACTACATGGCCAGGTGTGATGGTGAGTGCGAAACGACTGACAAGAACGCTCTCAAGTTCTTCAAGATCGACGAAGCCGGTCTCGTCAATGGATCACCTGCTCCTGGTACTTGGGCTACCGACACCCTGAGAGCCAATAATCTCACATGGACAACCACAATCCCTGCCACTCTCGCTCCTGGAAACTACGTACTCAGACACGAACTCATTGCGCTTCATAGTGCAGACAAGCCATACGGCGTACAGAACTACCCTCAGTGCATCAATCTTAAAGTAACTGGTACAGGCACGGCAAACCCAGCTGGTATTCCTGCAACCGAGTTTTACACACCCACAGACCCGGGCCTCTCCCTCAGCATCTACTACCCGGATCTAGAGAATTATACTATCCCGGGTCCAGCTCTATGGGACGGTGCGTCGTCTGGGAACACTGGTAGTTCTTCAGGGATGCCCGCCCCTTCGACAGTGACTGTCATTCCCGTGCCTGAGAGCTCTTATGTAGCACCGTCACCAACACCTGTCGATTCAGTGCCTCAATTCTCAGCTATAGCGTATGCGGCAGAGTCGACACCGTCAGGTGCCAGCCCTCTGCCTGAAAGCTCCGTCACAGACTATGCCGAATCTCCGACGCCAACTGATGTCAGCCCTCTGCCTGAAAGCTCCATCGCAGACCATGCCGAATCTCTGACGCCAACTGATGTCAGCCCTATTCCCCAAAGCTCCGGCGCAGCTTCTGTACCAGAGTCGTCATCAGCTATTGAAGTTGTCCCATCTGCCGCCACTCCTGTGGAACCAAGCATGGCAGCTACTACAGCTTTTGAAGGGACATCAACAGCTGCCCAGGAACTTTGCAGCACAACTACATTGTACACAACGATCACCATGACCACGACTGTCCAGCCAGGACGTTCTTCAGAAGATGTCTCTCCTTCCTCATCAGAGGTAGCGCCAGTGCCTACTTCGGTCGCTGAGACATTCTCAGAGGCGGAGCCTGTGCCCACTTCAAACCCTGAGACATCCTCCGAAGTGGCGCTAATTCCCACCTCAATAGCAGGCAATTCCTCGTACCCGGTACCAGTACCCACCTCAAGCGCCGAGGAATCCCCAGAGGCTGCACCAGCGCCCACCTCGAATGCAGGCAACTCCTCTTACTCAGCGCCCATGCCCACAGCAAGCGCCGAGACATCACCTGAAGGATACGGCGACGGCTATCCCACCAGCGTAGCAGAGTCCATGCTTAGCTCGGCCGTTGCATCCGCCGCATCTGAAATCGCTTCCGCCGTCGAGAGTGCCGCTACACCTACCGCTATCATCAGCTCTGTCGTTGCATCTGCCGCGTCTCAAATCGCTACGGCTGTCGATGGTGGTGCCGCGACACCCACCGCCGCGCTTACCTCCGCTGTTCAATCTGTCGCCTCTGTAATTGCTTCCGCCGCCGAGAGTGCCGCCACTTCCACCCCTACCGGTGTCTCGGAAGGCTCAGACACTGGCTTGCCCGGTGGAATGGGCTTTGAGGAGTTCATCGAGTGGATCAAGCAGTTCTTTACTAAGTACTTTGGGAAGAAGGGTAGTGGTAGGAAGCACGCCAGAGATTTGGTCATCTAGGTCCTTGGTGAGAAGTACGACACGAGCTGGCTCGCTTGGCTGGGTCATGCTTGAAGATTCGTGTGCTTGCTTGCTTGCTGCTGAAAAGGTTATTGTGCTGGACATGGTTCGGATCGTTTTGGTTGAAGAGAGAACCAAGGAAATTTGGATTCACGATGTATATATATTACAAACTCTTTAGCCTCATAGGCTATTTAAAGAACACAAGACTTCAAAGTGTGTATTCTTTCTAGTATGCAGCTTATTGAAGTCCTGGCACTCACCAGCTTCTCTCGCGCTGCCACGTCCCAAACGTAACCAATAAGAGTGCCGGTGCTGGGGATCCCTGAGTAGGCGTTTCATCTGGCTCTTGGCGAGCATCTTCGTGCTTAGGAGATGCCACACTTTTGATTCTCCTCTCTGGTTACAACTCTGACATCCTCTCAAGCCATATGCATGAGTCTTGGTACCTCCTTAACAACCCAAGTATTATATTCGGGAGGATCAGAAACTTCCCGTCTGCTCGTCCTCTCCTTGAGGGTATGACTGCAATGCTCGCAAGGAGTTGATCTGTATTGGACCACAAGGTTTGCTTCATAGATAGCAGAGACTTCGGCCGCATTGTTCTCAGCATAGCTTGTTTGTTCCCGAGCAACTGGAAGAAATGCCTTTCTTGCTGTTGATGGAACTCGGACTGGGGTGGGAGGGGCGGTTAGATATCCCTGTCCTCTGTTTATGTCATCTATACCGTTTGCTTGTCAGTAGCCATCTTGGCTGGTTTACGCAGTACTTATTGCCCTAGCATTGACTAAGGCTATATCGTACTTCGAAGATTATGATTCTTGGTCTGGGACCGCTACCATATCAAGAGAGCTGACGTGGGACGCGAGGATTAATCTTGACTCCGTAAAAATCACCCTCAGGTCAAGCTTTGAAGGTAAATGTGTAGGCACCTCCTGAAACAAATTGCCAGTGATATGTGTACTGCTATGCTCAAGAGCCTGCAGCAGTTGTTCCGTTTTGTGGTGGGCAGCACGCCGCGCCATTGGTGTTATTACCCAAGTTTCCGCTGACGAAAACGACCAGGACGGCAGCATATGCTGCACAGGCGCCAAAGATCTCCGCTCGTCGCGCACTTGTTATGAGCCCTATGGACAGCGCGAAGGCGACAGTATACCCTGTGATGAGCCCCAGTGTCTTGTGCGGATCTTGTACGTAGTACAGATTGTAGTTGGCGCCAAACAAGAATGCGGCAGCCAGCAGAATGTTCACTGCTCCAACGAAGACTTGTATCTTCTGCTCTGAGATGTAGCCAACCCGACCATGGACTCCAGGCTTTCGAGCTGAAAAGAAGATAGGGAAATGTTTGCGTAGAGTTTTCGTCAGGTAGTCTTCTTCTGGAGGTCTACGAAGCGCAACCAGGTCATCTTTGTCCTCGAGAATGTTGGCACTGTTGCCCTCGAGCATGGGGAAGCTGCCGCCGGGGGTTTGGTCCTTGCTTTTGTTCCAGAATGTGTTGTGTAAAGCTTCGTAGGCCTGGTTCGAAGGTCTTTTCATGGCTAGCATTGTTGATTAGAGAATCATTGCCTCTCCTGCAACCATCAGTCAGTTCAATTCGTCTTGCGAAATCGAGTTTGCTTCACTGTATTCCTTGAGCTTGGCCCGGATAAGGAGCGAGAGTTGCATTCTCTTTTCTGCTCTCGAATGCGCAACTTTCGCTTTTTCCTCAAAAACGTTCCAGTCTCTCGCACATTCGGTGACTTCCTCATCATCATTTTGCAGGTCCTCCTGGTCTAGGACCCGAAGTTGCGCTTCAAGCTCAACAAGCTCGCTTTGTAGGAGCAATAGGGTTCTCGCCGACAAGAAATCAAAGCGTCGATATATTGCGGTACTGTGACCTGGATCGCTTGCTATGAAAGCTGCGAGCGTCGGATACCCGTGGACATATTTGACTTCGACAGCGTCCTTTTCTGCATCTGGACGCATAATATACAAATGCTGGTGCACTGCGTACAGTGTTCATCTTGATACAATTGCCATTCTTGGGCACTTTGCAGAAAGGGTTATTCAATGATCCGCTCTTCGAAATGGCAAGGCTATCAACACAGCCACTCCAGCCACAGGATGGTTAGCTGGGCAGCAATACCCAGCCTTCTTCGGTGACTGCAGCCAAATTTCAATTTACGATATGGTCGACAATCACTAAATCTCTTCCCATTTGAGACACAAAATGGGATTGGAATGGTAAGTACTTTGTTGTTACTATCACCGGAATCACCTAAGTTGACTACTAGGAGAGGCTCTAGTTAAAGAGGGGATAACAGGAAGTCCTCCCAGATAACTGTTATGTATCGCGGACGTCGCGAATCGTTCGTCTTCTCGTAAAAGAAACAACAACAAACTGGAATGTTCGAAAGGCCCCCTTGAAACCGCGAGAAGACGAGCAACAGGCGGAGGCGGGGAGCGTATGGGAGATGTTCGAACGCAACCCCTCGGAGCTGCGACACGCTGAGCAACAGTCAGACATAAGGAGCGTAGGACAACCACGGGCCGTAGAGCCTGCTACATTGCTCGATGTTGATCAAATGGATGAGACAGCGCCACTTGATGATTATGATCCAACAGAGCTACATCAGGCCCAAGAACAACTCGAATCTGAACTTGAGACATCGTACACTAGAGTGAGAGAGTCACACGGCAAATGGATCGTACGCCTCTTACACCAGTTGAGCGCCCATCACCACCTACCTTCCGAGACGTTCCGAGACACCGATTTCCCAAAGTCGGGTGATATGTACAGCTTTCTTGAAAATGCAAAGGAATTGGCTGCTTCTGAGGATAGGGGAAATCCATTTAGACGACAAGGCAGATGACTTACGCTGCCAGTAAAGCTTCGTGGAAAAACGGTGTTGGCTTTGCCAGATACCGGCTCCGACATCGATGCTATAAGCATGGATCTTGTCAAAGAGTTGGAATTGAAGTTCTATCCTTATTCCGGGAGTAAGAAAACAGTCCGACTAAGCGACGGTTACACCATGCCAGCCATTGGGAAAGTGTCGACAAGAGTTTCGTTCGCTAAGGGAGCACAACAAACACTTTTTCGTACCTTCTTCGTCTTCCCAAACATCTCCACAGGAGTGGAATTGATACTTGGTAGAGACTTTCTCGATCACACACAGACGTGGACAACGCATCAAGATCGTCTGCAAGAACGTCGAATTGGGCTGCGAGGCCTTCCGAAAGTCATGAACATGTGTGTGTCGAAACGGCGGTTGCCATGCTATATTGACTCCCGCTTGATACTTGCAACTGCGGACACGGGCTCAGAGGTCGACTTGATCAACGAGTCCTATGCATTAAGACGAGGTTTCAACATTGAGTCTGTGTCTGAGGAGGAAAGGTATATTCAGCTGCCAGGTCAAAGGGTGGCAACAATCACGGGCAAAGTAAAAGTCAAATTCGACACATTACATGATGCTCCTTGTGCGCCAAATTCCCTAGAAAAAGCGAGCTCTAACAACAACGCACCAAGTCCTGTGGAGGGGAATGAAGTCATAGGCCACGCAAACTCCCCTGCTGATATATCTGATCATCACCGCACTCTCTATGTACTTCCCTCGTTGACAAGCAATGTTCTATTAGGAGAAGAGCTTTTGGATAGTATTGATGCATTTGGGGCTCATTTCGACAGCTTTGTCGACTTCGAGAATCTGAGAGGAGACGTCTCAGATGTGAACTCTATTAAGTGGCTTAATTCTTCGGAAAGGAGGTTTCTGAACAAAAGAAGTGCGAAATCTACTTGGCCGCCTTCTACCTTGGACAGTATGGTCAATTCATTTCAAATACAGCAGGTTGTGTCTGACATCTGGCAGTTCATTCATCCCACCCGCCCACACCAAATCTTGATAGCATAGAAGACTTCTTCGAAGAGCCACTTGAAACTCTGAATCTGCACTCGGACGATCACTTCCTAGGTATTTATCTCCATACCTCTATAAGCTCTTACAGATACTTCTCCTCTAAACACAACCTGCCATACTGATTTTACTATATTGCAGCCGCTATGAGCACGCGCCACGCTCAAGAATCCTCTCGTCGTCGACGGATGATAACGCACCTCAAAGGCTTACGGCCAAAGAACAAGCATCCATTGATCCGGATGAGAAGCTCCTTCTAGTCGCAGCTATTCAAGATTTAGAGAGTCGGGAGCGTCAAGCTGAGGAAAACTATGCACGAGACAAGCAGCGTTGTAAGGATGCATGGGCTTCTTGGAAGGCGTGGCTCGAGGCGAGTAGGCGAAATTAGCCGTGGTCTTGTTTGCGATGAGTAGCATTTAGCGTTGGAGTTTGGGGACATGTGAAGTGCGATGGTAACATGAAAACTGATCATACTTTCCTATCGAGGCTTAACGATATCAAAGAGAATATAGCACTTGACAAGACCATTTTCTGTCCTGTTAACCACCGCCAGCCAGGCTTCGCTAGCAACCCACATCAGTCCGCCTCAAAAGCCGCTAGCTCTCTATATCGGGTCTTGCATGAACTTTCAAGCCGGCCACTCTCCCTTCCTAGCCACGCAGGTGCATCTTAGACCTCCAATGACGTCGTTAGCAATCCCACGAAAAAGACAACCCAGAAGGGACTTTGGCTCTTGGTGGGGATGTACAATCGTCTCGCTGAAGAAAACCGCCAGGTTATGACATACTCTAGAACGAAATGAAGATCATCGATTGTAACAACGAAAGAAGCGAGGTCGATTATTAGGGGGCCTCCTATACGCATCCATGCATGTATATCGCTTCCAATGCGCGGGTATCTAAGACGAGTGATCGCTTGAGCGAACTGAGCCGAAATAAACGCAACTCAAAGAATGAAAGAGAGATAGACGGTACTGTGTCGCAAGCGAATTGCCTCTACAGCCTGCTCTTCCGTGAGCACTGTAGCAAGGAAACAGGCATCAGGATACACAACTGTTGGTTCATACCTCGTGGTATCGTTTATGCCCTCTTCTCCTCTTCTTTTTCTCTTCTCTAGGTGATTTGGTGGGGGTGAGGGATACCTATATCCATATCTCCACATCTTCTAGCCGAACCTCACAACTATATCCAGTTATAACTAGTTAGTAGGCTCCCGTCGCCATATCTGCCCATGCAATGAACCCAAGGACGTGAGAAGTACCAAGAGAACGAAGGTAAATAGCCAGGTTCTGTGATCCAAAAAGGCTTAGTATCAAGCAGCAGATAGAATACTGCAGTTAGTATAGAAAGCTTCAGCGAAGCAGGAACCGCTAGAGTAGGAGTGCAGATTGGGTCATGAAGGTTAACATCTTACAATGCATTCTATTCAATTTACAATTCTTCTGTTCTGTTCTCTTTTCTTTTCTGTCTAGATGAAAAGAGTATCTTATGTTCCTGTTTGTTCGTATCTCGCGAGCCGAGCGAATCGATTGGATCTTCTTGACCCGGTAACGCCGTGCCTGCAATGCGCTGGTAGATGCAAAATCCGAGTGAAAAAGCCCACACCCCACTCTCCAAAGTATCGTACAGGGTAGAATCGAAGAGTCGAGATTATTGTGTGTCTTCTCAGTAGTGGGAAGATCAGGACCTTCCCCTCTTTTCTTTTGGGGCCTCCTAACTTCCTCTTCTCCCCGAAGACTTTAATTCGAAGCTGGCTGACTGACCCATCACACCACCGTGGCAAAAGCCGGAATCAGCGTCTGCGCCAACCAGAAGCTGAACACCAACTTCGGCCCCGTCATCAACATCTTGGGCGTCAATCCCTTGAAGAAGCTCGTGATCCCCTCATTGCGCATCATGCTCCCCACGATCCTAAACCCACTCTCGGGATTGTCAAAATTGCGATTCTGGATCCTCGTCTTGATGACATCGAGCGGCGCACTGACGATCAACGACGCCGAGGCGCCGCAGATGGAGGCGACGAAATTCTGCGACCAGCTCGCCGCGTTGTAGTCCTGCAGCTGGAAGATCTTTTCCTTGGCGAAGGCGGAGCCGCCGAACAGGGCGAAGGAGCCGGGGGCGTTGCGGGCGGCGGTCCAGCCGGCGCCGCGGTAGAGGCCCATTCCTTCGTCGGCGACGATGCGGAAGAAGCCGCGCGAACGGAAGGCGGCCGGGTTGGTCTGACGTTTGATCTTCAGCACGTCGAGGGGGAGGAGGATGATCTCGCCGATGCCGATGAGGGAGCCGGCGGTGGCGTTCATGATCGCCTTTCCTGTGCCTTTGCCAAAGGTGGAGTCGAAAGTGTCGCCGTGGTTTTTGGCTAGGTAGTCGCGCACAAAGGGCTGGCCGCCGTATTTGTAGACTCTTTGCAGGATCTGAGAGTGAGGAATTAATTTGGTTGGGGTTCGCTTGGACCAGATCCGGCCATGAACCCACCTTATAGCCAGCAGCGTATCCCAAGCCCGGGAATAACGAGGTGAATTTTCCAGTGACAGGTGCGGAGGCCTTTTCTTTGAAGATGACTGAATTCAGTGTTGACGCGGATGTGATCTGAGTAGCTTAGCAACAGCTCCTTGACCGCAAGCAGCGCGTCCAACCTTCGTTTGGTTGCTCATCAGCCTCTTTGAGATTGTGTCCACCTTCCGTTGCTTAGCCAGTTTTCCAATTCAGCGACGATAGATTGAGCATACTGGATGGAAGATAAAAAGTTCAGCGACTCCAGCAGATCCTGGACTTCATTAGCCACCGGCGATTGCATCAGCTCGAATCGCATACCCGACCCTAACAGCCTCGCAAGGCCTGATTCCCTCTTAAACTCGGTAGCTGCGGCGCCAGGTATAAGTATGGGAGCTGACATGGCTGCTGCGGAGAGTTTGCGATGGGCGCCGGAGAGGCAATGACAAGGGCAGGGAGGAGGCCAGGCAGCGTTATTGCTGGGGCAGGAGGGCAGGTCGTGGTTGAGATTAAGGAATCAATCGTTCACCAGGTTGAAAGTCAGCTGGATCGTGCAAGCAATAGCAATAGCAACGGAAACATGGCCAATATGTACGGGTCCAGAAATCCGTGCCAAGAGATTTTTTTCTCCGCTCTATTATTTCTTCCACCGCTAGCGCGATTGCGGTAGATGACCCGATAGGGTAGGTCAACCAGGGATGTGACTGCATGGATATGCACGTAATGAGCATGTGAACGTGTGACTTGGTGCACCCAATCCGAGGAGTTTGCCCTCAGTATCTTCCACATGATCAGCATTGAGGTAGAATTGCGCCGACTAATGTCTATATCCAAACGAATGGATTTGCAGCTGAAACTAATGTACAGTCCAGTCCCATTGATTTGAACACTATGTATGGCTCTGACACAGACGGACAGACAGGCTCCCCATATTTGCTACATTCCACCTATTTCCAGCTCCTCATTATCAGTATCGCATCGTCGTCATTATCTGTACGTTAGGTGGCATGATTATCGAAATATTGTGTAGACTCAGACCGGAAATCTGTGCTGAAGCATCCGGTGGCAGCAGGCCGTTAATGGGCAAAGAGAAAAATCGCCAATTTCTGTGATCCGTGTCTGAATGGTGTTTACGTGAGCAGGGACCATCGAGCCAGTAATGTACTGACGATGTTCCGTAATGACAAGAACTATGTCATTCTTATACAGCAGATTAAGCAGTTCCAGCTTCTTCTGGCCTGGCAGCACTGCCTGAATGAATTAGACCATGATTCTGCGCCAAAGTTGTCGACTTTCCTAAAGAGATCGTGTTCATTGCGTCTGGGAAGATCATTGTTAACATCAAAGCCGTTGTGATCAGCAAAAGGGGAATCTGTGGCTATAAGCTCTAGCTTCCTCCTTGGAGCAAGGTCCACTTACCGCCACAAACAAGGCACTTCGGCCGATAAAAATCCTGCCAAGCTCTCGCACTAAATCTTTCAGTGATCGAAGCTGCTTTTCGGTGGCAACCTTCTTTGTGCTCTTTTGAGAGGAAGTAGCTGATTCGACAGCATGAAGATGACAGTCCAGTATTGCCTCAGTGGCAGCTTGTACAGCGGAGGACTTCTTGATACTCATGTCATCGTCTTCAAGCCTTCTGGCTTCGTTGGGATACAGTTCATTGTAAGCAGGAGGCGCCGTTGGAGAAGCAGGCCCAAGGCCAGCTAAGTTCTCCAATGCGCTCGGCCGATGTGGGAATAAAGAGCTGACTCGGCGAACCATCAAATATGCCTGATAGTCCGGCAAATTTGGAAGAGCAGGTAGACTGAGATTTGGCATTCCCCAACTGGCGCTTTCATGGAACTGCTGGATTTGCGCTGCTAGCGAGTCACGCCAGGCAGACATGTAGTGCGCTGGTGGAAGAGTTGTCGCTTTGCGCTCGTCCATACTGTGTTCCGACATCACGGATGGATCAGGGCCCAAATCATTGGATTCAGGACCTTCGAAGTCGTCCGACACATAATCGGAGTCCCATTCTAGAGAGGTAGCGCTGGAACGACGACTTCGTATATTCGAGGCTGCTCTTCGCCATTGTGAAATTAGAGCAGCTTGATGCGCTGCAACGCTAGGGCTATATCGGTAGGGAGATACCCACGGATGCTCCTGATTCTGTGATCCGCGCCAGCAAGTCGCAGTCGATGGATGATGTTGGAATGGCCGTTCATGGCTGCCAGATGGAGAGGTGTATTGCCATTCTTGTCCGAAGCATTTGGATTGGCACCTCGGGACAACAGCCCTGCAACGAAACGAGTAAGACCTGCTAAAGATGCCAGATGCAGCAATGTGACGCCAGTGTGACTCCTGGTGTCCAACATAGATGGTTTAGCCGTTCCTCCAAGGTCCAAGTAATCTAGAAATGTGAGCATTTGAGACTCGAGCTCGGTCAAATTCATGCCGTGCGTAAGCGGTCTGCCTGGCCGGTGACTGATCCTTCCTCCGTAGCCTCCTGGATTGCTGGGCCAAAATGATGGAGATGGTCCTCCTAAGAGCTGTTGTGCGACGGAGTAAGGATCTTCGGTCGGATGTTGCATTTGCTTGCCCACCGTCTTTAATGCTAGTCGATACATTTCTACCTCTCGATGGTCAGTATATGTAAACACAATATGTCTGGGTTGTGGCTGTTGTTGCAAAGACGGGTACTCAGGATGCTCATGCTTGAACACCACTGCGACAGTGCCCGCCTGCAGGGCAGGAGGTGTGATACAGTGGAGACATTTGTCGCCCCAGAAGGTTGTCGTGGTCGCTTCAGTATCACCAAACATGACCTCTAACCCCTGATAAAATCCGTTGCCGAGCAGCGTCACTTCGGTGCCTCCAGTAATCGAGCCTTCAGCAGGCACTAATTTGTGAATCAGTGGAGGTGGACAGCGTGAATGATTGCCGAAGAGGTGGCTGCCACTGAGTTGACTCAACTGTTGATCAGCACCAAAACTGTTTCTGTGCGAGCCAGCGCTTCCCGGCCTGCTGGGCTGCCGGGAGCTTGGAGCGGACAGCATAGCCTGCCTAGGCAGGTTTTCCATGCTAAAAGATCTATTCACTGCAGTCACGAAACCATGGTCGTTGCTGTTGGGTGTAGGAGGATTTGTGTCGTAGCCAGTCTGCCTTGATGAATGAGGAAAGCGTTCGGATGTCGCACTCATAAAGTTTGGAGCGAATGAAGACGCTGTTGCGGTGTTTGGAACAGTAGAGGAGCCACCATAAGGTTGTGAAGTCTCTAAACGTGTCATGGTCAAACCAGAGGGAATCTTCCCAGATCCGCTTTGTTTTCGCCGTTTGGAAGGACCAGAGAACCCTGTTGGAGACGCTGGTCTTGACAGATTTCGGGGGGTGAGAGTTGCCGATGTATTCGAAGATATAGCCGAAGGTACCGTAAATGGGTTGGGAGAAGGGTTCATGGGAAAATTAGGGTTGAAATTACGTTGCAACCCTTGCAAGTCTGTAGTTGACAGTGACTGCTTGAACATTTTCGGACCCATCGATTGGCCTCCAGGCATGTCCATTCCCCCTGTGGAGAAGACGCCAGCACCGGGTAACGGAGATGCGTTGGGAAGAGAAGGATTTGAGGTGGGGATAGGTGGAGGAGCATTGTGAGTCTTGTGATCATCTGTGATCATGATTGAATTTGTCATGGCCTGGGCAACCACTTTATCTCGGTAGTCCTTGATGGTGAAGATAACTTGAAAACCAAGTTTCTCGCTCTGATGTCGACAGTAGCAAGCAATACGCATAGGAAGCTCAACCTGCATGGCTCCCTTGGGAAGCGGTGCTTGAGGATTACCTTGATATCCAGAGATTCCAGTTGGGGCATCTTTTGCAGGTTCGGCCCATTCCTTGACTTCATTGGTATTAAAAACAATTACACGCTTCTCCTCGTCCTTCTGAAACATCTCTTCTTCATCAGGCTTCTTCTGCTTCTTCCGTGAAGCCCTTTTTCTCTCTCTTTGTATGCATCCAGAGCATATTTTGACTTCTCCACCTTCCAATGGCTTCTCCTCGTCGTCCCTGGAAGACGGTGAGTCAATCGATGATGCAGGGCTCGGCTTAGAAAGAGGCGCAACCTCTTCACCTCGTGCTCTTGCAAAAGCTCGCTGGAGCCTCGTTGGGTCTTGCATAGCACTGGTACAAACCAGCGAAGTATACAGTTCCAGAATCTCGGGAGCACGCTCGGCCTCTGGCTTAGCCAGAAACTTCGGCTTAGAAACAGTGTAAGCGGGAAGTCTCAACTTTGTCACGCCGGTTGGCAGTGGTGCTAGCGTCATCTTGATCGGTATTTGAGTTTCCACACGCGATTTTAGAGAGGTAGGATATACCGTCAGTGATGGCATGCTTTCAGCGGAATTAGCAGTACACGGGGGAGAGGATATGTCTTTGTTGAAGGTCGACGGAGTGGCACTTGAGTCTGGTGGATCGAAACTCAGACTGTTGGCTGTGAATTGAAGATTTGGCGAAAATGTTGCGTTTCCTGGTGAATCTCCATTCATCGTAATGCCGTTAAACGTCTCTTCCAAGCCAGACGAAGGAGAGTTCTTAGCCCATGGTGATTGGCTAGATGGTGGAAGCATGGTATTCATAGGTGATGTCTCACGGGACGTGCCGAGGTAGAATTGGCCTTGCGCGGGCAATCGAGGAGATGCATTCCTCAGCTGTGCTAGAGAACTGAAGCTTACGGAAGTTCGAAAAGAAGCCAACCCAGCAGAATGCCTTGTAGGGGACAGGCTTGAATTTGCAAAGCCACTGGGAGTGCTGGCCGCTGTATCAAAGTCAAAATCAGACGCCATCTGTTGATTGCTCACTTCGTAGTCTTCCAAGCCCGTCAGCCCTGTAGTGTTAAACAGCTCGTCGCCCGACGGCATTGTGAGTCCATTTATACCACTTTGCCAATTGCTTGATCGTCCAACATCACTTAATGTGCTTGTGGTTGACGTCTTTTGAGGGCGTACGCTATTCGCATTAGTCAATGAGTCCGCGCTCGAGGAAGCGGATCCCGAATGGGTGATGCCCTTCTCCTGCTTCAGTATTGCACTTGAAGTATTTGTGGTAGACGATGGCTTGGGGACAAAATCCTCTGGATTTATGAAAGCGGCGGATGAGCTACCACTTGGTCGTGGCGTCCCTCCAGCAAGAAAGTCATCGAATGCCTGGCTAGGGAAAGCTGCCGGCGTCTGACCAAGGCTCGAGTCGAAGAGATACATGTCATCATCTTGGGTGCTGTCCATTTTGGCACAATGCCACTTAGATCCGATATACCCAATTCCTTTCCCGAAACGTATGTCTAGTACATCTCCTACTCCGCCAACAACATTAACCTTGTACGTCAGGAGCCGGTAGTGTAGAAGCTGTGCTGAAAACTCCTGCGCTGGATCGAGAACACAAACTGTCCCACTGCAGCGCTAAAGACGCAGACATAAAGAACTGCCCAGCAGGTTGACACAGAATGCGACCGTGCGTTTAGTTCATAGCCACGGTTCGCTTCACGAAGACACCCGGTAGTAGAGTATGAGGAAGAGTGGATAGGTTGGGCAGCACTGGCTGTCGAGATCGAGTGCGAAGGTATGCGGGGGAGATGGGCGCAAGGTCCGGCGTATGGCCTGCGGGAAAAGAAAAAGAGATGATTCGTCAGAGAATGACTGTCTGTGTATACTGCCGTGCTCTGGGAGGTGACAACTCCGGTATGGTGACCCGAGGCAGGGTGAGTGGGGGGGACGACACCGAGGATGATGGAGACAGCGATGCGCTGAAGGCCGCTGCAATGTGGAGCAAGAAGGCGGGAGCCAAGACTCCATTTACAGTAAGTGTCTCCTTATCTCTATAGGGACTAGATGGATGCAAGTAGTGACCACGAGCGAGCACCCCCCACGCTCTGCAGCCGCGTCTGCAGTCCTTGGGAGAGGGAGAGGGATAGCAGTCATCCTCATATCCAGCCGCTTTGTGATAGATGATGGGCCGAACTGGCCCATACTCGCACTCGCGATAGTGACAGGATGAGAGAGCTGTTCACCCGCGTTCCCATTAAATACTAGTCAACGCTGTTCTTCCCCTACTACGTAGTACTCGGTTAATTCTGTCTACCCCCGAGATAGTATGTTATGATATGGTACCTGTGCTCAACATCCTTCACCCTGTACGCAGTCTTCCATGACATCGCCAACCAATGGCAACAGCTTCCATTGCGCATGTCGCTTAAAGCGGAGACAGGATTGGGGTTTCTGGAAGACAGCTGGGATGTCTGCAGCTTCTTCCGACAACAGGCTATTCTCGTCACGTCCTATGGAAACATTCTTCTGTTCCAGGTGCTCCACACCATGAGATAGCCCGGGATAATGTCGGCAGATTGACCCACCACCCTCCTGCAGGGCCGTGCTAGCTCTCTGCTCCTACCAAATTATCTTCGAGCCTTCGGAGCCATCTCAGGCTTCCAACAACGGTTTCTGTCAAGCACATATCATCTCAACCTGTGCCCTCGATGCGCCTCCCGGTAGGTCAACAGCTGGTAAACCCCTGTCCCCTGTCCAATTGCCCCTACCCAGAGATTCAGTCCTCACCATTTGAAATCCTGGCATCTTGATCCTCCACCGCGCATCATTTTCAATCTGTCCGAGAAGCCAAATAAGATTTTCTGAACCCTTCAGAACTTTAAGTGGACCAGATGTCGAAGTATATATCAGCCTCCGACGTCGCAAGCCCCGAGGAGATATGCATATACTCCAGACACCAGGTGTTTCAATTACTGCGCCTGAATCGCGCCACATAACAGTCTTTATCTTGAACAGATTGGGGGCCCATTGCTTAAGTCCGCTACATCCGACTTGCAGTGATAGACCAGTCACATACCCCTACGTGTCGTTCATGGATGAGCGCCGTCCAACATGGATTCTTCTGGTGATGGACCTCAAACTACCTGGACGGATATATTGTGATGGTTGTGGCAAACTGGTCAGGCATGAACAATTTTCTTATCTCGAAATAGCCTTCTAAGCGCCAATGCACTTCGAATCACCTCACGTAGATTCACTTCTTCCCTTCCACCATTGCCCTCACCGTACTCTCCTCAGTGACTCGCCCGCCTTCATATCTGCGCTCACAAAAATCCTTCAAATCCTTTACCCACAACCCAAATTTCTCCATCAGCGTCCTGCCATACAACCACTTGACTGTCCTCGCCAAAATGCCGCCAAGACACTCCCAAGTCCTAACCTCACACTCTTCCTGGCCCAGCACAATAACCTCATGGAACCTTTCACTCCTTAGCCCACGTGCCACGAACCCGCCCTCTACCGTCCACGCAACCCTGTACACCTTTGCTAGATTCTGCGTGAAGCTCGGTGATTGCAAGAGTGAAACTGGGACGTAATCGGATTGCTTCGTCGGGATAGAGATGTCAGTGACACGTAGATGGGTGTCTGTGGTCTTTGAGGGCTTGGAGGCGTCCATGATGACGTGCAGGGTAAAGTGGGTATCCTTTTGCAAAACTGGACTGGGCTGAGGACCTGGACTCGAAGCTGTGGTTGGAGAACCATTGTCAGAATTTGCGTCTGGCTGAGAGCGGACGGTCACACTCGGACACCAGGTGTTCCACTCCGGATAGGTCGATGTGTCGAGGAGGGTGGAGAAGACGAGGGGAGCCGGGGCGGAGATCTTGGTGCTGGCGTAGCTGGGCAAAATCGTTTCCGAGGCGGAAATGAGTACTGTGGAGAGAGATTTCGGAGGCCATGGCTCTAAGGGGACCGCGGCAGACATGCCGGAAAACTCTGCTGGTGGAAATGAAGAGGAGAGGTAGCGATTGGCGTTATCGCTTAGTATTGAACATGGCTATGTGGAATGAATTGAGATAGCTAGTTGTAGAATCTATATATATATTGTTCTATTTAACGTCCGTTCGGTCCTTATATATAGGGCCGTGCAGACAGCTACTTAACTAGGGAAAAGCCTAATAAAGAAAACCCTGGACTTACCAAACTACGTAAGCGCAGCTATTACGGGCGGTCAGGGACTGCCCCGCGCAGCGCCTTCGCCCCACCTGCGTTTTGCGTGCGTACCTGTTGCCCCTCTTATGCAGTCATCCTTTCAACCATACTCCGAGTATCTTAGAGGGTCTCAACCTCTGCCTCTACTACTCCTCCGCCGCTTCGAACGCTCTATACCCCTCCAGCTCCTCCTCCGCTATCTCCTATGCTGTACGAAATTGCTCCAGGATCCTTGTACGGATAAACCAGCGAACTGTATACTTTGCGCCTGCAGATTAAGAGAGGATCTCACTCATATGCTCTGTGCCACAGGCTGCCAGCATGCTCACTCTATTATATCTTGGGCAATGTAACAAGATATAGCGAATTGTTTGTAAATACTAGCCACAGGTACAAGCAAGGTTAGTATCTAGTACTTAAATAGCTGCTAACCACGCGTTCAGGCCTATAACCTCTAACCATATTAAGAACAGTGCTGTAGACTCCGTCTTTGTTAACCCTGCGTATAGCATACAAGTATCCTGCTCCTAAGGAGTAAACCAGATTATTGCTTGTAACCAGCCTCTTCTCTTCTGTAGCGTGGCTAGCCACCTCTTCTTCCACTCGAGGTTACCCTATTTGGTAAGTAGGTTCCTTTCGTTAGGAGGTCTCCTTGGCCTGGGTAGTCGAGGGTCCTGGCCTCTGCCCTGGGGCCTTCGGCACGCCTGCGTTACGCGTGCGGTTCGCCTGCAGCGCTGCTGCTCCTCTGTTCACTCACGCATTTCTTAAATCCTTTGTTGCGCTTTAGCAGTAGCATTCTCTCTGCTAGTCCTCGGTCTATAGCATAAGCGCGATAAGCGTGCCGACAACTGTATTATATTATCTATCTAATATAATATAGAGTTCACATCCTCTTACAAGGTCTCTATCACGCTTTCCCACACGTTTAATAACAGTGCTTCAGGGTTCAGATGGCCCAAGTCCTAGCCCACGCTCTAGTTGTAGTTTACTCCATAAGCATATAGCACCGGCTTGTCTCCGGGGAGCCAGATTCGAGCGCCAGATTCAGAATTTTCAGATTCGGCATGTCGGCGTTTGGGGACTTGGCAATATATGCCCCACCAAAATTGGGTGGGAAATTTATCACTCAAACCCCCCATATGAAATATCTATCAGAGTGCAGTTCAACCAGAGTTGCTCTGGGGCCTATTGCCTATTTAGGACTCTTGATACATTCTATGCTGTTGTATCTAGTATAGGCCTATTTTCCTCGTTTCGGCTGATTCTGCTTACCCTCGTGCATAGCCTTGTAGTCCAGGGTAGGTCCTCTAGCCCGTTTTGGCCGTGCATTGGTCTGCAGCAGGGCAGGAGCTGTTGAGGCGGGTAAAATGAATGGATTCTCCTCCTCCTCCTCCTCCTCCTCCTGGGGTACAGGCAAGCTATCCTCTGTCGGTAACAGCGTTGCCCTGGTAACTGACTCCTCTGAAGGCGGCGGCGGCGTTGCTCTGACGAAGATTATCTCATCCTGCTGCCCTGGACCAAATTGGAGTATCTCTGCTGCAGTAGAAGCGCTCTGAGTCATATTGATAGCGAGTTGGTCTCTCTCTTGGAGTCTCTGCTCACGCTCACGAGCGTTAAGCTCTCTTGCAGCTATTTCAGCCCCCGTAAGCCCTCTAGCGTTGGCCTTGCTGTGGGCCTTTTTAGGTACCCATTTCTGCTTTGGTACAGGTAAAGGGGGTTGGCCACAGGGACCCCACGACCCTCATACGCAGCCTGTGCAAGACCTAATATCCTCCTATCATTCTGAGCTATTTCGTCATCAATATAGGCTTGATCTGTACTAGATAGAGCGTCTCTAATGACGAGAAGATGCTGCCCTGCGGAGGTGTGCTGGCGGCGCTGTGGGGATAGGTAGTTGGTCTCTTGAAGCTCTGCGTTACTAGCCTCTTGATTTGTTGGTATCTAGTTGCTGAATCGAATGATAGGGCTATTAATCCACCAACGAGGGTGTACCAGGGACTTAGGGATAGGCTGGCCACTCTTGGCGATAGCGAATAGGTGATGTTTGCAGGGTAAATACCATCGAAGAAACAGCTGACACTGACACTGCTTGTTATCTAACTCCTTTAGATTAGCAGCTATTCTCTTAACCAACTCTCACTCATCTGCGAGCTTATTAAGAGCAAATAGACTAATTTCGTCGAATAGAAATCGAAATGCAGCTTTGTCGCGGTGTAATCAACGCGGGTGATCGCGTTTAGACGAATCTTCATCTAAATCGAGCGTTTTGAGAATAGAGATAACTGTGCTAACAAGGCGTTTAGCAGATTGTTCAAGAGATAGCTGGCCGTTAGTCATCACACGGAGAACTGGATGATAGCTCTCTGATCGAGAGCTTGAGGTACAACCGAGATTCATATATTTATCTGTATAGTAATATACTACTCGCTCCTCTTTTGGTACCCAGATCTCACGTATATACTTCTTCTCAGCAGGCCATAGCTCATTTATAAGCTTCTCATGGTTGTCCTTAAGCTCCTGCGCAGTTGCGCTCTTGATATAGATCTAGCAGAGGTCGCTTAGGATATCCACTTGATCTTTTTTGTACCCAAAAGTTCTGAACCTCCTCTTTATCGCCTCAACAGCATGCCAATCACAACTTTATAGTAGGGCTTTAAGCAACGCCTTAGGAAGAGCAGCAATAAGGCTACCAGCTTGATCGCTAATAATAACTCGGCAAAAAGGGATATTATCTTCAGATTTGAAGCATTCGTGAGTAAGGCAGTCGAAGAAGAATTTGAGCGACTCTTTGTTCTCTGAAGCGTAGTAGCTAAACGCCACAGGGAAGGTTGCTCCTGAATTTGTTATACCAACGGCAGCAAGTAGTGGGAGGCGAAGCTCATTCGTATTAAAGGTACTGTCAATAATAAGAACTTGATCAGCGACGAATCTCTGAGCTGCGACAAGCTGTTTTGGATAAGCAAACCAGATTTGAGTAAGTCGCTAAGTTATCAGTTTGCCCTTATTATTATATTCAGTGCTAATACGCTAATAACGGACGAATTCAGCGTCATTAAGAGCTTTGAGAAGGCCCTGAATCGATTCAGAATCTCCTTTATTCGCAGGTTGATTTCGAACAAGGTTATAGTACTTTTTAGCGCTCAAAAAGACACCAAAATCCTCACTATCAAGAATCTGACGACTCTGAGAGTAAGGTACAACGTTCTCACGTGCTTATAAGCAAGAGTAACAAGCTGACGATATTCAGAAAGCAGATTCTGATTCTCTGTATACACTAAGGGATTCTCCATAAGGCGGTGAGAATGAGATAGCTCTAGAGCAACAAGACAAAAACCCTTAACACCAGAGCCGCGCTTACTAATATCCTTAAAGGAGTAGAAAACGTACCAGATACACCCTTTCTGCTTGGTGTGGGTAGCATCTCGTTGTCGATTACTGATTATCTTACCCTCAGAATCCTTCGTAACGCGATGCTCAAGATCTCTATCATTTCGAGTCTCATCTCCGTGGTGGATACACCGAAAGCGCTTACACGGATTTCGAGGGTCTCCAGCGCCTCGAACGGTCACAGCGAAGCCCTCAACCATTGCGAAAACCTGCGGAAGAAGGCCATTCTAGTTCCTAGTCAAATGGACTGGTTTTGACGAAACAACTTAGGAACCTGCAACCCACCTTCTCTACGCCCCCGAGATTGTCCAAGAGTTCTACGAGCGCCACAGCCATGCCCCGAGATG